GATACAACTTTGCAACCCAAGGGTTGAATTACGTTATATTTACAGTAAAAAAAAGAAGAAATTTATCAAAATTTTGATACATCCAAATTGGCCTATTGTTATGTATAGTCATATTGTATGTTCTGTCTCAAATGTTCAAGTAAGACATAAGTTTTGTTTTTCAAATTTCTTCTTTGACTATAGAGAGACACTACCAGTTCACACTGCATTTGTTCATAGCTGAATTTTGATTTTCTTGGAGAACATTAGCCAGTTAGGTCAGATGTCGAAAATCGATTCTGCAGATGTCCTCAGACAAATAAAATGGAATGTTTGCCTAGAGATATCGAAATGCTCGCGCCAAGTGCTTTCTTTGCACTGATTTTAAATCAAGTCCTCGAGCCATAATTTTCCTGCCTCTAAATATAAACAATTTCAGCCTTTGCTGAAATCGTTTCCTTCGTCCGACGCAAACTAGTCACATAAATACAGTAATTATAAGAAGAAAAACGTTAATACAAGTTTCGTTTGAATCTCCCGCCATGTTATTCAAACTGATTTACTCGCCAGGCTGCTCTACTCAAATTACGTCAATGAAATATCAGCTTACTCGTGAAAATACCTATCATTCTTAACTCGCTTAACGGGGTCTGTAAACAAAACACCAACAGCTGTCCTGAAAACACGGCCAAAGTGACGTTTTGATTGTTTGAAAAAGTCATAAGACAGTCTCATGACTTTTGGATGACGCATTTCCGAGGGAAAGTCCCACTTCTTGTTTTTCTGAGAATGTCATTCGGTCTTTCCGAAAATCTTCGCTCGGCTGACCATATCATACATTCGAAAGAATATGTAATATGTAATCATTGCCCGATACACCAGACAATGAGTTTCTGATGCATCAGAAGCCCTATTAATAAATTTATGGATTAGATGACTCGTCGGTAAGGGGGAAACGCTGCCATGTGCACTTACTGTATGCCACGCAATGCTCTCATGCTGCTATTATGATGCTAATGCATTTAAAAAAAAAAATTGGAAAACATATAGTGTGATCACGCAATGGTCTCAGGCTGCTATCACGATTCTAATGCATTAGAAACATTTTGGAGAAACATATAGTTTAAATATCTTTACAAAAATCTGACGGCTTAGACCAGGATCGTTTCTAATTCGGAAACACGCTCTTAGACTCATTACCATGCACAAAATTCATGCACGGCGACCATAATAAATCGCTTCATCGCTGCGGATTAGCTTCACTTGGCCTAGTCACTTCCCCAATCCCTTGCTCGAAACAGATCTGTTTTAGCTTTGCAAACGCTCTCTATATTCTGCGCTGCCGCGCAAGCTTTGCCTGGATGGAGCCATGTGCTGGTATCATCAGATTAGACCAGATTAGTACAATCTTTGAAACCATTTTTTGGCATGATGCGCTTAAACCCCCATGTTCATGTTCCTGTTAATTTAAATTTCTTCAGTATTAGGGTCAATAAAGTTGTTGTGCAAGTTGTGGCCTATACTACTTCAATCAAATAAATCGAAAACCGCCCCGATCGCTTCGCTCATTCTTTTGTTTCGCGCTCGCCGAATGTAAAATTACCGTCAATGATTTACAATATATTTCAATTACCGATGTGTAACCCAATTCTAAACGAATAGTTCAGAGGGGATCGGAAATTGATGGATTTGAAGCAGTTATGCAAAACCGCCGTGGCATTTATTGAATTCCGCTTCAGATTTTCAGAGAACTTGACCCTGAGGCAGTTTTTATTTGTTGCACAGATTTAGATTGACGGTGGTTATAACTGAAATTCTTAGACGAAGTTTGGATCAGTGGAATCAGCTATCAATTCAGCCATCGCAGGAACTGGACGACCCTTTGTTTTTAGTCCTGACAGTAAGCTTATTAGAAAAGCTATGTTGTAGCTGTCGACTGTATTTTATGGCAACATTCTACAGGTTTTCTGAGACTTGGAGGCTAAATACAGAGGTGGCAGCGGCAAAGACGACACTGACGCAGGGCGCTTGTTGCTTTCTACGGCTAGCTCTTTATAGTCGCGACTGATTGCAATCTTAACCTGAATGGTGAAAAGAAGTGTAATAAAACTTACCGAGTGATGATAGAAAGTGTATTAGCCTTCCACTCTACCTGGCTACTGTGAAATGTTCCAGATGAATTGAATAGAGCTAATGTGAAAAGCAATAGTCATTCTGACTAGCCCATTACTACACGGGTCAGAACCGGATTGGTTGAATGCCTGCCAGGCGTGGGTCGCACTTGGCAAATTTTTGCGAGAATTTGTTTACCTTGCGGTAGAAATCTGTCATCGGTCGACATTGCTAAGTGCGACCCCGAGTTTTCGAGTTAGGAAAAACTTTGAAAATCGGCAAAAACATCAAAGACGCCGTAGTGCTTGGGTGGGGCAGGCAGATTTTGGAAAACTCGAGCTAAACAATAGGAATCACAGCGGTAACTGTCACCCCCTTGTCATGAACGTGATCCATTTGAAACACGATCAATTTAAAATAAACGCGGTCGAATTTTCAGACCTTCGCTATCCTTCGCCACTTCAAGTTTTTTTCGAAAACTCTCTACAGGCAAGGACTTCACTGGCTTTTAAACCTTCGCTATTTTAAGGTTTTTACGGGAACGAGCTCTATTGAAGGCGAACCAGTTCCCGTCTGCACAAGCAAACACTTCACAGGTTTGTTATTCTCCAAGCCAAATGTACTATTCGCATCCAAGCACTTTCCGGTCTTCTTTATCTGTCCCATCCTCCTGAAACTAGGAATGGAGGAAAAAGATCCTTCGACAGAGGTGCGGACGAAGAAGAGAAAAATGTTTTCTGGTATCTGGCGTTCTTAAGTTCTAATGTGTCAAAGCAAAAACTATTAACTCCCACTAATGCGACCCTCCTCGGTTGGACTAAAAGTTTTCTTTTCCGGTTGCGGTTTCGAATTTTTGTGGTTTTTTAGCCGGCAAAGATGAAAACTTTTCCCAAGTGCGACCCATGCCTTGGACAGAAGCTCAAAAATTCGCCAGGCCCGGTTGCTATGGCGTGATGTCATTTATCTATTAGGTTTCTGTCATCGCAAGAATTTTTCGATTCTATTGTGCTTTGCGATAATTGCTTTCAATCAATAGCGTCGTGCACAGATGGCGTCACGAATATTCATCCCTCAGACAAACAAACCATTCTATGGGCTACTTCTTTGAGAACGACGTATGGCACAACAGCCCTTGTGAGCTGTCCAGCGCGATAATTAAGCGATGAATTTCGCAATTCGATGTCCTCTCTATCTCAAAATGTTGGAGAAAACCCACGACATGTACCTTGGAATGATAAAAATGCGGAGATTTTACGAACACACTCCGTACCTTACCTCCATGGCAGAGAAAAATATTATTATTGTACCCGACATTCAAGCGCATCACCAATAAGAAAGTGAGCAAGCCAGCTAGAGAAATACCTGATAAAGAAATAACCATAGATCCGATCCGATTCGTTGCCTTGCCGTGATGACCTGGCCCGCTCCGTCTTCGCACGTAGCCCGCGCTATTTAGAACACGTATCGCGCCAAACATAGCTATGTAATAAATGCAGTTGAGGTGTGCTCACGGTCACAGATTTGTTTATGTGGTCGGATAAATGGCTCTATTAAAATCGTGGTCAACAGATAAGTCTTCTCTTCAAGACCAGGATAAAAAGCAGATAAGTTTCTTCGTAATACGTTAGAAGTATAGGAGATAGCGGAATAAGCGCAATAAACCAAAAAACAGCCTTCACGACCCTTATGGTAAGCAAAAACTATAACTCTAGGGCATTAACTCGCAAAGTGCATTTTCAGTATCGAAAAATGAACTTCAGTACATGGTCACACTATATGCTTTTCCAAAATGTTTCTAAGACATTAGAATCATAAAAGACCTTTGCGTGACATGCAGGAAGTGTAATAAATGACAGGGATTTTTCCCTTACAGATGAGTCAACGAATGGCTATTGTTGTATGTCAATGTAAATGTAATTTGTTTACCCACGGAGCACCAAGGAGTTCACAAGAACTCGTTCAGAAATGTCCGTGCATTCCAGGATCGAATTGGAATTTGGAAATGTTGGTTTTTAAGGAGAGGGGAAAACCGGAGTACCCGGAGAAAAAACTCTCGGAGCAGAGTAGAGAACCAACAACAAACTCAACCCACATATGACGCCGGGTCCGGGAATCGAACCCGGGACACATTGGTGGGAGGCGAGTGCCCTCACCACTACGCCATCCCTGCTCCCCCTAGTTAGACTCTTTAATGCATTAGAATCACACCAGACACAGTAACCAACATTTATTGATCTATGGAGGCATCAAATAGCTCACGAAGCCTATATATAAATATAGTAGTGGTTGGTCTATTGAATGAATACCGGCAAAACTACATGTACCCAACTTCGCCGGCTCAGCCAGCTTCGCCGTCGAAGTTGGGTGCCTGTATATATGTACGTAATTTTACAGGTATTCATTTAATACACCAACCACTACTACAATTTCTAATTGAACAATTCTCGAGCACCTTTATAAAGCGAATCCAAAAGATGTATATTGACCGTCATTAGACATTTCCTCCGTCTCGAATAACGCCGATTATTGGTTTTCAGAATGAGATTGTTGAGATGTATGTCGCGCCGGAGGGTGTGGTAGAAGGGGCGGAAAGCCGGAGAGTGAGTCGGCTTGTCAGATGGTCTTTTAAAAGGAGGTTAGGTGAAAATCAAACACCTTCTGTTATGATAAAGCCGAGACAAAATATAAACTGAGCTTTCTACATATGTTATAGCTATGCATATGTGATAGTCAACCTAATATCGGTTTATTATAAACAGCAAAGAGGCTCACCTTGGATAAACAACTTTGCAGAAGCAGAAAGATGGAGAGCGAGCGGTTAATATCCAGCGGCCGAACACTAAATGGGCTTTTGTACAGTTTTCAGACATTGAAGTCAAGGCTGTGTTTGACAGGCAGCCGCTGTTATGCACGGGGCCGTTGCCAGACTGGCAGCGTAATCTTGTGCGTGGGCGCGCCGGGCCAATGGTCGCGCTAGACAATTTTGCTGACAACTTATGTCTCTGGTGCTGCATTGCCGTGTACAAGGAGCGCGGCCAGAATGGAGCACACAAGCTGCAAGAGAGTTAGCAAAGAGTTACTTCAAACTCAGGGAAGCCCCGAATGATGTCCCAAAAACTTCGCTTGATGAATTGGATAAAGTCGAGAGGCATTTCAATCAGGGAAGATAGCTAACAGATTGGTTTGGCATCAGAGCCTATGAGCCTGAGCGCCAGGAAAACGGTGAAATTGTATGGCACCTCAGACAGAATCCTCCTGGCGTCTTTAAGAAAATAATTACGCTTGGAATTTATGAAGGACACGCGTTTTTGATCAAAGATATCAGAAAGCTTGCAAAACTTTACGGGCGCAGACATTGCCGAGCGCGTTTTACGCAAGCCATCTCCCTTCAGCAACACGGCAAAACCTACACAAAAGGCCAAAAAAATGTGGTGTCCAAATGAGCGGGTCAAAGCCCCGCAGACAACATACGAGAGAGCGTTTCACGACAAAGGGGCGGCGTCTCCAGCATCGATACGCTGGCTGGGTCGCACAAGCTAAGTGCTGGGGAAGCATATTCATCACCCTTTATGTGGACACGGTGGAGAGAGGTGGATTGCCGGGGCGCCTGTTGACGGTTATGACACGAAAACGCAAACAGTATACCACTATCAAGGCAGCTACTGGCATGGATGTGTCCACTGTTTCCTGAATGATAGACAAAAAATCGTAAATAACGGCAAAACAAGAGATGAGGCATTCTTTGCAACAGCGGAACGTACAAGACCTCTCCGCGAAGCAGGTTACCGCGTGATCAAGAAATGGGAGTGTCAAGACAAAAAAACGCGAGACCCCCACCAAAACAAGAAACAAGACGTACCCCACCCAATTTTGTACGATTTCGAATCGTACCACGACAAAACGCAGCCGAACGAGGCGACGCGCGACCTTATCTACGAAAACGCACAGATGCCAATTTCGGTGAGCCTTGGCGACACGTTGGACCGCGAGCCACCGAGCATCTGCGACCCCAACCCCAAAGAGCTGACACTTCGCAGAGCTGTTCGCCGACACAACAGCCAAAGTGCAGATAGGAAAAAAAAGCGAACACGACGATGTTTATGAAGACGAGCAGCTTTCGCTTCGCGGAGATGATCAACTACCTCGTCTCCGGCACGTATGACAGGTGAAACCGTACCTGCTGCTCTTTCCAAAAATCGTGCCTGCCGTATGAATGTTTTGATTCCCCAGAAAAGCTGAACTATCCAGGCCCACGAGATTATCCGGCCTGGTATTCGCGCCTGAGAGATTGATATGTCTTGACTCTTTCAGAGTTCGCCAAGCGCAAAAGAACGTTCAAAGAGAACGTCATGCGCATCTTCGCCGATTGACTGCGCTATTACAACAACCTCGACGTCTCGCCCAGGATAGAAGCGTTGGAAAAGATGAGGGCCTTCTACACCGAAAAAGGCATCAAAATCTTGAAAGACGCAGTCAGCCTCCCGGGGGTGAGCGTGCACTACCTCTTGCGTGGCACGATTGAGCGTGGCGCTGAGCTCTACAACCCCAGCGAAGAGGCCTATGAAATGCTGAAGGGAGCATGAGTCGGCGGGCCAAGCCTGGTGTTCAAGCGCTACCACGAGGCCGGCGTGACAAAGATCAGGCCGCACCGGCTCTCAAAACCAAAAAAAGCAAGGTAATATAAATAAATAAATTACATAGATGGGACTTTCCAGTGGCATATCCACGAGGTGGCTCTTCATCCATTGTTTTCAGATCGAATTAGAATTTAGAAAAGATAATTTTTGTGGAAAGAGGAAAACCGGAGAACCCGGAGAAAAACCCTCGGAGCAGGGACGAGAAACAACAACAAACTCAACCCACATATGACGCCGGGTCCGGGAATCGAACCCGGGCCACACTGGTGGGAGGCGAGCGCCCTCACCACTGCACCATGCCTGCAAACCTGCGTGACCTCCACGAAAGACGAGAAGGTGGTCGACAGGGCGCTGCGGGGCACGTACTTCGATGACCTGGACGAGCTCGGGCGTGCTTACGAGCTAGAAAGTCGGAGGCCGCGCATCACGATCAACCGCCCGTTCCAGGTAGGGATCACCTTGTACCAGCTGACAAAGCTGCGGTCGCTGGAGTTCTATTACGATTTTCTGGATCAATATTTCCATCGCAGCGATTTCGAGCTGATCCAGATAGACACAGACTGCAACTTCCCCGCCATTTCTGCCGACCGGCTTGAGGATATCGTTCGCCCAAAATTGCGGGCGGAATTTGAGGCAAAAAAGAAAGAATGGCTAGTCTGGGAGAAGTGGACTGGCCGCACGCAGGGCCTGTTCAAACTCAAATGTGAAGGCAGCCGGATGATCGCGCTTTGTTCGAAGTGCTACTATGTTGATGAACAAGACAGCGAAAAAAGAGGTTCATCACGAAGGGCATGTCGCAGAGACAGAATAAGATCACCTGGCAACGTTTCAAAGCGGCGCTGAAAGGCAGCACCGATAGAGCAGAAAACAGAGGACTTCGCATACTTAATGGGCGGGTGACCACATATGAGCAGCACAAGCTGGGGCTGAGCACTTGTTATGACAAAGGGTAGGGGTGGCAGGACAGGACTCACACTGAACCGATCGAGTTTCACATGACCTGTAAAAGCGGAAGCTGTATGTTTGGTGAGACAAACAACCAACAGCTCTTCGCGTACAAAGCCGCGCTTCATTTCTTCGTGCTCGTCTGGTTTGGTCTTGAGTATGGAGTATGGCCTTGAGTATGGAGTGTAAGGTTTTGCCACAACGCCTTTCTCTTTGATTGCGACGGCAGGCTTTTTGCCAGGCGTGTGACTTGATTGTTCAGAGCGCCAACAGCGTCAGGGAGCCTTTTGAGCCACGCCATGGACCGCTGGCCCGCAGGTAAGAGCATTTCTACGGCATACTGATGGCCGAACAAGCGTTCGGCAAGCTTGCGGTTGAAACGCTCAACGATGTCTTGGTCTCGGTGAAGTTCAGTGCGCCAGCGACGGATATATGTTTTGTGGTTTTCCATTTCTTTGGTCACGCTCCCCATAGCTCGCGGCCAGCGTCTACCTGTAGCACTCTTGGCCAAGTCAAAGGGCTGCTCCTGTAAATTGCCTGAAAAGCCTTGGCAACTTCGGCAGAGTCTTTCGAGTTCAGAGGCTCAGCTTCTTTGTAGTGGCTGGCGACGTCGACAACAGTCAGCGCATATTTCTAAACTTTCCCGCCACGGGGCAGCTTGTTGTGTGGCAGGAAAAGAAGGTCCACTTGATGGACCGAATTAGGGGTTGATAAGTCGAATGTCGGGTGAGGAATGTGGCGTGGGGCAGGGAGATAGATCTTCCAGAGAGCCTGTTTGATAAGCCACTGCTTGGCTGTTTCTTTACGAACTTCCGACTTTTCTACTAACTGTTTATGGCAGATATACCTTTCCGGTAGCCCTGGGGAGTATAGTAGACTTTGGCGAGCTCTGACTATGCGGAAAGGTGTGGTATCCATTATATTTTTCTGCGAAAATTCAAAGAAAACGAAACGATGCATAGCCGAGCGCAAGCGCTCTGGCACTAACGAAAAGCGGCTCGCTTTGTTTCTGCTCCTCGCTGGGCTGATAAAAGTCAGAGAATTGAGGCTTTTAGGGAGGGAAGATTTGCCGGTTTGGATGAGCCTGGTTATAGAGTTTGAAAGCGTAATCAGTGCTCGTAAAGTTATGCTTCGCCTGATCTTTAATTTCTTGGTTGCTTTCGGTCTAATCAAGAAGCTTGATGCGGTCGCGAGTGTATTTTGCCATCGTGGCCTGATAAGCTTCAAAGCTTAAATTGTGTTTTTCTTTGCTTTCCGTCAAATCTTTTTAAGCATTCCCGAGCTACAAAAGGCTAAAACATTTTGGAATACAATTTGCACTTGTAGAAAACACTTACCTTGGATAGTTAGCGGTTGAGTCAAGCATTGAAAAATCTAGAAAGAACGTTAAGCATATCGGAGCGGCGCGCGTTTCATCTGCTGCTGGCTCCAAGCAAAAGGCGAAGAAAAACTTGGTACAAAAGCAGTTTTGCCGGTATAAACTTCCGGTTCTTCATCACCATGACAACCCGCAATCATTTCCGGTAGTGTCACATCTGCCACCTGTTAACATGTTTTTAGTGAAGGCTGGTTATCCAACCCCAAAAGGAGACAGTACGCAGCGATACTCGAACCTCCTCGTGATAGACAATTTTCCTTTTCTCGATATTGAATGGAGGCTAAGGTGGGGAGTCTTTTCAAATGCAGATGAATTTCTCTGCTTAATTATATTCCCCTGCACGAGCCTCCATTTCAAGCTAGTTCCAGTCCTATACCAAGAATACGAAAATGGCCTATTCAGCTTATATGCTGGAGGACCGTAATATATATGGGTTATTGACCAAGTGTGAGGTCAAGATGGTTGTAGTCAGTTTGCTCCAACAGTTGGCCCAGGGCCCCGCCATTTATGCTTATCGGTAATAAGAGGCTGTCTCTCATAGTTATAATCCCGGCTACAGGCTAACCTCGTACAGAGATATATGTGAAGTGACCAGCTGTTTACTTGGTTTCATCGTATAACTCTTAAAACTGGGAGTTTGTGCCAGGGGGGATTATTTTTTATTTTTAAGACGGTTGTCAGTTGTTTTAGTCTTGCCTGACGGAATCTTTGTTGTGCTTATATTATAACTCGTGGTTGATACGATAAGACCGATTTGTTCAATACTAGTGCAAACTCGACTAAATCCCTAAGAAGGTAAGAAGAAGAAGCTTAAGTTACAACAACTCAGCTTTTGAAAGCGAGCATTGAAATGTACTAATTTCCGTTTTCTATTCATAAAGTTTTGAAATTGGTTGGACCCGTAATAAAGCCTGTACCCACGGATTGGTTCCGCTTGATATTTCAGCCATGCAAAAACACGCATCATACGTTATATGGAGTCTTCTTGTAGTCGATATAACGCGCGCCCTGATTGGCTCATTCAAGGGAATTATTCTCTCGTAATGCTCCCTGGTCGGGAGTCCATTGCTGCCACTGGCCGATTTCCAGCCTGCAAAACCAAGGCAAAGGGAAAATTGTTGAGGGAGAACAGGATGAGTGACCTGGAGCACCCTGAACGTGAATTCTATTATTTGAAGATCAGCGAATTCAGTGTTCAATTACGCCTGAGTTGGCGCCGGAAAAGACGAATGACACAGCTGAACATCTTTTAATAAGCCACAAAATAAACTACTTACTAACCTTGACCAAGAACTTTCAGCCCTACAGGGAGGTATCTAAAACCTAGGCATTGCCGTATTGACCTCGCTTCTGCTCGATCGGTTAACACGGCTTGATATATTTTCCCGTTAAGATCCCACTCTCGGTTAATAATAAATAGTTATTCTCATAAAATAATTGAGATCAGGCTATAGTTATGGGCGTTTTCATTGGTCGATAGGTGTCTTTTGATGGGAGTTTGTAAATACTTTTGATCGAATTTCTCTGTTTTCAGAAACATTTTATTCAAACAATGTAGGACTGTTTCCGTGTCTACATAGTCGCAACACTTGAGAGGGCACCAAAGTATAGTGGATGATATTAATATAAATTCAGTGAAACAATAACAAATTTGAAAGACTTAAAAAAATGATGTGGTAATGACGTGGAAATTAAAATATGCGAAATTCAAGTCAAGTGGATTTTTCATATAAAGGAAGATTTAAGTGGAATTCGCAAAAATTATAATTCAGGTATCATGGAGCTCCAATTTGTTTGCCCTATTAGACCGAGGAAAGTGGTTTTAACAACAAAAGCGGGAGTTACCATCAGTCCCAGACTTGGCTCGAACTCGCACCTTAAACTGAACCCGGCTCCCTCCTTGTACAGTAAAAAAACTCACATATATCGTTGAGCTGGTAATGGTGCTTTACCCCGGTAATGTCAGGGTCTTCTTCTCCATGTCGAACAGTAGTGAAATACCTACGTTGGTAGGGAAATAAGAGTGAGACTCGTCTATTTATATATTCCCTTTAGTTTATTTGTTTTTCGTAATAGATCAAAGTATACATTGCAATGTCGGAATACAACTTGAATGTTTACTTCATGTACCTTATAGATCAAACCCGCTTCATACATTGAAAATAATAACTTTTGTGCCAAACACCTTCCTAAAAAGATTTGTTTAACAATCTGACTCTGGATTTCAATACTGTGACGTAGATGAAACAATACAGATATTGCAAATCTTATTAGATTACATTTTGTACCAACAATTTTCCCATTTCACAATACCGAACCTAAACTAGATAGAGTCCAGAGTCCGTTAAGAGGCCTGTGATCTCTTTAGTAGAAAGCTTAACAACTTTTCTTTATCCTCTTGAACGGCTTCCGGAGTAGTTCATCTTGCATGGCTGGGATGATGCCCTTACGGAAAGCCACGGACAGAAGCTCATCGGCATCTTTGATGTTGGGATACTGACGCATCGCCCATTTCAGGTACACCAGAAACTCGTTCCAGTCGATATAGCCATCTTTATCCATATTGATTGCTTTCAGCGCCTTCAGCGTATCACGACAAATAAAGCAGCCAAAGTAGGGAGCCATGAAGCCATTATAGAAGGAATGGAACTTGAGAACGTCGTCAACTTCTTTATCTTCCTGGATGTCCCATTTGTCCCAGATCCTGCAGACCTCTTCAATGAGATGCTGGGCGTGCACACTTTTCACCTCGGCCTCTTCTATCACCTCTGCCATCTTGGCGGTCAGTTTTCCTCCTGCCCGATCAAACAGGAGAGCGATGCCCACTGGACTCATGTATTCTTCCTTCCTGTTGCCGGTCAGATCTTCTAGCATTTTCTCTTTCATGGTATGCGCCATTTCCATCGTAAATTGCGGATCTGCACCAAACAGATCCACTAGCCTCTCGTGGATCATGCGGTCGGACGACAGAGTGCTGATTCTAACTGGAGCCTCCTCTCCAAAGAACTCGGCCAGATTGAAGTCGGTCTCTCCAACTGTACCACCAGCAATGCTTCCAAAGTCGAATGCGAAGTCCAACGCCCTTTCACCGTAGATAACCTGTTTGGGATGAGGGGGCATCCCGGTAGTGATCTTAGTCACGTTAGATGCGGCTTCCCTCAGCTGTGTACACTTGTAACTATTCTGGACTTTGGTGTTACCCATTCGCACAAGATTCATCAGGGTGACAGTAGAACACGCGTGACCAAGCGCCGCTCCTTCTTCGCAGACGCTCGCCCAGATGCCGTTGGCTCCATTGACCAGACATTCAAGTTGCGTCATCTCTCCAAGGGCCCACTTCTGGTGGACATGAGCCAGAAGATGTCCAGACCATCCACGGGCGTCCATCACTTTACGCACACCTACATAGTAAAATATGTATTACTACGTTTCCTGAATTATGACTCTAACAGTGAAAAGGACTGATCTTTTCATGTTCCTCTAATATCTGGGTATTTTAGACTAGGGTTAAAAAGAAGTGAGGCAGTTTTAAAGGGCCGGCCCTAGTCAGCCACACCTTTGTTTTTGTTTACATGCAAGAATTTGGCTATTATTTTTTATTCGGAGCCTGTCGAAACGAAGAAAAATCACTCTAGAACTACTTAAGAGAATTTAACATACCTTCTGGAACACAGCTTACAGTAAAACAATAAGGATTCGCCTCATCATGCTATATCAATAATTTCGATGTCATCGAAAATGGCGGAGGCTGACTAGGGTCCTTTAACTGCAGGCGAACAGCCTTATTAAGATTTCAGAGCATAAAAACAAAAAGATACCGGCTTCGTTCACAACATTAAAAGAAGTATTTTTAATTTTTCAAATGAGTTATATAGACAAGAGTAAAGTAAAGTAACTTACCTGCAGTCCAAGCTCCCACTTCCTCTGGTAAGAACTTGCCAGTTGAAATGGTCAAAAAGTACGTGCACTTCGGTCGCGTTAAGGAAATTCAAGAAAATGTGCAGAGAATGAAGATGCAGACGAATGTTAACGAGAGAGTGCTTCTGTCCTTGAAAGAAATGGAGGAAAGAATGGTAAAGGTGAGTCAAAACTCAAATTCTCCTTACAGAAAAAGGCGTTGTTCACAGACCCTCTCTATTTTTTCTTGCAAGTTTTTTTTAACGCTTTTACTTTTAAAACAGCAAAAAGAATTGTGGGGACAGAAGAAAGAACAGTTTATTAAGGCTCGAGAAGACATTTTGGAAAGCTTTACCGTGTGTAAGTGTCAATAACATAAATGAACCAAAAACGCATGCATTGTTTTCTAAAATGGTAATCAATCAGAAACGTCAATTTGTTTTCTCCTTTCTTTTTTTTACCAGTTTAACTCAAGTGCACGAAGAGACCGGTATTCTACACACTAAACCGATAGATCTGATCCCGCGACTAGAAGAAATCAAAGAAGACGTGAAGGAAATAAACGAGGCAGACATAAGGGAAGCTGCCAACATTCCCAAGGAGCGTGCAAAGTTACGAAAAGCGCAATTACAGGCACAAGCAGCGGTTAAAGAGAAACCCCTCTCCCCTGTGGATGGTACTGGTGTCACGCGTGAGGCAAACCAGGGAACAACATGGAAGATATCGGGGGTAGTGAAGGGCATGGTAACTGAAGCCACGATAAGTCTCACTTCTGATTGGTTGATATCAGACAAGGAATTGCAACCATTACACTGCGAGTGGTTGCCTTTCTTTCCCCTTAGCGACACGCAGTATGTAAAAAAGTAAAATTTTATCATGCTAATTAATGGTAAAAAGGAGGGGAGATTGGGGCGGAGAGAGGAAAAAGGGTGTGTCCCATTTTCTCTTCGTTCGGGGTTCCACCTTGGTTCTTTGCGGCTTCGCTGCTCTCCCCCCTCGCATGCTCTTGATCTACTGTGACTCAAAAGAAAAATACGAGACTGCTCGCAGACTATGCATTATGCAAAGAATTTAAAATAATTTCCTGATCATGCAGAGAATGATAGAAACAGCAGTCTTTCTACGCCTTCTTTTTACAAACCGCATTTTGAATTTTCAGGTCATGTCCACATTTCCCCCTGCAATGGTCACTACACCAAAGTTGCTGCACTTGGATATCAATCGAAATCGTCTGGCGGCTCAGTAGTAAGTCAGCAGAGTTACATATAGAGGGACATTAAATTTTTGAACAAAGCAATGTCATGGGGAATTCACTTATCGATGGTTTCATAAGTTAGAGCACACACTTTCTCAGTATATCCAAGAGAAGTCACAAAAAACCCTTTTGAGAGGTTTCACTTGAAAAGTGACTTTACAGAACTTACATCTGTAAAATCAAGTTGCAACCACCTCGTAAGGATTCCATTAGCCACCCTGTGAAACAATAGTCCGTGTTGAAACGCATTTCTGCCCCTGCTGGGTTTCTCCTTGGGCTCTTCCCATTTATCCCTCCCCAAAAATGTTAATTCCCGTTTTCAAATCTATGAAGGATTTAAGACACAGGTCATTAGTAGAAAGACTGTCACCTGCCACCCTTTACCAGTTAAATTACAACTCTTCCCCACCCCAGAGGGGACCAAAAGTTGAGATACCCTGGGAATGGGGTTGATAAAATTCTAAAAAAACTTCCTTTTTCATTCCTTCATTTCAGTATTTTAGCGCGTTTAAGCCGTGGTTCATTGGATGCTAAATCAGTCAGTCTCCCTCCATCAAGTTTCTTCCCATCCCTATATGGCTATTACAAGAGACCAGATGATGGAATCCGAAAGACCAGGAGTGAAGTGGCACCAAAACGAAAGAACATTGTCAAGACGTTTAGATCCAAAGTGAGGTTCCTCCCTCCCATTGCCACCCTTTACCCTGAAGATGAACAGGAAGGAACTTCCTAGCGAATTACTATTTGAAGAATAACCAACTCAAGTGTTTAACGTTTATATCTTTCAAGTTCAAACCTAATTATTATGATAAAAATAATAAAAATTCATGCGAATTATTATGTAGCTCTTTGAGTGGTAGTGTGGAATAACATGAGCAGTTTTTCAAAAAGCTTTAAATTTCTGCTGTAAGATAAAGGTCTGCCTATTTTCTGCAGTATTTATCAGTGGAGCTGAAACCAAACTGTGGAATTGCACACCTTTTTGGCATCCTACCAATAACCAGTGAAGACAATTGGATATTTCCAGCCACAATTTGCTCATTATAATGCCGGCTTTGTGCTTTTACATCGTCCTTTACCTGCCAATGGAGCTATAAGAATGAGGTGTGAACTAGACTCCTCATTTCAAAGCATTGTCTAAATCCAAGTCTGTAATGAATCACAACATCCCTCTTCCACAACAACACGAAAGTGTCACTGTCTATGTTTCAAAACTGATACCAACCTAAAGCTTGTGACTGTGGACAAATCCTAAGATGTGGGCACTTTTAGGAATGAGAGTTCAGTCACATTTGTGTCATAAAATACTCTGGCCAACCACAACGTGTGCAAACCATCCAGAGAACTGATCAATGAGAAATGAAGAATACTTGATGCACAAAAGGAGACACATTGTGGAAAGTCACATTATCGGTTCTAAAGGCGCAAAGAGGTTTAACTACAATACTAAGAATCAGAAAAATTCATTTGACTTAGTTTTTTTGGTTAAAATAAATTCGGGGTGCCATCAACAGAATTTCCCAAAGAAGGGCAAAGTATAAACATGGCAAAAAAGGTTAGTAAGATAAAAGGGGAAATCAAGTGTCATAATCACACAACCGCATGTTATTCACTGTTAATTGATTTTATTATTTCAGCCTTTTTTTCTAACACTGCTCAGTTTTTATACAGCAGCGGCTTGGCGTGGTCCACCGACTCCTCCTGGACGCTGACCCTGAGGGTTGTCAGGCTGGCGATTAAAACAGAATGAGAGAAACAAAGGCAGGGTGAGATGACAGGAGGAAACTCAGCCTGTCTAATGACATGATGTTACGTTATTGTTCTCTAGCCCATTCTGTCTACTTAAGCAGTTTGTTGCAACTTTTTGGTGAAAAGTGCAGCAATGTAACCAGACCAGGAAATGCCACTGGGATCCCCACAAAATGTTCTCTTGCATTTCTGATAGGCTTTCAGCCAAATAAAAGTGATTGGAGTTCACTTTAAAGGTCAAGATTAATGGGTCTACTACACATATTATTGGACTTTCGGCTCCAGTAAAGTACTATAGACAAACAGCAGTTTTCTCACATACTAGTGAAAACTGGAATGGTTTTCAAAAGGAATGATAACACACTTTGCTATTAGACAACAATACTGTCACACCCTGAATGAAACCAATAATTCTCTTGTTCCACAACAGTTTTTCGCAGTGACAAAGCAGTGGCAAACTACAGTGATTGATGTAATTTTCAGTTGGGTCTGCCACATGTGTGGGATTCAAATTGTTCTGTTACACATGTATGTATTGGGAATTTACCCTTTTTCTGCACTTGGTGTACTGAGTTCACATTTTGATTTGTGAACAAACAACACAGATGTCAGAAATACACACGTAGATGACGGAGCTGCATTTAAAAGTGCTAAATGTGCTCAACCTTTGAGGATAAACATTACGCTACTAGAGTAACTAACCGTAGCTGCCTTGAAAACACAACTCATCAGAAAAGATTAAAATGTGTTGGGTAGGATAGCCTTGGCATAACCCACAGTAGTTGTAAACAAGAACTTTTTTCTGACTTACCCTGCGTGGGAACCTTGGAGGTGGGACCCTGATTTTTCTGTTTTCCTTAGAGCGATTCCTCACAACCTTGGAGTGAATTGCACAGCTCACACAGTAGTGAAGTTTCACATACAGTTTGGGAAGAGGATACACTAGAAATAAATGAAACGTATTAAATACAAAAATGCACATTATAACGGTATTATTGTCCAGTGATGCCTGACAGCAAACAAAGTTCTCTACAATAATATTATCATATGCCATTCTGATCTACTAACAAATAATTACCGTTTTAGTCCCATGAGTGACCAATACCAATATTCTCCAAACAACATCCACACAACATCAAGAGAAATGGTTGTAAAAATTAATTAAGACAATATCACTAAAGGAAAATACTTTGATGTTTGACCAAATTCTCTGCACTGTTTCTTAATCATTGCATGGAGATCAGACAGGAGAATTTGTATGCAGATGTAGTGTTTTGGACCAGAATTCTGAGAAAAGTCCTATCCCAAGAGCAACCAACCCCACCTTTTGTTAGTTTATGTAATAAAGAGATTTTCACACGGTGGTTATTTTGAAAATCCAGTTGTGTTCTGTGGAATATACTGCAAATTAATCTGAAATAAGCTCACTAATAATAACACAAGATCTTCACAAATAAGTTCTGTAGTGCTTCCATGATGGCCCAGCTAGGAGAGAGGAGTTAAAAAATGATAACTATTTCCACAAACACAGAAAATTTACTTTCTGCAGTTTTGTTGAAACCTCTTTTGCTTTTGTTTGTTGCTTCTTTTTCCAACACTATTACTGCAGCCAAGAAAGAGCCCCACTACAAGTATTAAAACATCAATGTTATATTACCTTCATAAACACTAGCATCAGCTATATCCCTGACAGCAGCTGCCTCCACAATGTTCCTGATCACAAACTTCTTAATAGCTTTGTCCTTAGGTACACATCGCGCACAGTTTGTACAACGCACAAACTTGACATGTCCACGGCCATGCTTGCTGCGCCCACAGTTACGCCTCTTTTGAGTCTGCATGTAAAATATGAAAATTAACTCTTGACCCCTGAAGTGGGCAGATGAAGACATAATTCTAACCATCTATCGTACTTCTTGAAACCAGCTAAGCATAACTGTTTTCAATAAAGTACAGTAACAACATTTGGTTTATGGTCACTTCGTTCCATGGTCAGATCATCCCGAGCCCGCAAATTGTTCCATTTAATAGTCCAATCATTTCAGTGTAAAAGTCAATATTAAGCACGATTTTATAGCCTCTAGGCTTAAAGAACAAGGCATACACATGAGCAATGTTGACTATTAAGTGGAACGATCTGGCTTGGAACTATCTAACCATAGAACAAAGTGACCGATACCCATTATCCCAGTCATATTATATGCAATCACATAGGCCCTCAAAGGGCAAAGAAAGAATATTTTCTGAAAGCACAAAAAAAAACTCAGCATTGGTTTGCAAATTTCCTGCTTGCATGTTTAAAGATATAATATATAATGACTGGTTTCCAACCCATTATTTTAATATAATTGAAGGGAGGAATCCTTCAAATTTTTATCCTTTATTTTATTAACCAGAGTTTCACGCTTTACCATTTTAAGAAAGCTTTTAGAATCTAAACAGACACTCTGAAATACCAACTAAGAGCTTTAAAATACTTCAGCTTAAAACTGATATGAAAATCAAAACCCGTCGCCAGTTATTGCTTCAATATCAATGAGCAAAAAGAACATACCAGCGGAAAAAATAAACAAATAAAAGATCAAAAAATTGAAAATTAACTGGAATTTGCCTTCTAACAACCGACAACGTGGGTTTTATACCAGCGCCACATTCGAACACAAATAGCTACAAAATCGGGCTTTTTCTTCGGCGATATCAACAAAGAACGCTTTGAGGGGCATAAGTGATGCCTAATAATCATTTCCGACGCCTCAAACGTCTTCACTGTTAAAATAACGACCGAAATACACATTGAATAAAGTTACACATCACAAAAACCTCACCATGTTGGATCTGAAAGAGGGAAAAGAGACCGCTCACATGGAGACCCTGAAATTTCACTTGGGCCATCCCGAAAATAACTCTATAGTATCGCGGGCGCAAGTTTCATCATTCACGTGCAAAGTCAAGATGGCTGCCTCTTTCTTGAATAGAATTGCTGCTCTTGGAATCGGCGTCGCCGCGATCGGTGGCGTCGTTAATACTGCCCTTTACAATGGTAAGATGCAACTTTGTTTACTGTTCTTGCAGCTTGGTGGATTTGTGAAAATGCGACGCATGATTTGGAAAATCGTTAAAGATTTGTTGGGAACTTCGACTGCATGCCCTCATGTAGGCTTAAGCTTAATCAATATTTCCTTTCTAAAGAAGCCCTAGCTGCACTGTATTTTTTCTGTGGCTGTAAAAATTATATGATAAATTACCTGCCATCAAAGATTAGGTGATCTTTCTTTACTTTATTTTTTTATGGGTTTTAACAAAGTGAAGTAAGCGTATATTTTTCTTTGCTTCGTACATTGGGTTAAAATTGTACCAAAAGAGCTGTAGCTTTATCACAAAAATGTTATCCAACTTCTAAAACTTCCTTAAAGAAGGTTTGAATAAAACCTGTTGGTGTCTTTAAGTTGAGGGTACATTTTTTTATTTTTCATCTGTTTAATTATCCTTTGACATTTATTGAAATTATTGCATAATGCTCCTTTCACTATATGTGAGAGGTGCGTGCGAGGAGGGACGGGGGAGGGAGGTGTTTGTGTCCAAAAAAAAAAAAAGCACTTGATTTGCTCTTTCAGGTAAGTAATGATAATATGTTAGGCTTTGGCTTGTAGCTTCCCTTTTTTTGGAGTCATAACTTTTGATGTACAAAGACCCATTCCAGAAATGACAGCTGGTGTAATATTCTTACATATAGTTACTGGTTTATAAAATCAGCCCTAGTAACATCATTCTCAAAATCAAAATTCAACAGAATATTGTACCTAAGGTTAGGCTAAAGAGACTCATTAGGAAAGTAGACAAGCCACCATTTTTGCAATGGGTCTCTATTTAATATAACAGCTGTATATTTGCTAACCTGAAAAGGTCTCTCTGTAAATGACAGAACACAGTATTTCTATGTATTTTTCACCTCTAATTATCTCTTAGTAACAACTTCAGAAGGGGATGTAAATTCTAACTACATGTACTATATAGAGTTAGTAAAGTCAACTCTTTTTACTTATAAATGCATACGATGTGGTTCTAATTTCAGTGGAAGGGGGCCATCGTGCTGTAATATTTGATAGATTTCAAGGTGTTAAACCTGAGGTCACCGGTGAAGGAACCCATTTCCTCATCCCGTGGGTACAGAGGCCCATTATATTTGACATTCGTAGCAGACCAAGAAATGTACCTGTTATAACTGGAAGTAAAGGTACTTTATTCATCTGTTTTGAAAAACACCTAAATGAACTATCTATGAGAAGATGTTGAATAGAACATAGAAAATGGTGTTTTGGGGTGTCAAGGGTGACTACTTCTATTCTCTGCACACCTACCGGTAACTCCTGGATAACTGCCTCCTCGCAGTACACCCATTTAGATGAAAAAGTTATGTTAGGCAACGAGGAGGGGACAGTATGTTCTGTGGGCTGTGGCTGAAGACAATGGATCAGAGGTTGTGTTTGGGCACTACTGGATTTGTGCACAGCAGCCTTGTTCCCGGGGTTCTCTCCTACCCATCCTGGGGAATGAGGTTACGTGGACTGAAGGCAAACATCTGAGAGTAACAATCTCAGTAAAATCCCTCTAGGGGAGTATACACCCCTTGTGGAGTATTGGCTACTGAAAAGCCTAATTCAGTTGGAAAGTTTTGATCCATTTATTCTCAAAATAGATCAGACTCAAATTCTGTGAGGAAAAGCCATACCAAGGTTATAATTGTACTGTACTTCCCAAACTGAGTGTGTGCTGAAAAACCTCTTTCTTTGAAGGCAGCAGAAAATAGAGTTTATTTCTAAGAAGGACTTTTGCTTAACAGATTTACAGAATGTTAATATTACACTGAGGATCCTGTTCAGACCCCAACCTCAGGTATTGCCAAACATGTACATGAACCTTGGAGAGGATTATGATGAGAGAGTTCTTCCATCAATTACAACTGAAGTTCTCAAGGCTGTTGTGGTAGGCCATAATGTTTTAGTTTACTTCAACTTTCAAACTACACTTTCATCACCAGGTTAACTTCTCCAGTATCGTTCCAACCATTCCAATATATTATTATCTTCTGATCAGTACTTGCTTGTAGTACTGTTCATGATGATATACAAGGTGGCAGGTTGTTATATTAAAACTGGTGATTGAAATGTGGAAGTGTGTTTAATAAACTAGAAGTAATCACTGATTGAGGATCCGCGTTCGTCACTTACGCAAATGAAATAGAGTCAAAGGGATTCTAGTTTCCTGTGGCCGAGATGCTACTGATAAAATTAGGGGCAGCTAGTTTGCAATTGGCCGTGATAGCTCAAAAATTTCTGCCTTAGGTGCGGCAGGAACACCAGATTAGGATGCATTCTGATGAACGCAATTATTTGGCATTGTAAAAAGCTACTGATCATTGGTTCTTTCTGGTTCTCATAATTTTTGTCTTCCAAGCTGACTCTAACTGACAATGTTTTTGTTCACAAGGCTCAGTTTGATGCTGGAGAACTTATCACACAAAGAGAAGTGGTAGGTTTGTCACAAGATTTCACTTTTTTAAAACTGTATTTGCCACTTTAGAAACGAGGAGGGAACTGAAGGCAAAATTTGTCCCGTAATTGAGTCTGGGATTGTTACTTTGGACACACCAGTTAGCTATTTGGCCATTTTTTCCCCTGTCCTTAGTAGCAGTCCCAGAAGTCTTTGTGAATGTTATCTCGGCCCAGTTCCCTTCTCGGTTCTAAAGTGGCAAATTGGAGGAGAGATTTAAAAAGGATGATACTCATTGTCTCTAAAAGTTATGGTGAAAATTTAAAATCTTATGTTCAAGAACATTTTATGTTAGCTGACACAAACGTCGAGTGAGGCAAGATGCTGCTTTTCTTTGGAACATTGCCAAGTAAACCTTTCAGAAGACATGTCCAGTATTCTTTATTCAAGCTAAATAATCTTCAGCTTTCTTTAACTTGTTATTTCCAAGTTTTGAGAAATGATATGTTGTCTATTTTGAATAATGAAGAGTTTACATGCAAATTTTAAATTTTGTAGGTTTCTCAGAAAGTTCAAGAGGCGCTGACAGAGCGAGCTACAAGTTTTGGTCTTATTTTGGATGATATCTCTTTGGTAGGGGTCATTAAGAATTTAGCATTTAATGAGAACAGCCCTTTGGGGGGGATTGGGGGAGATCTTAGGGATTGTGGTAGAGGTACCCCTTGAATGTCCATACACCCTTCCTACCAGAGAAACCTCTTTTTGAAGTTGAAGAAAAATGCACCTCCCTGCCCTCTGCACCCGACCCCCCGTCCCCCGTAAACTTTAGGCCCCGGTTGTTCAAATTTGGATAGCACTATCCAACTGATAAATCACCATCCTTTGAGTTGTTTGACCATGCAATTTTCAAGAGCATCAACAAAGAAAGAAAGAGAACTTAAATTGAACAGAAACAGTTCTTGAATCTGAACTGCAAATTACAGTATTAATTGAAAGAAATTTAATGACTGTGACGGCGATGTACAAGGATAGAGGCAAGGAATAGAAAAAGTAACCAGCAAACATCCCTATGTACCTGTGTTGATACAGACAGTTAAGAAATCATGAAAGAGTTCAAGGTGATAAACCTCATTCAATAGCAGCTTTTAGATTTGACTACCAGTATGACTTTGGAATCTGAAGCCAGTTAAATCCTCAGAACTCTAACTCCTTCCTGTTCGCGACCAGAACAGGGTAAGATTGCAGTTTATTTAAGCACACAAACTGGATTTGAAAGCTCGTACTCATTTTCAGTCTCTTGCTTGTAATCAAATCTAAGGTTATCAACAACCTTTTCCAGCCTTGGTATCATGGATCCTTAATGTCAATTTATGGCAACTCTGTCTAGGTTTTCCTTGTTTAAATTGTTTTGTTTTCCTTGTTTTAGACTCATTTGACCTTTGGTAAAGAATTTACAGAGGCCGTTGAATTAAAACAAGTCGGTAAGTGAAGGATTTTGCTGTTGTCTGTTTGGAACGTCTGCATTCAACAAGTATACACCCTGCTAGGGGAAAAGAAAAATTAAAGTTTTTATTGCCGATTAGGTTTTTTTGCATACCATTAGAAATATTTTTTTTCCTTTTCTTTGTGTAACTTTGTGGCTTTTTTCTCTTCTATCCTCTAGCTCAGCAAGAAGCGGAGCGTGCCAGATTTCTTGTAGAGAAAGTAAGTAGTTGGACAAGACAAATTATCTAAATAGTCTCTTTGAAAATAAATCCAGCAATGGTAAAGAGCATGAGCTGCTACAGTCATCTCGCCACCAAGAGGTCGACTTGCCGCCAACATTGTTCAAATTTTTATTCCATTTCCATGAGCCCTAGAGGTAAAAATGTTTAGTAGATGGCAACCGATCACAGATTTCGTTTTCGTTGATGGCGAGATGACTGGATTCCCCGCTAGATGTTTTACCTGTGGAGCTAGTCTCCTCTCCAGCATATTGTGATTGGTCAGTCTATGGTATGAATACGTCACAGTCGGAAAAGTGGCGCTACTTGCCTGCAGATATATCTTGTAGCAACGTATAAAACCACTTTTTCTTCCTCTCTCGTCTCTAGGCTGAGCAGCTCAAGAGAGCGGCCATTATCACCGCTGAAGGAGATGCCAAAGGCGCAGAAATGCTGGCTGATGCGTTTAAAGAAGCAGGGGAGGGCCTTGTAGAGCTGAGAAAGCTGGAAGCTGCTGAAGAAATCGCAGACAGATTGTCTCGTTCACGAAACGTTGCTTACCTACCAAGTGGACAGAACATGCTTTTGAATTTACCTGTTGGTCGTCAGTAAATATGAGTTTTAAAGGACTTAACCCTATAATTCCGACAACAGACGTTGTTTTCGAGGATTTAGATTAGGTTTTCGTATCAGAGTTGGGTAGACTTGAAATCGTGCACTTCTTGTCGGAACTTTAGGGTTTAGGCACCTGCTGAGGTAAAGTATTTGGTCTCTTCAGGCCACTTGAGCTTAAGGCCAGTTATTTGTCACGGGAAAGTAAAGAAATGACCAGAGAGGTTTGTTTTGTTGTACGTCTTTAGAACCATTGCAAACAATCTGTAACTACAGGAGTTTTCCTGATCAATCGGAGAGTGTTGTCAGTTACCGTAAAAGGCCAATTACACGGGCGATTTTATCACTTAGGACGACTAGAGCGGCAATTTAAGCGCGATCTATCTTCGAGTTATTAAACAATATTATAAGCATACGCAGTTGCTTGTAAACAAAAAATGGCGGACAGTACTTATTTCCAAGAACAGGTCGCTTGTTGCGATAAATCACGCTGAAATAGCAAGTGATCAGCCCTTGTCGCCCATTAAAATCGCCCTGGTAGACCAGCCTTAATAATGATGTAACTTGTAATAAATTTTGGACAGAAACACGAGATTCTCGGTGTAAACAAGTACTCGTTTTAATTCCAAAGGCTTTGGGTTTCTCACACCAGTGCCAAGGCAGGTTTAGAGTAAACTTACTTAAAAGAACCACGTAAAACATGATTCATCAAACAAGCAATGGTACTTCGTAGAAGTACCTGGAAATGATTGCCATGCTAGATTGGTCTTATTCGTCGCCTGAGAAACTCTACGGAAAATGGGCATAACCTTTTGGTGCAGTGATTTCCGGGATCGTTTGGGTGGACAAGCTTAGCTATTTAACCAATCATAAGTAACGTTCGTCCACCCAAATGATCCCAGAATTCGTTTTGCCGAAAACTTGTACCCATTCCCCTTATAATTTTGGAGTTTCTTTTTTTATCCTCTTAAGAAGTCTTGAATGTGAAGCTGGGTTGTTAATTTTGCAAGGACACCATAAATTTGAATCAATGGCAGTCGGTTACTGGCTGAATTTTATCTAACACGACTCCACATCCGAGTATGTCCGACTTCGAGATGTAATGTTCTGCCTTTCTTTAAAAGAAAGACGTGTATTTCGCTTCAAGGGCTTAGCAGCTAACCATACCCCTGGTTCCACCGGAGAGATCATCTGAGCTTACGGTAACATCATTACTTTTTCCATAAACGGCGTCTTCTGCTTGCTCATACGCAGTGTTTTGTCTCCCGTGATTCCCTTCTTTGGCGGCGGTTTCTTTGGACGCTAGGTCACTGAATAACTGTGAAACTGTTAGAGCCCGTGAACGGGACATACCTTAAATCGCAATGAAACAATAGCATTATTAGACGCATGAGGTAATCAGGGTTTTATCTAGGATTTATCGTTTGGGGGAGAAGCCCCGAGTGGCCGAAGGCTACGAGCTTCCTAGGGGGGTCCGGGGGCATGCTCCCCCGGAAATTTTTGGAATGAATATGCGCTGAGATGCAATCTGGTGCGTTTTGAGACCCAATTTTGAGAAATGTTACAGTGGTATTTTATTTTATTTTTTAGTCTTGATCACGTTCTGACAATGTTACACTTAGCTCCGATATTTTTTGGGGGGAAGTTGGGGATTTTGGAGGGGAAGCTTCTACCCCTCAAACACCCTAGATAGAACCCTGGTAATGCATTAGACTTGGGTCGTTGATCTCAAATTGCATTATAGGACTGTTATGGGTACTTTCGCAAGTACTTAATTTCGCGAGTAACTAGGAGCCGGATTTCTCGAGTACTAATTTTCGCGATTGCAAAAAAAAATTAGAGAAAAAGCGTACTAAATTTCGCGATTTTGTCTTCGTTTAATTTTCGTAAATCCTGAGCAGAGGGCACTTGTCACAAATCAATAAAACGTACGTATTTCAAAGCAAGATTGTAAACTTACAACTGCCTTATATAGAACCTTATGAACAAGACAAGACGTAACTGCTTGCTGTGTTGTATGCTATCTATACAATGTATATCGTACAGTTCAGTGCTTAAAATGCAACTTGAGATGTTCAGTCAATGTGCAAGGTACAAAAAACCCCCGGACTCAGAACATTTTTAAAATTCTCACTGTTTGGTTTCGAAAATGGGATTAAATTTCGCGATTTTAAAAATTTCGCGAAATTTAATACTCGCGAAAATTAGTAAGAATAGGGTACGCTATCCCATTTACATTGGCTCAAGCCATCAAACACTCCCATAATGCAATTCGACACTACACCGGCCCAGTCTGATTCGCTAAATGGTCCATTGTGCAATCTGCGTCGAGAAGGCCAGGGAACAAAACAATTGCCGGACACACTTCGGTTCCAGTTCCCCTCTCGTTTCTGAAGTGGCGAATTAGGACCTTGGTGACACTTTTCTAGATCTCAACGGCGCAATAGACCTATTCGGCTAACTCAATGTTGTAACCAATTCAAACCCTTTGGGCATAAAACGTTTTGTTTCAGGAATTTCCATATCATTTAAATGTGAATGCCACATTATGATGCAAACACAACACACAAAGAATCTTAACCCCGGGAGATCTGAATTGGGTACAACATTGAGTTAGCGGAATAGGTCTATTCCATCGTCCCGACTCATGTTATGACGGACGCCGAGTGACATCTTTCAACATTCAGACGTGACTGGAAAAAACATTTCATCCGACTTTACTAATACTTGTCAGTTTAGTTGGGCTACTACTCTCCTGTTTCGCATCAACGGAAATTGTTGTCGATGTAATACATTCACATATTTCCCCTCTAAAGCAAATGTTTTCTAAGGAAATTCCAATCTCGCACCTCGAGTCTTCGTCCCTTAATGTGCATGCTCTGGTCATGGGGAACGAAGACGCTGGGTACGAGGGTGAGGAAATTCTTGTTAAATATTTTCGGTGGTCGCTTACGAGAGGTGGTCGGACATAAAAGACAGCAAAATTAGAAGAATAAAACTTCTTTTATACTTACTTAAATTTGACGAAGCGCTCAGAGATCTTGGTCTTTGTGTACATCCACATATACTGCACACCGCCTCAAAGACTCGCTTGTAAGCCCACCTATAGCGCATGCTCATTGTACCATAAATGATGGGGTTGGCCAGAGCGTAGATAAGAGATACCATTCCTGTGAGAAGTACCACCAGTTTACTGGACCTCTTCTCTGTTACCAGGGTAACTATGTTACTTATCTGAAAAGAAAGTTTAGCGTTCTTGTTTGATTCAATCTCTGCTGTAATTACTGAGCTGGAAACCCAACTAGGGGAAAAAATGACTTCCAACAAAGTTTCTTTTTGGGTGGGGGAACAGGGGTCCAAACCTCCGACATCCCGTACTTTTCATTCCCGGCTCTCGCCCCCTTATTCTTAACTTCTCTTTAGCGCTTGTTTGATTGCGAAACATCAAGCATTGCTGCATAATTTCCTCCCCGGAAGGGTTACTAGGGTTAATTTTTGCTGGGTATGTGCCGCTGACCTCTCAGAGCCCCTACCCCATTATAGTTTATTCTGTGGCCAATTATAGACCCCATCTTTGTCTCTTTTGGGCAAATATGTAATTTTCGCAACGCAACTTAGTCATTTTATAAATTGGCCCATTTCAGTTAGATTGAATGAAGAACACTTTACTTTTACTTTTCATCTACAGTATAAACATTCTGGTACGTTTGCTAATCGTAAATATGAAGAACTGTCTTACCCCCAAAAATCTGGAAATGTGAGACCCCATCCTGGTAACTCTATTGAAAATACGACCAGTCGTGAAAATGCGACCCCATCCAGCGGCACATCCCCACTAGCCTCTCATAAGGAAGTACCCCCCCGATTTCCTCCTATCTATCCCGCTTTTAACCCTTTTAGAACTTCCACTTCCGGTCCCCCTCCCATCCCCTCCAGCCCCCTATTCTCCCAGTCTTTCACCTCTTGTCATCCAAGCCTCATCAATGAGTTTCTCTCAGCCCCCAGGAGGGGAACATGGGAGAGGACGTTCCTAAAATAACAATACAGATGTTTTATGCGAGAGCAGCCTATTGATAATCCTAATTAAGACGAGTTCGAGAACGGGGAAAAATATTCAATAAGAATTAAAGCTTCACAAAATCTACCAGATCCTGGCAGGGTATCGTTTTGAATGGAAAATCCGGCATTCAAAAACAAAACTAGACACCAAAACTCACCAGGATTGGAAGCCAGCTGATGTAGTAGAGAAACACCACAACAGCCATCATTCGAGAGAGTCTTCGGATTTCGCGCACACCAGAAGGGTTACTTTTGCGTCTTTCCCTCGAGCGCTCACAGTACTCTTCGGGAATCGACCCTCGGGACACATCGTTTCCCGCGCGCTTATTTTTCGTGTCCATTGTTGTCTGTCTTCGTATAAACCTCGTACTTGACGACTTGATAGCAATCCAGCATATTAATACTATTGCTAAAAGCACGAATGACGTGGATACAATTAATATCGCGTATGTTCTGCCCAAGTCTGATAAGTGATAAAAACATTTCCCGTCTTCGAAGCCAGATTTTCCAACTCCCATGAAGGGGAGACTGGCAAAGAACACAGCGATGAGCCAATTAAACAAAACAGCTTTCCTGATTCGCGAAATCGTGATGGTTGTATGATATTTTAAAGGCCATAGAATCATTAACGTACGCTCTATTGTAATAAGTATAACAGTACCCGCGGAAGCGAATCGAAGAGTGTGCACCATAACAATGAAGAAACCGCAAAGAAATTCTGTCCAGTTCTGTTGGAGGAAATAATTCATGAAAATTACAATTTGAAGAGGAAAAGATCCGCCAACGAAATCAGCAGTGGATAACGACAGGAGAAGAATATCGGTAATGGCCCAGTATTTTTGGACTCGTAGAGACAGAAGAACCAAAAGATTACCAAATACCACGGCTAGAATACCTGATTCTAGGATTAATCCAATGACGAATGGATTTAGAGAAGAGTTTTCATCATCATCATCAGGGTTTTTTGGTGTAGTAAGACCCAGTTTCCTGGAAGATGTGCTGTTGGATATATCGTGAATTGCCGAGCCCGTGGGAGCCATTTGCTTGAGGTAATCAGTTGTCAAATTGCCGTCCAGCCATTTCCATTGTTCTTTTCAAGTTGTTCTGTCGGTGAAATGGAAAATGCTAACATTGATGCGTTATACAAAATAATGAACAATTTCATTCAGATCGGTGCGCGAAATGTTCATTTTCACAGCGTTAAATAAAAAGACTTAGTCAAAAACGTGTCAAATAAGCCGCTCACTGTGCATGCACATCACATTGATCAGTTAGTCTTAAAGAGATGATAATTTCAAAACAATTAACGAGTGAGAACAGTTATCACTCACGTACAGTTACTCTTAAACTTGGCCGCTCCGTTAGATCGTTACAACAGATAATTTGCACAAAAGAAAGCTTGACAGTCCCTGACAGTCCTCTTCACATTGAAATAATAGTCGCATTGAAGAGGGGAATTTAAATTGCATTTGTTCGAGAGCAGACAATCTATTACGCTTGAGTGGAAATGCATTCCAACCTGCATTTTGATTTATTCCCGACAGCATCTGAATCGCTTCTTTTATTCTTTCCTTAACACATGAGAAAACATGTACAATGTTGTTTCAATATTTATTGAAATTTCGGTGGCGTCAACATGAGCATATTGGAGGTGAAAAATCACGATATTTTCAAAATTTAGTAAATCCCTTTTTGAACGTACTGTGATCCTGAACTTGAAAAATTGATGTTTCAATACTGTGGAAACGTTTTTTTTTAGCATTGAATTGAAGTTCCTACAGGGCAATGCGCATATCTGAGAGAGAGAGAGAGAGACGTGACCGGAAAACTGGAATACTGGACTTTTGAAACACCGGAACACAGAACACCAGAAAGCTGTGTAAATTTAAGAAACCTTCGAGGAACCTTCCATCTCAAACCTTTGAGAAACGTTCAGGAAAGCTTCAGCCTCTTTACAGTCAAGGATGTTTTCCGTTTTGATATAGGGCAAGAGTGAAAGTTCGACAAAAATAAAAACAAACTAATCCTAGATTAATTTAATTACTTTTTTCATGTGTGGAATACCCTGCTGTTCGTTTTGTTTACTTGACTGTTCATTATAAGGGTTATGTCATGTTACTTGCCATCTTTTTCAAAATGCGAAAACTTTTTTCGCACCAACTGAATTCCAACAATAATGGTCCAGTTTTATCATTTAAGACTTCATTTAGGCAATGAAACTGTTTCCGTCGTCCGTTGCAAAGGATGGCAAGGATGGACATTGATTAAATCTTGAAAAAACTGGCTCCAACTTGTTTTAAATTTTAATGCTATGCTGCAGAAATCACCAAAAAAAAATATTATGGCTACATGTATTATTTCCTGATGAAAAGGGGGAAAGGCCCTTAGTAATGGTTTTAGCACAGAATTGACCTAAAACAGCAGTATCCCTGTCACATAGACCCTTTAAGCCCTAAAAGCGATCAGCATCAAATTCCTTCTTGTGATATTAATGCTTTGTAAACAGAGTGGCCATGACAATTACGGACATGATCACACAAGCTGAATTTGCTTGATATTTTATCAACTTCTCCCCACAATTTCTGTACGAGGAAATGAATAGGGGCAACAAACGAGAATTCAAATTTTGATCTTAGGGTTAAAAGGGTAAACTATGATTTACTCAGTAGCAAATCAGTCCCTCATTCTCATTGACTGGGAATACACTAGTTGTCGGTCACATCAGTTTATATATAGAAAACAGAGAAAAAGCGGGTTTAGAACCAATAAATAACCGATAAAAATCGCTAAAGAGAGCTCTTATATTTGTATTTAGAAGTATTGGCAGTTTCTTACGAGAAAAATAGAAGAAAACGCAAACACGTAGATGAAAAATGGACAATTTTTCTCACTCTCTATTTCACCCAATATGGAAGACATTTTTCAACTTTCCTTGTCACTGTCGAGCGATACTAGTTTAGACTTCCTTTCCTCTTTCCCCTTAAAACAAATAAATTCACTTTGTCATGGTTTTCCTCAGTATAAATCGCCGGAGACGTCACTAAAACCATCACAGAACAATCACCTCGCCTGCGGACAGATGGGCGCTTTTTGTACAGTCGCGAACTCCGCTTTACGGACACCCGTATAATACGAGCACTTCGTTATTACGAACAGTTTGCTTTGTCCCTGGGGAAAGAAAGCTCTCAGATTTTCTCTGAATTCAACCCGCTTGATGCGGATACCCGTTAATACCGACACTTTCTATGGCCCCCACAGAGTTTGACTATACTTAGGTCCGTTTTGCGGTCACCCTGAGGGCAATTCTAAAGCTGAGTCCGGTATATGAGTAAAATCCTCGCGCGACTATTCATTTGAAAACTGCCAAGTAGGACGTTTGTGTTTTCAGTGCAGCTGCTTCACAAAATGATTAAAACTTAAAACCTGAGGCTGAGGTTTTGAACTCAGTGTGGCCTCCGTCATTTGGAAGAGCGGAAATTACCTGAGAGATAATCTGCTGTGCCGTTGGTGACGTTTTTGCCTTGTTTTAGGTGAACGCTTTCCAATGGCGCGGAAAAATAAACTTGAGTTGACAATGGAGAGATTTTGAGACGCTTTACGAGTCAATTCGAACCACGTAACCAAGCGTTCTTACGTGTCGTTTATCACTTGAGTGATAATCTTTCGTGCCGTTTTCGACCTTTTTTTAACCTTATTTAAAGTGAACGTTTCCAACGGCGCGGAAAAGTAAACTTGAGTTGACAATAGAGAGATTTTGAATCACGTTTACGGAAAACGGAAACGTCAATTTGTACCACGTGACCAAGTTTTCTCTACTTCACTGGAGTCGTTTACTGTTCATTATCACCTACAAAAAAATAAGTGGTCTTATGGTAGTTTCATCCATAAGGGTGATTTTGCACAGCTTTTTCTTCTCATTTCTTAATTTGAGAAATTATCCACTTGAATCCGTCTCAAGTTTTCCATTTGCCGCAAAACATTACTCTCCTTCTTCATACTAATGCTCGTTTTGAGTTACGGTGTGATATGTTCGTTGATAACTGAGATATGCAGTGATGTCCCCATGGCATATCAGAAGCTTTTAGATCTTTGATTCGTTTTTGGAATGAAGGTCGAAAACAACCTTGCGTTTTAAATAATAAATATCGTTAGTTCCCAAAAGTTTAACATGTCTTTTACATTCAGTGAAAACAGAAGAATATACCAGTTGAAAATCACTTGCTTAGAGTACTATATTTCTAATTTAGAAAACTATTGTCGTTTGTTGCTAGTATTATAAAGTATAAACAAATAAACTTGATTTGTTTACTCACAAAAACCCCTCAAACCTTTTAAGACGTTTGCTCAGAGAAAGGAAAACTACCAACAACAAGCTTCGTTCATTTCGATGTGTCTTCTCCATAACAACAATTTTCAAAGATGATCACAAAAAGTAACTCCAGGACATGACGGATAACTTTTCCTTTCATTCAGCGAGTGTGAAAGCCTTTCATATGAATGATTCACTCATACAAGTCTTTTGAACAAATATGAACAATTTCAAACTAATTTTAGTAAATCGAGAGTTGTGTTTTCAAGGAAATGTTTTCATGGAGTTTGCGTCACTGTTGCTAAAACACACCTACATTTAATAATCACCGCTGTTAATGCTATCATGCTGGTTATAATTGTTTCAACAATCAGAAATCATTTCCTTTCTATCAAATTTAAAATGCTAGTGAGACACTGAGCCCTTTGAGGCCTCTAAAGGTGAACAAAGTCAAATTCCAAAAAAAATTATAATTTTCATTTTATAAAAAATTTACAAAGTATTGCCAAAAAGATTTCATTTGAATGGTCACACTTTAGGATTTCATCCAAAGACTCAAAAGTGAGAATCACCTTGTTCAGCATAATAAACAGTACCACAGGAAAGTACTGCTCAGTAGCTTTCATTTGATTGGTCACAATTTAACATTTCATCCAAACGCTCAAAAGTTAGAACCACCTTGTACAGCATAATAAACAGTACCACAGGAAAGTACTGCTCAGTAGCTTTCATTTGAATGGTCACACTTTAGGATTTCATCCACAGACTCAAAAGTTAGAATCACCTTGTTCAGCATAATAAACAGTACTACAGGAAAGTACTGCTCAGTAGCTTTCATTTGAAGGGTCACAATTTAAGATTTCATCCACACGCTCAAAAGTTAGAACCATATTACGAGACTCCATTATTGACAAAAGCTAATATAGCTGTAATATACCCAAGGACCCAAGGATTCTGTCAGTTGTTGTAAAGTGATCACCGTACAAATGGCTCTGTGTACTTAGCTGAAAATTGTTTACTTGTGTTAGTAAAAGAGAGAAGCATAATGGGTTATTCGTCATGCACGCAGTTGACTTATGAAAACATCGATATTGGACTTGTCAAACTAAGAGAGGGCAAAACCGATAACGCTTTTTAAAACCACTTCTTTACACACTCGCATGTTACTTCTGGGTTAGAAGAGAGAAAAGATCTTAAACTGACGAAATAAACTGAGAAAGTATGAGGAAGAGAGAACGAAAAAACCGTGGATAAAAAAAACTTCACAAATGGGAAATAAAGAAATACATTTCAAGGAGTGAAACGTGAAATAAAAAGGAGCCGTGGAACATAACTAAGTATCACGAAAATGCGCTCATTGAGAACTAAGGTGGCTTCAGATCGAATCATTAAGATGCTATATAAGTCACGGCGAGATCATCGTCCCTTGCCGTGAATAAGTATAATAGTTTTATACGAAACAAAAGAATCATGCAGTACAAGTACTGATTATTAAAAATGTTCGATAATTTATATTCATGGGATAATAACTTCTCGTATTCTAAATACATAAAACACACTCTAAAACGAATGGTTTGTTGGCATGGCCTATCACACCTAACGATGATTCAGTTTGAAAATTTTAGTCCAGGTACGAAATACTATAGTGTGACCATTCAAACGAGACCTCTTCGGTACGTTTAGGCCGGCCTATCACATCTAACGTGAATTATTCATGCTGTTGTAACTTTTTAGTCTGGGAATAAATTTATATAGTGTGACCATTCAATTTCGATTTTATGGATGTTTTTCTTTTACTTCGGCCCACCACTTTTGGGAGTCATGGTGGTTAAGATTTTCCTACCTGACCTGTCATAGAAAGGAAAGTCAGGCTTCCTCTGTTTAATTTTCGACATTAAAAGGAAGTATTTGAAAATGTGGTGTTCCCTCTCATACAACGTTTTCCGGAGTTTCATTTGAAACTACAAAATACCTGACACTCACTCCCTGATTAAACTGGTAAACACTGATTGACTGATCTTCCAAGTGTTTGAAACGAAGCTGTGAATAAAATCCACGTGTATTTATCAAATTTTTTAACTACTGAACATCGCTTTCTCGAGTCTAAACTATAATTAAACACAATTACCTTACCTCGCGCATTTCTCCTCTGAGGCAACTCCTTTTTTTCTTCCGTAATAAAAATGTTCTACCTTGCTGTTTTCACTTGAAATCAAACCATCTTTACTGTAAATTGGCGCAGGTTACTTTTTCTCTGTTAAGATCGTTGGTAAGTCGTTAAAAGCCTAAAGAAACAAACAAAGGTGAACGCAATTAGAGCACAAAAAGCTAAAAGCGTCATTATGCAGATGATTCTCTATTTACAATCTCCCACCTGTCACATCGTACAAACCTAGTTTTAAATTACGAGAACCGCAACACGGAAGCCTTTGTCTATGTGTGGCTGTTCATTAGAGGTATTGTTTCTACTTCTGTTATAGTATCAGCAGTCTCCGCTCAAATGTTTCTCCAGGTCTCCCTCGCCCGGAGAAGCTGAGAGAGTCCAGGAGCCCAGAACCAGGAAGGTGCAGCTCCTATACTTAGCCTATGCAACAGCGTTTTCACAAATCAAGTTATTTTTAGCATCATTTTTGGGCACTTTTTCCGGCGGAAATCGACGCACGGTTCCTTACGCTTGCGCATCGATAGTACAATAATTACAAAATGGACAAGAAGATGTTTTCAAAACATCAGAGATACTTTTTTCTAGTTTCTATTTTTTGCTGAATGATTTGTAACTGAGAATTATTTGATATTCAAAACTCGCGGGAAAATCGATCTAAAAATCAATATAAACTGGTCTATGAAAACGGACACGCTGTTGCATGCGTACAGGGGAGTGTTCGCTCTTGGTTATGGGCTCTAGAGACTGAGTGCTTTGGCAAACACTCCGTTACCTTCGTTCATAGTACCTTTCTGCGCGCGAATCTACGGTGGCCCACAACTGTCACGGCAAAACCAAAAACCTCACGGCAAAAACAAAATACCTCACGGCAAAACCGAAAACCTCAAGGCAAAAACGAAAACCTCACGGCAAAACCGAAAACCTCACGGCAAAAAAACAAAAACCTCATGGCAAAACCGAAAATTTTGTTCATTTTGTTTTCGCCGTGAAGTTTTTGGTTTTGCCGTGAGGTATTTTGTTTTTGCCGTGACAGTTGTGGGTCACCATACGAATCAGATTCTAATTCTGAAATATGACTTCTTCTCTAGACGTCATAGGAGAGAGAACGACCGGTAAATTTTTAGCCGTCAGTTAGCATGTCTTGAAAATCTCACAAACGTTCGACGATAAAAGTTGACCTTGTGAGAAAAGATCCGCCTACTGCAAAGGTTAACGAAACTTTGGTCCTCCGCAATGGCTGTGGTGATTTGCTATTTTCGAGTGGAGATGGCAAAATGATGTGCATGAAATAAAGTATAGTGTGTGTGTGTTATTTATCCCAATAGACGCTACAAAGGAAAATGGCGGACGCTATGCTGTTATCTTCGAATGCAAATACTGATATTTCAGCATCTGTTCTTTTAAATACTCAATTTGGAGTAGAAACTTTTCACAGAACGGCAGCAACTATACTTTTTCTGGGAATGTTTTAGAGCAACGTTGTCGCAGTTTTAGCATAATAAACTTCGGGAAATAGGAGGCAAAAGGTTGCCAACTTTATGTGATTATATAGCATATACAAGCCACCTTCATTTGGTTGCACATTATCAGTTTTCATTAAGCTTGAGGTAAAACAGGTCAAAACCGTTCTATAACTATCTCTGTTTCCACAGCCCCTTGGCGAGTTTTATAATTCAACGGTCACATAATTTTAATACCCGGCTCATTTAATACGATGAACAAACTCGCTTTTCCGTGCTTGACATCGATTTTAAATAACGTTTATTAAGTTGCCTACGTATATTGACGGCAAACGAAAAAGATGAAAGCCACTCTTTTGACGCATTAAATTGTATCAACAAGGCTGTTTATTAAGAGTGGCACTCTTTGATTCCTTCTTTCATCCAACGTGCTTTTAAAGAGTTGAAAAGGCTTAATGCAAACAATCTAGACCATGTCAAAAATAGTAATATACACGCGACAAGTCTATTTATTATGGTAATGTCTTTATATATTCTTGCTTTAAAAGCTGGATCAATGTCTAATGACCCAGGACGTCAGTACTATAACTAAACACTGAAAAACGTTTAAGCGCATGAGTTTCAGTGGCTGAAACGGTAAGCAAAAAAAAAAAAATTAAAACCACAGACGTGTTATTATCACAGATCAGTAAAAGTGAAATCCTTGTCGATCCAGTTGTCTTATCAAAATGAAAACTTCATGAGTTTCCCGGTAAAACTATAATTTAATTTTCTGGAAAAAGTACTGAAAATGTGACCAAAGAGTTTGAGAAGCTTTTTCCGTGGGAAGAAATGTGTTTTAGACTTCTTTAAAGTTCAATTTTGAAGCTTTCTTAACAATAAACTTGGCCATTTTTAGAAATGTTTGCGTTTCGTCTTGTTGCTAAGTAGGTGACGAGTAATTTGTCTTTTATTCAGGCCATTGACAGCGTCTTGTAAAAGAGTTGACGAATTCCGACTGTTTACACAAGGGTGAATGATCTAAGAGTGATTTATAGCCGGACGACTTGAAACAACCCTTTTCAATTTATTACATTTTCAAGGTCTTCGAGCAAGCAGTCGTCTACATCCTTAGCTATCCTTGAAAGATTCAACGCAACGCTCGACACCTCCACCATATCATGGCAACCCAACCAACTCAAACAGGAATCTTTACTCTCCCCTACACTGACGAAGTACTGAGAAACTTCTCAGGCAGCACCGTAAATGCGACAGACGCGAGGGAAAATTTAAACGCACTCATGACCGCGTTAATTCTTCAGTCCGTCATAATTATTGTCGTTTTTGGCAACGCCTTAGTTCTTGCAGCCTTGGCATCCTACCGCTCTTGGACATCTGCAGATATTTTGCTCTTCTCTCTTTCCTTAGCAGATTTCTTGGACTCTGCTTTAGCCGTCGAGCTCATAACAGTCGTAAGGTATTTTTTAGGACAACAGATGGCTAAACCTATGTGCGATGCGTTCGTAACTTTGGTCTACACTTTTCGCATGGCTTCGTCGTTTACGGTGACTTGTATTGCAGTCGAACGCTCTCTTTTGTTAAAGTTTCCACTAAGACATCATACACTTGTGACGCCCGCACGAATTAAAAAGTTCGTTGCAGCCATCTGGCTTTTCTCAATCTTTTCAGCTTTTCTACCGCTTATTGGTGCTGGAAACTCTGGGTTTAAGAACGGGGTGTGCTTTTCACAACTCTACGACCTGGGCAAAGCGTACGCCATTTATATAGAGACTTACGGTGCAATCATGTTTCTAACGGTGTTTGCATCGTATTTCACGATCAAGGTCTCGGGGATCAAGTTTATTCGAAGACAGACATTAATGAGAGGGCACGGAGGAGCGAGGAGCCAATCAAGCGTGTACAGTTGCCGAGGAAGCGTGCACAGTCCGGGAAAAACAAGCGGCGTGCGGAGCGTGCGTAAGCTAGCCGTTATGATGGGGATAGTCGTGATTATTTACTACATCAGCTGGCTGCCGTTCCTGGTAAGTTACACCTCGGAGAATTCTCTGTACATACCCTAAGGAAAAAGGTCTATGGCTGAATGACTGCCACGACGCTAGAGACTCTTCTTTATTCAAAACTCCAGCTGCACGGCTTTCTGGAGTCCCCGCCTTCAAATAACCCTGGGGGACGACACATTATCCCTCTGAGGCTTTGGTGCATAAACCCAACGAAAAAGTATTTGTGCTGTAATTACTCCCACCATGATAGAAAATCTCCGTTACTTATCCACCAGCATACTGGAAGTCCCTAACATTAAATCAAACAGGGGGACAACAGGTTTCGCTAGCCAAGAGGGGAAGGGTCGTCTGTACACAGGTTACGGTTTTCCCTCTTAAGGCAAAACGAAAAAACCCGGGCAATTTACCCAGTTTTGTAGTAAACAAACCCTTCAACCTAGGTATGGATTCCTGATAGTTAAAATAATTGACATATGCTTTTAAATGTAAACATGAATAAGCTTTTAGGCTGAAATGACATGTTAACTAAATTAAACGAACATACCGCAGCTGTAGAGAACTGTCAAGGAACCTTCCTAAAAACATAAACAAAAGATAGATTATTCCCTAAAATTTATTGCCTCAATTCTAATCAATGGATAATATATAAATTATAAAAGAAACATTTTTCGAAGTAAATTTTTGAACTGTTGACCATTAACATTTAAATACGGCACGAGAGGGTGAGCAAAGCTACGTTCCCATACAAACTACATCCCAAGTACGCTTGTCCATAAGTATCCATCTTCAGTTTCATTTAAGAAGGGATTATTCCCGAAACGTCTGTAATTCATCATGCGATCACGCTCTGTAGAAGCACAATTTTTTACCCATGACATTATTTAATTTGACTGCTTTGCAGCAAACAGTTTTCTTCTACGATTCCTCTTTAGCTCGATAACTGGAAAACGTTATAGCACTGACTAACAAAAACGCGCCAATGAAATTGATTAAAGAGTCTTTTTAGCCAATAATATTACGGCTTAACCATCAGACGACCAATAACATCGCGACCTAATTGACCAATCACGTCAATAACCAGAGTTAAATACCATTAACTGACGTGATTCAACTCCCTTTGACTCCGAAGATGACCAACGTACTGGCGTCTGCAGCCACACTGTCACCGTCAGCAACAGTCCTATTCCAGCCTCCTCCTCAGGCGCTTCGTTTTTCGCAGGGTAGAGGCGAGGGACTGGTGAGGAACAGCAAGGGACCATGGGAAGGGTACAGACGGCTGTCTCCTTTCCGCCTTCCTTTGCGCGCACATTTTCATCGAAAGAGACGTCTGGGTAAGAGGCAGGTCCTATTCAGCACTACGATCACCCGGGCGATAATGCTTCACTTACTTATGAAATGACTCCTAGGTTCAAACTTTTCACACAAAAAAATGTGTTTCACCGTTTAAAATGACTAGCTTATTTACTATTTACCTCTCTTTTATTTTCAGTTGAACAACTTGTTTTGCTTGATAATTGATCAACAGCCATCACCGAAGATAGTTTTGTTGACAACCCTCTTTTCTTTCCTTCACGCCCTCGCTAATCCACTGCTGTACGGTTGGATGAGCCAGCGATACAGGCGAGGTTACATTTTCGTGTTCAAAATGGTGCTGAGTGCGTGTGGAGGGCACCGCCCAGACAGGAGAACACTTGGTGAGTTTGACACGAATTAGATGTCAGTTTTATGCAAATATAAATTACTGTCACGCAAAAAAAAAGATCTTTAGTTAAGTGTATCTAGCCGTTGAATTAATGCCTTCTTCAAAACCAAAGAACTATGAGACGCAGAATTAGCAAAATAATATTGCCTATCCGTGTTTGTCTCAGACTAACGCCCCTATTCTAAAGTCATGGAAGTCTGAAGTTCTAACTCAACGGGTATGAGGTCTGTCACTGAGCATGCTCGAAAAAGGGTCTTTGAAGAACAGGGACCTCAAAATGTGTCCCACAAGACAATCATTGTTGATTATATGCGCACACTTTCTAGGCATGTCTTGTCGCTTTAGCACTGGGCCGAATCTCACCCGACAGCCATCGGCAACGGATATCACTGTATACAACAGCAGACCGTCCTTACAGCTTGTGGACCACCACCCAGCTACAACTAATGGGGAAAAAGAAGGTAAATGCGGTCGACCAGAGGAGATGGTAATCCTAATCTTAAATGCATGTAGCCAGTATTTGCTTGGACTTCCGCTAAGAATGAGTGGAAAGCATAGAACGCAATCTGATCACGCGCGTTTGGAACTTCTATCACGTGAAACTTATGCAACAAAAAGCGCTGGAGCAAGTGCGTTTTAACCTTCGATCGATCTCACCCACACTCCCTAGCCTTTAATTTGCGCATAAACTACGCAGGAGTAATAACGGTTCACTCGTGACAGTCAAAATGGACTTGAATGTGAGCAAGCCATAGGTCATGATCTCTGACCAAAAATGAGACAAGCCACACCAGGAAATACTTCTGCGCCTGCGCAGGCTATAATCATTTTTTGAGAGCTTGTTTTGACCTACTTTTTCCCGAAATAACACTTCAAATTTGAAATTGTGGAGCTCGCGTTTTCAAGCGTTAGATTACATTTCCCCCTAACGTTCCTTAATAAAAGTCACGTTAAACAGTTTTCACGTACTTTTTTAACTGCCACAGTAACTTTTAGGAAGGCTAGGCTACTTTGAGTGAAGTTCTTTTACTACAACCAGTTCAACGCTTTATTCGCGTCTTTGAGTGTGGTAGGTTTCATTTCCGTGATATGTTTTGTTTCACCGACGCGCTGGGCACTTCACATGCGAAAAATACGGTTAACAATGCTTTGGAAATCTTCGGGGATTTTCGGAATGGCCGCTCGTAAAACCTTCAGACAGCATTCCAACAGCATTGGAATCTTGGAATGTATTCGTAAAATCTTGAAAAATTCTGACGACAACAAAATAACTATGCCAAACTCGATTCTCTTTACCAACAGATAATATATATCTGATAGAAAAAGCGCTTCAACATAAGATGGAAATTTCTCGAAGCTTTGCTTTACTGTTTTCTTTTATCATTTTTTATAGACCACAGTTTGAATAACAACGTCGTTCCAAGTGAGCCTGGGAAGAACAAGGAAAAGGGTGATATTCCAAGAAACAATAACGAGGAACCATGTTCCCATGGCAACCAGGAGGCTACCACTGTTGAGGTTGAAAACAATGTGGGCGTCAACAATGCAAGCCTCGTTTCTGCGGAGGTGATCCAGTTATTAGACGCTCTCTTAAACAGAATAGAAATGAAGACGAATGCACAAGTCGAATTCGCCGAGTTATGAAGGCTTTCCTAAGGAGCTTGAATATATTCTTTAACATTTTTTTTGAGTTTTTGTTTTTGTTTGTTTGTTTACTTTTTTCACATTACAGTGTCATAGAAGACAAAATGCGAATATGGGTGTAGTTCTCGAAAGAAGGTTAGGTTCATAACTGTAGTAACTCCCTACGGCAATAAACACATCGAGGACTCAACAACTCGACAACATTGTATCACAAGATGGCGGATCGTACAAAACACATGGTCTTGCAATCGAACACGAGACGAAAACATCACTTCCGGTATAGTACAATAACCATAATACAGTGAACAAAGAATTAAAGTTCTTTGTGAAGTCCTGGATGTGTATGATGTATTATTACACAAAGATCATTGTTTAATCGCTTTAAGTTGATGGTTCTCTATCGGCTCTATTGTGTCTGACTGTTCTTTCGACAAATGCTTTTCAATTGGTTCGATGTTGGGTTGCGATTCAATAGATATCAGGTGTTTATCGATCGCTTCATGTGGTTTTATCTTTTCCATGTCTAAAACATGTTCCTTTATATCTCCAACTTCTTTCTCTTTTTCAAATTTTTCCATTAAAGGCTGGATCGGATCGATGGGTTTGGGAGGAGGAATAGCCACCCTCTTTTTTGACAATTTAGAATGTGCATAATGATGTCTTACTTTGTTGTCCTTGTTGTTTTTGTTGGTCCTTTGATTGTTTTTTTCCTTAACGCTCTCTTGTCTTTTGACCTGGCTAGATCTAAGTTTAAGACGGTGTATGCTCTTTGTCTCAAGAAAGTCACCCGGATTCGAGGCGACAAATTCTCGCCGCCTTGCATCTGCAGTAGTTTCATTGCTACTACTAGCTGTAGGATTAGCGAGACTAGAGTTGGTGTGACCAATATTGGCGTGACCAGGTATAAAGTCACCGGAACTAGCGTGACTTTTTTCCAATGGCTCTTCTTCTTCTAAGCTAAGGGGTATCTGCATGCTGGTAATCTCTTCTATGCCAGGAATTTTCTCGTTTTCACTCATTTCACTTCCAATCCGAGGCAGCGAGGGCAGATTCTCAATAGTGTTCATTTCATCCCCGATTGATCCCATCGGAGTCGGCGATGTTACCGAAATAGTATCGATTGCCGGTATACTTGTCGGCTGAGGAAAACTGTTCGGTGGATCTAGCGAATACGAGGCTAGATTCTGCGGACCATTTGCTGTATACGTATCACTTGGTTCACTGCTCTTTGCCGAGCTGACATTCGAGGGAGCAGAGAACTTTGTTCTTAGATCAAGTTTCCTATTAACAAAGGGTAAGTTTTCTTGAGCGTATGTAGAGCTCGGGGTCGTGTTTCCGCGCGCGGTTCCATCTTCCGTGGGCGCGGCCGATGTGGGGATAACGTAGACGGTTTCTAAGACACCACCAAGGTGAGGTCCGATCTGGTTGCCTTCGGTATCTAGGAGGATAGTTGTTGAAATTTTGTCAAAGACCAAGACTTATGAAGTGCTTTTCTGAAAGTCCTCCGCATGTGATATCCACACTAACATTTCACAGAAATATTTTAGTGCTGGACTTATAATTATCCACTCAAGAAGTGACAACCGCCGGAAATTGAAAAAGGGAATTCGTACATCCATTATTATTAATCACGTGTCCTCTTTTTCGAGCTCCATTGGCTCCTCTCTTCGCGAGAATGACGGCGTCACTCAGATTAACCCACCGGTAGTAAAATTGCTCATTTGAAATTTAAATTTTCTGGACCACGCCCTTTTTGCCCATATATGGGCATGTAATTTAAGATAGTAATGATATCTTCTGCTCTCTGATTGGTAAGTGTATGAGACTAGCGAGGTTAACTTCACTGGTACAAAGTCAAGGATCAGGTATTTAAAACCTTTAAGCACACTAATAAACAATGTGGTGACTGTGTGCAAATTAAAATTGAACAACTTGAGTTGTTTTGTTAGAAATTCATATTTCTCTGTTGACTTGGAAGCCATGCATTTGGGTTTCGAGGCTATTCGTTGCAAGGCAGTTGTAAAGAATATTACTACAATACAAAGCTCTGTTCTCCCGATTGTAACTTGCTTATGCACTTACCTGAATTGTAGGCCAAATAGTTTCCGTAACGTCCAGGATTTTTCATTGAGCATCCCTTAAAACGTAGACAACAAACAGAAGAACAGTTACCAACACCAAAAAGCAAAACAAACTTTTAAAAAACGAGTAAAGGGTGATGAATTTTGGTATTTACCTTGGAGGCGAGATAGAGAGTCCATACCAGAATTGTCAGCACGTTGCTAAACGATACCGTTGGTTTCATTTTCTGTGGTGAAATTTTGTTTTTCGCTGTCCACTTAGGAGAAGATGTTTAACCATTTTTCCTTAAAGATATTTAAGTATTGTCGCACTCGAGGAAGACATTTGTAAATTAGAAGAAAATGACAACCTGTTATGTTCAGCAGGTGTTTAAGTTTCAAGACGACCTCGAACAGGAAGGCATATTGAATTACCTGTCATTGTAAGCCCAGGAATATCTATATAAATGTAACTGATTTTAGCAGATCCTTCTTTTTCTAAAGGGAACCACAGCGCTACAAGAGCTGGCTCGTCCCCAGTCTGCCTCTCTATTTAGTTCGCACGCGGCGGACGGAACGCGAGAAGCGTGACCGAAGGCAGTGCGAGGGGTGATGGAGATTTCCTCCTTCCCATCACCCCTCACGCTCCCCTTGTCCCCGCATCTCTCGTAATATTAATGAGAGACTGAGAGACGACTGAAGACAAGCAAGCCACAAGGGTCTTTCGAGTCCCACTGTTGTTATCCGGAATGCTATACAGTGTTGACGAATACAAACAAGGACCGCAAATCTACTACCGACGGGGTGATGAGGCTTGTGCGTGATAACGCACCCCGTTCCTCAGTGAATCTAATACTCGGCTCCTTCGTTCTCATCGGTCAGCGGACGGGAGAGCCTGCTGCTCAGTCCCAGTCTTACCCAGCATCTCAAGCACAACCCTTATCACCCCGTCAGTAGTAGATTTGTTATCCTTGTTTGGATTTGTCAACACCGTATATTCGGCTGCCGTGGTGTCATGGCACGAATGTTCTAAATCCTTGTCTTGTTGACACGACACTCCACTGTGTGACCTTCATAAGGTGACCAGCGTTTTAAAGTCGGAGAACTCTAATTCCAATCCAAGTTAGCCCAATCTTGCCCAATCTCTGTACGGTGTTTTCCCAGGCCTTCTCCGTCAATTGACTTTGGTGACATATCCGAGGCGATCGGACCACGTGACCCTACACGCATTGTCCGTGCGGAATAATGAGGCTTAGGGACTAGGTTAAGCCCAACCTGGTTCCCAGGGTTCTCTCCTACCCGTCCCGACTGGCCCTGGGAACGAGGTTAAAATAAGCCCATTTTACTGTGTGAATGGAAATAAATCATAAAAGCCCCTCAAAATCCTGGATAAGTTTAAATATATTTAATTCTTACGACTATAAAAATAATTATCTTTAAACGTGCACGAGTCGTTAACATTCCAAAAGTAACGTAAGATTCACTGAACTCGTTTTTGCTTTTCCATGTCAGAGCCATTTATCTTTCCGACAACTTTAGCTGCATGTCCTGAACCTCAATATTTCCTTTTTCACGTTCTCAAAGCTGTTTCTCGCAAACTTTTCTGTATTCTTGCAATATTAGCGTCGAGATTTTCCAATCCTCTTCGAAAATCCTCCTCTTCACCCGACAAAAGCGGCGATACATCACAGCTGTTTAGTTCCTCCTCCAAATTTTCAACCTCTAACGCACCTTGCTCTAATGAATCCATGCCGTCCAAATTCGCAAAGGACTCGTCGGTGATCTTATACTCAGCTCCTTCGTTCTCATCGGTCAGCGGACGGGAGAACCGCCTGCTAGTGAAAGCAGGCGAGGGGTCTGGTTGCGACATTAATCTATCGGCAAATCGTAAACGTTTTTTGCTTTGTGACACAGGACGCTGATTTGGAGTCCTCCGTGTCAAAGTCTCGTCGCTGCGGTCAATTGTTTGAGGATTTTTGCGATTAAATAATCTCGGAGAAGTAGTATTGTTGCTGTTACCTGTTATAAGTGACTTAGCCTCAGCGGAAGATAGCCCCAAAGTAGTTGGCTGTCCTCTGTACATAACGAACATGAACAAAGCATCAGAAATTTTGCAAAGAACGTCCCAAATAGCGCAAAAAAAATTTTAAGGTGTCATAGCGACAAGCTTTCAAGGTATGACATCAACGGAGTAACAGGTCTAGCCAGGAGCTAATAGAATATACCAAATAAGCCGACAAGAGTTAAAGGGAACCTCCACTTCAACAAAAAGATAACTTTAAATCACAGGAAATAACTGTTACAGTCAAGTCAATCGAAAATATTTTTAAAGAAAGCGTTTGTATCCGAAAGAAATAACTTTTAGATTCGCCTATTTTTGTTTTCAAATTTTGCGGGCGTCGCCATCTTCAATAATTGTGAAGTGTTACGGTTGCCCTATTGTTATTAAACAATAGCTCTTTGTGTCAGAACAATAGAGCAACCGTAACACGTCACAATTATTCAAGATGGCAGCGCCCGCGAAATTTGAAAGTGAAAATAAGCCATTTTAAAATTCACTTTTCCTGATATAAACACCTTTTTTAAGGACAAATTTCGAACAAATTTGTTTATCAACAGAATTTTATTCGATTTAAACTTATTCTGTAGTAAGAGTGGAGGTTCCCTTTAACAAAAGAAAATTCAAAACGGAGCGCCAATTCTAACGCTCGAACGCTGCCAATCCTGTCCCATTCATCATGGCGGACACTTCGGAAATCAAAGACGCTGTAATCTCTTAGTCTTCTCAGAGATAGTACAGAAAACGGGCGGAAACTCGACGCGTCTTAGCTTTGTTAGACTCCCACATAAACCTTCTTTAGGCTCGTGTATCTGGAAATTTTAGTTTCATCGAAAGGAAAAGTGCTTAAATGTACTTACATTGTTTTGACATCTCTCTTAAGCAGATTATCCAAGCCTTCAAAAGAGACGGGGTTATCCAATGAACCGCTTTTTATGTCCTTCGGTTGAAACTGCTGAATGTCAGACAGAAGACGAGTAAGGGACTGCTGAAGGCCCCTGTCGAATAAAAAATACGACGTTTACACGACGTGTTGCACTGCAGATTCCGCAGTGAGATTGACCTATTGTAGCACCGAGTATTTTTTCACGATTGCAAACGAACTGTAAAGAAATTATTCGTACTTCTAGAAAAAAAAAAAGAAAGTGAGAGCAGGAAACGGTTGAGAGAAATGTTAACTTAGTTTTGCTTTCACTAAGCTCGCTTTCGCCTATGTTAATGTGGAGGTCCACGCTCTCCAGACACTTCGAAAAAGTCCGCCTTTTTGTAGTTTAAGCTAGCTGTAAAGGAACAACAAATTTTGAATGATATACTTTTTTCGAGTGAGGATTTAGCTCACATATAAAATCAAAGAATCGCGTTTTGCGGCATAACTTTATGAACAATACCAAAGGATAATACTACTTAGTAGCCTGCGTTATTATAATTGCAATCACAGACTGGAAAAAGTAGAATGACAATGCACAGCATAAAAAAAAGAAATTCAAGAAACTAAAGGTGCTACAGTAGCTTTCATGAGAAGCAATTCGTCCCGGAACCAATTCAAAGTAAAATAAACAGTACCGTAGAAAAGTACTACTTTGAGTGTTTACACATATCACGATTTTAAACAAACTCACGACATTCGAACACGAGAGAAACTTGTCGAACTTCAATAATTAATTCTCCACTTTAGAAAGAAGAGGGAAACTGGGGCGAGTTAACTTTCGCAAAGACTTTTGGGACTGTTTCAGTAGCGATCCCAGAAGTCCTTACAAAAGGGAGTTAAAATTACAAAAAATACACATAATTTACCTGGTGAGTTCTTTGAGTCTCTCGATTTCTGCGTCTTTCTGCTTCAAAGAAAGGTTAAGTATATTGACCTCTTTCTTCTCTGCTTCAGAGGAGAGGTGAGCAGCTTCAAGATCTGACTTCATTCTTTTATTTTCTAAAATGAAAGAAACTCTGTTACAAGGATTTCTAAGCGCCCCCTATATCTTAAGACCGTCTGAAGTTTTTAGTCGGAGCCTCGAAACTGAGAGAAGCCTGGTTTCCATCAGCACGACAGGAGTTCTTATTTCAGCGTTAAAACGAGCACGTAAGCATAACGAATTAAGACGGAATGCACCAGAAAATTGACTAATTTTAATATTCAGTGGACAAAAACCTTGTACCAGAATAATTTACAGCATATTGCTTTCTTTTTTACATTTTTCAAGGGCTAAAGATGTATTTAGTCATCTGTAATAACACCAAAGAAAATTTCTTATTGGAGCCCGAGAAATGAACGTCCATATAACAAAATTACATCAGTTTGAATAAATTTTCAGAATTTTATGTTTCAACAATTAAAATTGAAATTTTTCATTCATTTTTTCAACTCCCAAGATTGGTCAAAATCTTTTAACACAAAAAACAGATGACTAAAGTGGATCTTGAGCCCTTGATAAATTTTAAAACAAATGCAATCATTCTTTTTATTATTTTGGTAAAAATGGAACATTCCAATGAAAATTAAAACTTGCCGCATTTCAAAAGTGGATTCCGTCTTAATTTGATTAAACGAGGAAGGATTAGCGCGGTTGGTTAGTGCGCGGCGTTCTATGCGGGAGATCCCAGGTGTGACCTCAAATCGACTTCCTTTTTCCGGCTTTAAGTAAAACGGGAACACTGATGGAGGGGGGGTGGAATGAGCGCACCGTCATGGCCTTAGGTTTGTTTGACAGATGACTATCTCGAGCTACCGACAGAAAATAAGGACTCTTTATCTTTACCTCTTTCTGGCGCGCGGTGCGTATTAAACTTTTAGTGTTTCCAACGCGGCGTTTAGTCGAAGGCGGCGCTTATAATCTTTCCGTATCACATTTCTTAAATCGCTCACAATAATTACGATAAATCATTTGTAAATATTTTGTAAAACAGAACGACTTTTAAAGTTTCAATGTCTTGCCCTTTTGGTGAAACAGAATCGAAATTGATGCATGGTGTACATTACGAAATTGTACCTAATTTGTTCTTATAATCTCCGAATAAACGCCGCATTATTCTGATTGGGTCCGGCGTTTCTTTCGTAATGGTGCTTCCATCTGCAGCGTTTAATCGAGAAAATAAGGTAAGCATAGGCGTAAGCACAAGCGCAAGGATCAAAATTTTCCAACTCCTGTGTCGCTCGACTGACTGAAAGAAAAGAGAGCAAAAAAGAGAAGACTGCTCGTGGTGTCTATATCCTGGGTTGCGCATGCGTAGGTGTTTGCAAAGTATTCGTTTAACTCTACTGTATTTTTGACGCTACAGAAAACCAGGCTTTATTTCACAGATGGCTAACTGGACGATAACGTTATTTAACTCCATGATAAAAGTGCACCGAAACGGGAAAATAAACCTCGTGAAGAAAAGAACCGTCCCGTTAAAATCTTACCAACAGTCAACTTTGATGCATCTTGCTGCCAATCTCTTTTTAACCGCAACAGTTCTTGTTCCTGTTTTGGGTTAAAACAACAAAATAGGAACGTTACGATACGTTACGTTAGGTTACGTTTTTTTAGCGGAGCTCCTTGCTCGCGCGCGGTTGAGCGGAGCTCCATAGCTAAGACAATTTGGTAATCTATCCATCCGCAAAAATTTGGTTATGACGTCAGGGTACGACCGAACGCTGGCCGTACAGACTCTGGGGAGGGGAAGGGAACCAAAAGCGTCAGCCCGTCGGGGGACGAGTATGTTAAAGCTGAGTTGAAATTTTGCATATCAAGCACCCCGCTCGTTTCGGCGGTAAATCACATGGCTCCCCGGACTTTTAGAGAGTAAAAAACAACAACAACAAAACGAGTCTTTCTTTCCACCAAATTTTAAGATCTACATTGAGATGGATGACAGGGAAGGAGCTAGAGCGCAAAATAAATAACAATGGAGACCAATTTCGTCGGTAGAAAAACAGGAAAATTATATAACGGCGGTGAGAAAATGAGAAACCAAGGTGAAAATGAGCGGCAGTGAACAAACAAAGTGAACAGGAACACAAACGTTTCCTCCATAAAACGTGTTTTAGTCGTGCAAAACAACCGCAAGGAAATGAACAAAAAAGTGTGCTGCACGTGCAAAGTTGTTGTTCTTTTTTTTTTTTGGCTAATTAGACCTATTGTTGTTGTTTTTTACCGTTCTCGTTGTTTCACCTTGTCTATAGTGTTACTCGATTTTATATTTCCTTTGAGGAAATTGTAAATATTAAAGAGAGCTTCGCTTTTAGCCCTGGCTAAATCTATATAGTAGATTTGCATATTTTGTTCCAAAGAACGTCCTTCATGCAACTCTAACACCGGCAAATGGTTATTTAAAAAAATTAAGCTGTGGTTATAAAAAAAGGCCACATTACCTTATTGGATAAAATCAGCAGAAACTTCTTCTTTTCCTCTTGTAATTCACTTAAATTCTACCGGGTTATATAAAAGAAATAAGCCACTTTTGATAGTCAACAAATTATGCAATTGTCTTAATAGTAAGAGCTAAGTAGATTACGCACAAAGCCTATGGTGATTTGAAAACCGTGGAGTGCCCCCGAAAAAATTATTTTGGAGGGAAGGGGTGGGTTTTCGGCATGTTTCCGACAAAAGGCGATTCTCTAATCATGTTTCGTATCCGACCTAAAATATGTAATCCCATTTCAAAACACTCCAACAGGATTTGTTTCAAACACTAACATGGCCGCCGTTGTTTAGAACAACAACATGGCCCCATGACGTCATATGAAAACGCTCTTTAACCGAGATGGATCTTGCTGGACCTACAAAATTTCATAAGTCGCGTATACTTAAAAACGTACCCAATACCATATCCCAATCAACTTCTGTGTGCATTTCGACGCGTTAAATAGCACTTCATTTCGACGAAAAGCCCGGATAAACGGGAGAAATCAGAGATTTTTAAACGAAAGAAGTGTATAAAAGTTTCTGACCTGAGAAAGTTGATCACGGTGTCTTAGTAGCTCCTCTTTGTTATTTTTCTCTTCTGTTAGTTGTTTCTGTAGAACAGTGTTTACCGACCTACAGGCTGCCACTAAAAGAAAAGCAAAGGGGACAACGTTTTCGGTGACCTCTTGTTGCCTTCAAAAAAGTGAAGTGAAGAACTACAATGAAATGCATTGCAGATGGGAGGACGCCACTTCCACCTTTTTCCCGCCCTTGGCTTATTTTCCCGCGCTCCCCGCTCTTGACACCGGGTGGCCTACTACAAGTTTTCCCGCGCTTGGTACCAGAGGTCAATTTTATAAAACTTTTACAAGTGTAATTAATAAGTGTAACCTTTGTTTTAGGGTCCGAAAACAATAGCTGCACTTGTAAATAACCTAAATTACACCTGTAAAAGTCTTGTTTTTTGACCCCTGGTGAACTACTGCAACCTTTTCCGCGCTTCGCACCGGGTGGCTTACTGCAAGTTTTCCTGCTCTTTCAACCAGTTACCTTTTTTCCCACTTGGCACTACGCCTCATTTACGGATTACAAAACAATGTCAGATCAGTCAAACGTTTTCCAAGTCACCGAAAACGGTTTACAGGTCTTTTTTAAATGTCAGTGCTAAACACTAGGAACAAAAACTTACATTCAAATGCTAAATCTGTCTTGGCCGAGGCCTTATCTTCTTGTTTCTTCAATGATCCTTCTTTGAGCTTTTGGTGGGCAATAAGGAGTCTTCTACAAAGTTTCAAAATAAGAGTGAGTCAGTGAAAGTCAGTTAGAGGTATATTGAGAGGGGAGGAAAGTGTGTGACATCACAAATTTAAGAATTTATGAAATTCTAGGGTTCGTTGAGGTTCGACCCTTGTCCGCAAAAACTCAATAATTTTTCTTCCGTGTCGACTGTGTCATAATATCGCGTGTTTTTGTATTTATGGTGCGCAAATTTCTACACTCTACAAATGCTACAACAAGAGCGTGGTAACGAATCAGTTTGGGTTCACTACGATTATTCATGATTTCAAAAATGAAGATCGCATACAAACCTTCGTAGTTGAGCGTTTTCGACTTTAAACGGCTTTACAGCCTGCTCGATATCCTGAACTGCAGACGCTGTTTTGTCTTTCTCCCAAAGATACGGAAGTAATTTAGCTGCTTCATCTATTTCGTTCAACAGTCGATTTACTTCCAAGTCACCTATGAACAGAGTACACAGGGTGTTGAATGCTATTAAAGTTCTGGCTCTGGTTACTCAAAGAGCAGAGAGCGCTGTACACTCAAAACATGGTATTCGGCTCAAGCAGCACTGGTAATAGTGAGCCGGTCATTGAGTTCTGGAGGCAGGTAAGATGGAGATCGAGCATTGACTGGTTTGTTCTTTCGCCTCTGCTGGTGACATCACTAGGTTGTGGGGTCATTAGCCACTCTAAGATTGGGACGATGGGACTGTGTTTGAGACGCTATCACATCTTTCATTAAGGAGTTGTTAAGAGATACCACGACGGCGACGGCCACGAAAACTTAAAAAGTGAATTTGCGTTTTTTCAATCTCTATACCGATTACTCCAACTCACTTACTTTGTCAAATGCAAGCGAACTCTTTTTGAGCCGAATTCCTAAGAACCACATACAAGTTCAGAAAGAGGGAGAAAATCTAGCCGTCACTTGTTTACGTCCTCCATAAAACGTGCAATTAGACATTTTCCCGTCGTAGTCGTGAAGAGACGGCAAAGAAATGTACAAAAAAGCGTGACGCACGTGCAGAAATGTTGTCAGGGGTTTTGCTAATCAAGTTTTTTTGCCGTTCTCGTTGACGTCGCCGTCGTCGTTGCTTAAGCTCCCTATTGCAACTCCGACTTCGACGGCGACTTTCTTGCAATAAAAACTATTTTTTACTAGCCTGATCCAGACTCCGGCTAAGACTGTGGGGAAAGCGGGTCGAAAAAAGTGGCGCGAAAACTACGCGAGACTGGAAGGACGGGGAGGCCGTTTTTCGTTCGTTCGCTTTTTCGCTGCTCGCACGCTTTTTTTCGAGCGTCTGCGCTGACCGACAGCTCAGCACAGGTAACGCTTTAATATTCAGACGCCAATGAAAAAAACCAAACAAACAAACGGGAAACTAGCCTGCGTAGCAGGCGCTTGGAAGTAGTGGGCGAAAGAGAGAACGGGCGCGTGCGAGGGTGACACGCGAGGGGTGAGCCTCTTCCTTCGCGTGTCTCCTTCTCGCGCGCCCGTTTTTTCTTCTGCCCACTGCTTCAAAGCGCCTGCTACGCAGGTTAACAGGAAACGGTCTGTACTAACCCGTACTTCCAAGAACGGCTCTAAGTTCATCAAAGAGATACTGAATCATCCGCGTCTGGTTTTCAGCAGATGATGAATGCATTCTTTCCCCGGGGCTGGGTTTACCAGATTCTGACAATGGAGGAGTAAGATGTCTGGTTGTTGAATCTTCGGATAGACCAGCCTGGTCGTCAAGAGATTTTGTCAGGTTTTGAGTTGTATTTAAGAGTAATTCAATGTCCACGTAAGATGAAGGAGTGAAACTAGGCGAAACAATTCTCACCCGTTTCTTGGGTTCAGGCACAGTATCTATCGCCCGTTCAAGGGAATTATGGTCTCCTTGTTTTAAACTTTCATCATTGTGTTCACTGCCAACTAAATCCATCCGTCCCCCTGATCTAGAGTCATTATAGTCACTTTCCTGAACTTTTTTAACAGAAAATCCTGAATAATCCAGACTTCTTCTTGCTGACGTTTTTCTCGGATTTGAATTTGGATTTCCTTCCCTTTCTGAAATGTTTTCTGGTTGTGCTCCGGTTGAGCGTTGAGATGCATCGCGTTGAAGTGAACTGTCTTCATTTTGTTGGTGATTCTCCAGTTGTTGCATCATGGAATGTTGAAGTTGTAACTTTTGCTCCGTTTGGTGACTTGGACTTTGCTGTCTCTGAATTCAAAGAAGTACATAAGACTAGTTCTTTATTAATCTCCTGAGCAGTGATAGTTCTAGGCTCAATCTCCAACCTTAAGTGCTTCCATGCGCAAGCGAGTTCAAGTCCCGCCCCAACCGATAGCTGGATTTGTTCTCGGAAGTCTAGCCTGCGTAGCAGGCGCTTGGAAGTAGTGGGCGAAAGAGAGAACGGGCGCGCGCGAGGGAGACACGCGTGTCTCCTTTTCGCGCGCCCGTTTTTTCTCGTGCCCACTACTTCCAAGCGCCTGCTACGCAGGCTATCGGAAGTCCCGAGTTCAAATCCTCGACGACGTTTGTAAATAATCAACTGGTTTGCCTCCGGTCAGTTGGGATTCTTAACCCTGTTATGCAAGTTTATGTGAATTTTTTGTTTGAGTTGTTTGTTCAAATCACTAGCCTTTGCGCTATAAATACATGTACTGCCGAGGGTAAATATAGAAATAATTATTTTAGAAGGGTGAAACCACAGCAACTTACTTGAAGGAACTCATAACGTTCTTTGAGTTGCGCTAGTTCTTGTTGAAGTTCTGCTTCTCTTCTCTGCAGCTGTTGGCGTTTATGTCGTTCTTCTGCAGTAAGAACAGGTGTGGACGATACCAAACGATCATTGTACGCTGTTGATCTAACAGTAACTTCTTCATGAAGATGCAATGGTGATGGAGTGGCTGGATTGAAAAGCAATCAAACATGTAAGAACATGGCCTGTGTGGCAGGAGTTGACAAGGAAAGGGGAAGAAGCAGTTCGGGAGGAGCCGGTCATCTCGCCACCAACGAAGTCGACTCGCCACCAAGTAATAACTCTGTAATCACATTCGAATAAGCTTGGAGAAGAAGGAAAAATTCTAGGTAAGTAATCCTAGGTGAGTAAACACGTCGATTAATGCAGGGTCATTACTTGGTGGCGATTAGACTTCTTGGTGGCGATTCATTGGTGGTGAGATGATTTGGTGGCAAGATGCCGGTGAACCATTTGGGCCCCCGAGGAGGAAGGAAAAGGGGACCCTTTCTTGGGTGCATCTCTTGCTCTCACATGCCTGAATCCCCCCTTCCCCTTCTCCTCTTAACACCTGACCTGCAGGCTAGCCGGGGACCACATTTATAGCAGCTGGGGGAAATCCCGGCCCCCGCCTCTTCATGATAGCCCTGAATTTTAAGAGGCCATGCAGAGACAGTTAATAGATAGGGGGCATTTAAAAGAGAGAGAGCTTTATTCCGATAACTGTAACACTTTTAGGAGTGAAACAGTTGACAGCTGTTAATGTAGGTGACATGTGTTGTTTGTACCTTTGTCTTCAGAGCTGGCAGTGGGGATCACGACTTTTCTACTGGCTGCTTTTGCCGTCTGTCTGTCAAACTTTCCTGGTCTTCCTATCGGTTGAACAGCTGGAACTTTTTTACTGGAGGAAGCGGCAGTTTTGCTCACACTTGCAACTCTTGAATGTGATGTGCTATCTGAAAAACAAGTGTATTAGCAGGACACCACACTTGCAGAAAGTACTCCTAAAGTTGCCTGAAACATACACCACAAAAAAGTGTTTTGAACCCGCAGGGGGTACTTTTGGAATGTTTGGGTGGGGGTGTGCCACTGGGACCCTGAAATCCTTAGCCTATACCAGAGCTAGTTCAGCTGAATTTTGCTACAATATACTAGACTAAACTCCCTAAATATCCCCCTATCTTAGAGTAGTTTTTAGGAAGAGTTGCGTAAATATAAATTTGCCGATTTTTGAGTGGCAATTCCGGGTTTCCTTAGTCTAGACTAAAATCTTCAACCGATTGATCAGTTTCCTGGAAAATGATACCCTATTCTAGACTTAAACACTCTGAGTTATACACCCTATCCCAGAGTGAACAGCTTGAAAACCATACCCTTTACAGCGGCACATACCTATATAGCCCATATATGGCAGTAATCCCCTCCCGGGTTTTGAACTCCTGTGCATGCCCCTCCAAACTGACCACAGACCACTAGAACCGTCAAATTACATTTAACTGCATTTTAAAATTATTCAAGCGTTAAAAGGAATGAAACCTCACCTTTATCTTCATTGTCCAGTATATTTGACAGCAATGCAGCACATCTGTTTAAGCCTCTGTCAACTGCAGATGCCTATAAATGACCAACAATGTGGTATCTTATCAAATACTAGAAATAAGTGTTTTGAATGCTGAGGTAGTCATTTAGGGCTTGAGACAGGGGATATTACCTGGCTGGATTGTTTAACCCTTTAAGTCCCAATAGTGACCAACATCAATTTTCTCCTAACAATATCCATAGATTGTCAAGTGTAACATCTATGAGAATTAATCAAATGATCACAAAGAGAAAAATCTCAGATCTTTTATCAATTTCTCCCAACTAATTCTGTAAGGAACTTTATAGAGATCAGTTTGGAGAATTTGTTTGTTGATATTGGGGCTTAAAGGGTTAATGAGGCCCCACAAGGGTAAAATTCCAACAAGCAAAATAAGCCAAATGAAATGGCAACAAATGACATAAAGATGGGTATTTGAAACCGCAACAGTAGCAACGACCATCACAAATACAACAGTAAAATACTGACAGGGACATCGCCTCCTCCTCCATATGCGAAGTGAATGTGGAAGGTAGTTGCTACAAAGTGATCACCCATTGAGGTTTGACTGTCAACTCCCTGAAAAGATCCCAGAGAGACACAAAAGGAAGATTCTCATCCTAAATGAGTTAATGTGAAGTACCTGGTCTTCAGAATCTGAGGTATAAAGACTGTACCCGGGTTTGGATTCCTTGGCTGCACTTTTCTGTCCTTTCTGAACTCTGAATTAGTTTGAGGACAAAAAAAAAATCAAATCATCACATTCATTTATTTAATACTTCATCTATGATGATTCTTGGTTTGCAACCACGTGATAAGGCGGCCATGTTGGGGGTCAAAACAAAAGAATATTTCCTCGAAGAATTTTATGAAAATAGATTTTAGTTCCCAGAGGAGAGAAATGCTTTTGTTCTTGACCACCAACATGGCCGCTGTGACGTCACGTGCAAACCAGCAATGATGATGATGATGATGATAATGATGATGATGATATATGATGATGATGATGATGACGATGATGACGATGGCGCATTCATAGAACAGAAGACAAGGACGCATGGATTCATTACGCTTTAAGAAAACAAATGAGGAAATTAATGAACCATAAGCTAAGGCTTCAATAAGCTTTTCAGATTATGCATAACTTGGAAATATTTCCCGAAAGGCTTACCTTTTAACCGCAGGAGGTTTAGATTTCGAAGCGAGGCCTCGAGCTACCAAGGATGCCTTGGACGCCTTGAACACAACAAAGAGAATGAAAATGACTGTAAGGTTGTCGACAACAGCAAACTTAGCAAGCTTGCGTAAATTGAACCGTCAATAGATTAATATTTTCACACGCGAGAATTAAGTAAAAATGAAAAAGACCCTAAATCAAGTACGGCAGGTTTAAAAAGGATCTAATCACCTTTCCCGGAGCCCTACTTTTCATTCCTTAAATGAATCGAAGTCCATTTTGATATTTCGGTTTCTTCGTCTTTTGCCGCCACACGTCGCCATTTTGAATTGTTTTTATCCCGCGAAAATCCGCTGCATGTTCACATGAGCCCGCGTTATCACTCCAAGCAAAATGGCGGACGACACGAAGTGAAAAGTCGGCGATTTTTTTTTATTTTTCATCTCCGATCACTGTAAAGTATGGTTAGTGCAGACTTACTGAAAAAGGTAGCAATATGTGGTGCTGCTTTATCTTGTTTTGGAGCAGCATTTTTCCATCACAGAATACAAGGTAGTTTTTAAAATGAGAAATTAAGTTTCTGTGCCCAGCTATGGTCAAAGTTTGGTGTGAGGCTATGTGTACGGTGTTCGCTTACAAACCAAAGTTCGAGTGAATCAGGATACTTTTTGCATGATTATGAATTAACGCTCCAACCAATTCTTATGAAATTACAACACTAGTATAATTGCAATGTTTACTAAACTGTAGTGGCATTTATAGAGGTAGGAATGGCATAATTCCAAAATTATAACGCGAATTCACTTGTGTGTTGACATCTCAAGCGTTACATTAACGGCGCTGAAATGTAAAATGTTGTGCACCGAGCAACTTACAGCCAAACTTTGTCCGGTTTTTTACTCAGTCCGACTTGCACATAAAACAAACACTTGTTTCCCATTTTTTCCAGCAGATTACGAAAATTTTAGACATGTTCTTAGCATGAAAAATGATGACTTACCGTTGTCCAACATGGCTAACACAGAAACGAATGTTTGCTACAAAATCCTTCGTGCAGGATATTGTTTACTCGTTGTCATGGCGCAAGAAAATGTCTTTTCAAGATGCACAATGACCAAAGAATATTTTTCTTTAAGCCATTTACCTAATTTTTTTCTCACCGTACAAAACGAGTGTATTTTACTCTGTCTGAATGGCATGTCCAAGGCGGCCATATCCCGAGAAGTAATACGGTGCACTTTTTCGGTGCACTAGTGCACCAAAGTGCACTTTTTCGCTGCACTGGTGCACCAAAGTGCACTGTTATTAGTATTTCAGTGCACTAGTGCACCGAATACTAAATAGCAAGTGCACTAGTGCACCAAAACAGTGCACTTTGGTTCACCATTTCGTACAACACATTTTCGATTTGTTTACTAGAAATACGTAAATCGCAGGACCTCGCGAAGGACTTCGGGGGAATGGCAAGATGAGACAAAAGAGAAGAAAATTTATAAATTTAAAAACCTTAAGCTATATAAAGAAACATAACAAAACTGCAATAACTAAAAAGAAAACTAAACGAAAAGAAATAGAAAAAAAAGGCAAAAAAGCGAAGAGAAAAAGTTATTCTCGGCGGATTCGAACGCGGTACCTTTGGCGCGCCGAGCCTGCTTTCGTTACCACTAGGCCACGTGGAACACACAAACGCAGATGCGCTACCTGTATAAAGTTGATCGAGCCGTATTAAACATGAATTCAAAGATATTTTTCAGAAGAATTACTGGTGTTTGGACAGTGAAATCCCAACGGAAGCCCAACTTTAAAGCCGATACGGTATAAACTCGTCTGCGAGCAAAACGTGTTTGTTTTAGTTTGATGTCTGCTGTGCGAACCCAGATAACTTTCGACGACATTCTTCACGGATCTTCAGAAATCCCGCCCACTTTTTGCAAACAAGAGAGATGGATCTTGAATGAGATGAAACGAAATAAAACTAAAAATGCGTAAAATCACGTCTTTGGGAAGCTGATCAGAGCTGATTAAACAACATCGTCCAAAAGTTAAAAACAAAACACGATGTGACTAGCGTTTCCTGATCCTTGTTGCAAGGAGTACCTGTCGTACCCTTTTATTCCTAGTTAACAAAGTACAAATTTCTCCCAGTGACCAATGCACAGTGCTACAGAAATGTAACGTTTGAAGGATGACATGTGATTCATCCTTTTTTGGAGTATGATCATTTTCTTCCTAGTTCTCTCTACCTTACTGGTTGATCAATGCATTCATCTGGTCTGAAGGAGAAACTCTTTTGATGATCATTTTCTGAGTTCTCTCATCCTGACTGGTTGATCAAGCATTCATCTGGTCTGGGAGAAACTCTTTGATGATCACTATCGGGTAAAGTACCCTAAAATAAGTGGAAGTAATGTTAGCCTGAGAAAACAGCTGACATTTGGCGACGCTACCACTGGTTTCCCCGCCAAATGACGTCTGAGAAACAAGCGCAGAAATTCCATACTGATGACATGTCACTACCCAGATCTGGGTAGTGCTTCTGATTGGTTGTGCTATGTGGGAAATTTGATTCAACCAATCAGAAGCACAACCCAGATCAGGGTAGTGAGCCGTCATCAGTATGGAATTTCTGCACTCGTTTCTCAGACATCATTTGGTGGGAAAACAGTGGTAGCATCACCAAGTTTCGGCTTTTTTCTCAGGCTAAAGTAATGTACATTTTACTTTTTTAGCAAAAATAGCGGCCCAAGATTATTATAAAAAATCTGTTGAGGTGCTTAGGAATCACCAGCTGGCATCCGATACTCTGGGGAAACCTGTTAGAATTCCCTATGTAAATCTAACAAGAAAGGACATCAGACTTGGACGTGACTTTGCTCAGGCAAGTGAAATGTTCAGAGATGCCAGCCTCTGGAGATCTAAAATCTAGAGACTCTCTATTTTGCACTACAGCCCCCAAATATCAACAGCCCCCCCACACCTCCTTAGTCCCCCGCTGCCACCAATTTTCCCCACCACTAAGCCACCAAGGACATTATTTGAACAGACATACTGTCAAAATTCATTTTCATCATTGTAATGATAAAATATACCTTCTCAGTGACTAAATATGTGCAAAAATGTCCCAGAAACCCGTGAAACAAAAAAGTACAAATTTTGAGGGAAAAAATGGGCTAAATTTAAACTAAAGCACAGTAAAGCTCAAAAGTCTATTTGATCCGGGAGATTTGGTAACCTGTACGGGAGAGCGGGAAATCAGTGCGGTATCTGGGAGACTCCTGGATAATCCAGGAGAGTTGGTATATATGAAATGTTCCTTTGAGGAGGGGGACTTTGGGTAAACCGTAAGAAAAACTGGCAAATATCGAAATACCATGTGTAAATCGACAAAATACCAATACCACATATGATCAGTCATGCCAAATTTAATGTGAGCGCAAGTGAACATCACCCCACGCCGCATCTCGCCTTTCTTGCATGGGGAGATTTTTACGCACTCGCATTTTGCTTACTCTACTATCCCTGAGGGAAAATGACGGACTACTTGTAGTCTAAGGGGGATGGCAACCCAGAAGAATAGGGGGTGGGAGAAGTATGAGAGGGAAGTGGGAGAGGAAAGGCCAAGAGGTTGGAGTTCTAAAAGGGTAAGGACTAGGAGAAATGGGAGAAATCATGCAACAGTGCTTAACTGTTTTAGCAGTTGAAAAAGGGTTAGACGAGGAAGCCTTCCATGTTTTGGTCACTAAAAGTAAACAGACACTTTAAAAATTTGGGGATTACTTAATAGCATCATTATTTATTGTGGGTAGTGTGACAATTTTCTCTCTTCTTACAGATAGTTATTCCAGTTAGAGGAAGCAAAATCTCAGGGAATTTATATTCATTTGCTACAAGGCGGGAAGAGGAAGGGTACGTATTCGATGTTGGTTATTGTTGAAGTAAAGAAGCAGTCCCACGGATTGGATCAAGAGAAAACAGGTAGCTTCAGCAATGAGGACCGTGATGGTGATGAAGACATCCCTTACAAAGTCAATTCATGCTTTCCCAAGTTGCTCAATTCATCAAATGTTGGTGAATTTTTCTGGGGTTGCATTCTAAAGACCTGTATCTAAGTTTCAAACTAAAATTAGAAAATTTCTGTATTGTGTTCATGTCCTCTTCAACGTGTAAAATAGGGCAGTTTTAATTTCATGTCATGGTTGTAGAATGACAACAAAGAAATTTACAAAAATGCAATGCACCTATGAAGTTATTGTTTTGCCACTCTAAACCTATTGCTGTTTTGTCATTCTCGTCATTTTCGCTTGTAAGCTCCCTAACGGTTGATATCCAGGGTCGCATAATTTTTACGCGAGTACGTGGGTAAAATTTACGTTCGCAAATAAAATAGAGGCAATGCATGAAAAATTGCTCATAAGCGTAAAAGAACCTTGCTCAACTTCTTGTTTAAGTTCAGCACTTTTTATCTTGCCTCTATTTTATTTACGTGGTTAAAATTTACGTGCGTTGATGTGCGTAGCCAAAAGCGCATCAGTGGAAATAAACCTTTTTTTTTTTTGCTTTTACTGTTTTACTGGCCTACATTGATACAATTTGTGAACTGTCCATGCATATTACTTTCTATTTTTTTTTTCTTTCTAGATGGATACTAGAGAGAGTAGAGCTTGAAGCGGGGCCAGAACATCCCAGAATAAAAATTGTACCAGAGGACTGATTTTTATGGGTTTCCAAGAATGAAGATAATGGAGAAAACCTGAATGGCATTCTGTGGTTTTTCCCATGATGAAGAAAGCATTGCCTAAATACTGGAATTTCTGCCTATTTACTGTGTAACAGCATTCAACACTTTGTCTACAAAAGGTGCTGCATAGGACACCTACTTTTTGGTTATCTGAAAGTGTATGCATCAGAGATAAACAGTGTTCCAAGGAAAAAAACATTGGCTGTTATGTTCAAGGCAAATGAAGTCTGAGAAATGAGCTTGAGAATTCCATACTGATTAATTTGCTAAATAAGCAATAAGCTATCTCAAGACTGGTAGAAAATTTATCATTCAAGACATTTTCTCATTTTTTGCATAATTTCATTGAAACAATTTGGTGGAGAGAATATCTGCAAAAAGTTAACTGTCATATTATAACATTATGCCAGCTACATTTGGGAGTTTCTAACAGGGGCATTGTCAGGTACCAGTGAAGAAAAATGCAAAAAGGCAAGTGCACAAACAGATATACTGTCATGATGCATTTAAGCTGAGAAAAAGTTTTTGTAGAGGCATTTTTTCCAATTATTAAACTTGAAAAAGTAACATCATTTTTCTGCATGTGTGTTACTTTTTGGTACATAGCCTTGCCATCACTGCATGACTACAAATTATATGAAATTGCCCAATGCAACATTTTAAGGGGGACCCTAAAGACACAGCAACAAATTTTTCTTCCTCTTTCTAAACTTTGAATAATTTCCATCCCTAAGAATTCCAGCTCCAGGAAAATTAAAATTTGCCTTCACAGTGTGCAAAGAAAGTCTTGTTCGACAGCCCGGGGCTAGTGGATTTTGTTATCGGGCTAGTGATTTTTGTTCTTAACTTGCCAGACGGGCAAGTGTTTGTTTTGGGAATTCAAATTACAGAAGGATTGTAATCAATCCCGTGGATCAAAAAGGGTTTGGGGCTAGTTGAAATGACTTTTGGGCTAGTATATGCTAACTACTGCTTGCCCGAATGGCAGGCTGTAAAACTGACTTTCATTGTACCCTGCCTCATTTGAAAAAGTTGAGAGTGTTGAAATTAGAGTGCTACTGTAGGGTTCTAAAAGCAAAATAGGAAAGCACTAAAAAGTGCAGTTTTAGCTGCTATCAAAGCTGGCTAATGACACCAAAAATTGGTCTCTACTTAAAAACAACTAAAAATGAATCAAATTCACCAAAGACCCATAAATAAGTGAGCTTTAATTTGCCTCTTTAATTGCCGTAGTCAAAATACAATACTGTATATTAATGCAGAAAAGTGACAAAAAACATTACTCCTGGAACTTTTGCTCATACAAAATTCACTACTTAAGTCAAAAACTAACTACAGCCGTACAACCATTTATGTTCTGTTGTTGCAGAAAATATCTATAAAACCTCAGAACCCCACCATCAGTTCTGCAGTTTATTCCACATTATTTAAATACAACAACTCCCTAACTTTAAGTATCTATCTGTTTTTCAGTATTCCCAAGATTCTAATGACAAAATGAAAATATTATCATATATTATTATTCTTAACACTCACCAAGTAGTTTCTTAGTGTTCTTGGAAGTGTTAACATTAATGGAATACCGTGTGGCGTGATATTTTTGTGGGAGTTTATCTTTGTGGATTGGCGATTTTTTGCATTTTGCAGGAACTAATGTTTGCAATAAGGACAGATTAGTTTCCCTCGATGGAAATTAATATTGCAATTTTCAGAAGTCCTGGACAAATTATTGATATATTTTGGTTTTTATTGAGTACATGAAATGGAAATACATATTTTTAAACAATACCATGGTGTGCGTAACCTATGTAAAACCAGTGACAGTTTTGCTCGTCAATGTAATCATTTTGTTTCCAAACAAAAGAGACAAGTTGGAATTGAACAGACACAATTTCTTAGTACTGTATTTTTGTGTAGCAAATTTAAGTTACAGAATATTTACTGTGAAGTAAAATGCTGTAGGAAAAATGTTCGCGGTAATTAATTTTTGTGGGAACTTATTTTTGCGGATCGCTGGAAATATCACAAAAATTAGAACCCGCAAAAATTTCATGCCACATGGTAACAATTAATATTTCTAAAATAAAATAATCAAAAGACGACAAAAAAGATACCCACACCTTAACGCAACAACACAGTGCTGACCAAACCAAATACTGTGCCTTTTCCTCACTAGAAATACAAACCTTTTTTCACTCTCTTGAAGTAATATCCTGTGAATGTACCTCCCATCTCTAGTTAACTGTCTACCTTCCTTCTGATTGAAAGAGTCATTATGCATTGCTTTCAAGCAAGCTAGACTGCAAACTGCCAAAACTACCTAAGACTTGCTGAGATTCACTGCCTTCTGTGCACAAGGATTTTTATAATTTTAAGCCCTTAAAATTGGCACCAGTAGCAAATCAACTAGTTCAATGCTGTGGTCATCCACAATGACGATGTCAAATGCGTCCATGTAGTTGGAAAGATTCTCATTGACCTATAGAAAAAACACATGTATTTTCAAATCAAAGAAACAGAAAAACTAATAAAAATGGTCAGATTTATTTCCCCCAGCTTGTCACAGTACAGCATATGAAACTGAGAACCCCAATAAGAAGAACATAATTATTTAACTCTTTAAGTCCCACAACTTAAGTTTCCCACCTTGTCATTTAAAAAGCCAATGGTAAGGACAACTTCAGGATTTTTAGGGCTTGATGAAACATGGGTATCCTCTGGCAGGTCACCCATCACAATCACACTGGTGCGGTCCTGCAGTCAGTTAAGAAAAACAAAAAGTTAAACATACAACGCAAAACATTTGCTGCCTGGTTAGCCTGTTTGCTGAGTGGAATGTTCTTCATACTCCTGTCTAGTCCATGGCCTGGGCTACACAGCCATTCTTTGTGTCGTCAACAAACAATTCTTCCCACAAATTATGTGTGACAACACAAAGAGCAGCTGCATAGGAGACTAACCCCTCTTAGAGTCCAACCAAAAAGGTTCAAACAGTTTTGAGGTTTTCTGAGAGATAGGCTGCTACCTTCACCTTTGGGCACCGTTTCTTTAGACTACGAGCAGTCTCTCTTTTTCTCAAAAATCTGTAAGCAAGAGTACTTGAGCAGCAAAGTTGCATGAGTTGCGAGGGCGCGAGTTGAGAAGGCACGGATACGAGCGAAAAGCTTACAGATTCTCGAGTAAAAGAGAGAGAGCTCGCAGTCTACCATTTCTTTAGAGATCTCTCTAGTTATCAAGCATACATTGAGTAGCCACATCGCAAATGTACACTTGACAATCATAAGATGAGACCTAAAAATTTTCTGGGAAGAGCTAAAAATGGCAAGCCTTGAAGAAAGTAACCCATGATCAGGGATTGGATCATTATATGTTTCTGGGAAACTGCCTACCTACCCCTCCCCAAGGTCAACATTTTGCTCTAAGTGAAATTAAGTGTTAATGTTGGCTTAGGGGAGGGGTAGGTGGGCAGTTTCCCAGAAACGTATAATGATCCGGGATTTTCATACACGCAAGAAGCCTGTGACAATCAGTATAATGTGAGCTTTTCTAAAGCAAATTGAATTTGCTTTGCTAATAAATATAAACCCATAAATCCTTGACGTCTCGTTGCTCATGGTTTGTACTTTTTAATCAACAACATTTTTTTGATCACATCTAATAATTAACAGTGGCAGTCTGTTGTGTGGTGGTCGATTATAGATAACTTACCTTATTTCTGTTGAAAAATTCCAAATCTTTTGTCATCTCTCTTTTGTTGTTACTAAACAAAAGCTTGTCCTTGAATCCAACCATCACTCCCTGGTATTTTAAAATAAGGAAAAAAATCATCATTTATTAAGCAGCAAATTCAAATTCCCTAAAGTGACTCTTAGTTATTCCACTGTAGAACCAATTTCCTATAGGGTCACATGTTTGAACACAGCTGTCCTTTAGCTGGCCATTTGTTTCAGGTAATTCACTGAAACGCATGATCCTGAAGTCAGGGGCGTGGCCAGCCCATAGACCGGTGGGCACAGGTCTACAAATTTTGGGGTCGAGCAAAAGAGCTCAAGTGCTCAGAGTGATGGTGAGGTCAGTGCGTATTAGTCATGAGTGCAATCAACAGAATTTATACAAACAAGAACGTTTCAGGATATTTGAAAATGAAGTTCCAACTGGCAGTCAGCCTGGCCTACAACAAGTATAAAGCTGGCTACGCCCAAGGAAGTTAAGGATGGGAGATTAAGGCAATATTAGTAGAAGAAGCCCAAGATTTGGGAAGTGTCTAACCTGCTCATATCTGAAGAAGTTGGCCACAATGGTAACATTGTCATAGATAGTACTCTGTTGATCAATGACCTCCTTGATAATGTCTGGAAACAAAAACATGCACAAACTTGTAAAAAGGCTTGAGAACAAAACAGCAGAACCTTGCTGCTAACTCGAACTCCCCACTTAACTTAAACTAATTTTGCTTTCCCTTAGGCTTAATTTTCAGTAATATTTCTAACCTGATTACCGGAAGCCATGTTGCTTCTTGTTTTCTTTGGGAGTTTAAAATGAAAAAAGTGAAGAGAAGCTCCTCTAAAAGTCTGCTGGCTAACTCTTGATAAAAAGTCTCAGCCAACAGTATGCTAGCTGGACTGTATACTGATGAACGGAGACAACTGATGTAAAAATTCACTTTTTGACAGCCAGTCAACTTAAACATTGCATACTTTTGTCTGAGGACTGTCACTAAGATTTCAAGTTTCTGTGTAAACACTGTGTTTCCTCAAATAATAGCCATCCCTCAATTAATCGCCTCCCTTGAGTAATGCTTCCCTCCCACCCCTCTCTCCATCTTCTCCTCCTTTTATCCCCTCCCTGTTAAGTTGAAGTGCAATGTGATCCGGCAAGATTCAAGCTCTGAAAATTAATTAAGGAACTACATTTGGAACACTTAAAAAGCCCGTGTTCAGTTTATTTGATGAGATTATTTTTTGATTTAATGAAAAAATAAAACAAAATATTTAGGGCATGACTTCCAGAGAGCAATATTTTAAACAATCGCCTCCCTCGAATAATCACCTTCCCTTGAATAATCACCCCCTTTTTGTCCAAAAAAAGAAATAATCACCCCTGGCTATTATTTGAGGAAATACAGTACCTTTGTCAGGGCTGTCACTAAGATTTTAAGTAGCCAGGTAAATACAACAAGTAGGCGGAGAATCACGGGGGCCACGTTCTAATTAATAACCGGGGGAAATCCCCAGTCCCCGCCTCTTAATGACAGCCCTGCTATAAAAATATTCTGCACTTTCATCATACCTCCAAGACCCCCCGATATAATGAGAAGGGGTACATGCTTCTCATGCAACTTGACAAATAACCACTCAACACCATCTCTGTAGGGCAAAAATCAAAAATTAAGGTGACACACAAAGAGAGATATTAAACGTCCACATTATTCTCCAGGTCTTAGTGGTACTTGGATAGTGCTACCCACTGGATAAGCATTAGGGAAACTGATTGGATTATTTATTGGCTAGCACTATCCTCAGGGGGGGGGGGACTCCCATAGAAAAGTGATGGAGATGCTTATCGGAAAGTTTCAATTAAACCCCTAAGGGAGACCAGTGTGGGTGTGACTCAAACTTAAACTGACCCTTACGGGAGATTTCTTTGTGGTCAGTGTCAGTGCATTTTTTGTAAATTTCTTTATGCATAGTACTTAGCGCTACCTGAATGGGCAAATTAAGTGACTTTCCATCCCAAACACCCTAAGTGAGACCAAAATCTGCAATTTACACCCCAAAGCAAGACGACAAGCATACCTGTCACTTTTATATGGGAGTCCCCCCCCCTCCCGTCCCCCAGGGCACTATCCACCTTTCACATGTTACCCTTTAAGTCCCAGGAATGATCAACATCAATTTTCTCCTAATTATATCAATACATCATCAAAAGAAAAGGTGGTGAGAATTTAATAAAATAATCATCCGAGGAAAATGGTTTGATCTTAAAACAAATTCTCTTAACTGAGATAGGTCTGGAGAATTTGTATGTGGATAATTTTGGGGCTTAAAAGGCTAAAATCTTAATTACTTAACTACAAATATAGTAAAACTTCTATTTAGCAGCTTAGTTTTAACTTTTAATTAGTTATCAAATTTTACCTAACTCAATTTAGTTTAATGAATAACACAGGCACAATATTTTTGATTAGCAATAAATAATTATTAGTTCCTGTTCATTTCACGTTATGTTACCAAATTATATTATACCTTTTGATTTATGAAAATTCTACAACTATCGGCATTAAATTTATATTTCATATCCTTTTTATTTTATTATTTTAATAACTCAATAATGGGAATGTTATTGTTAATAACACTTTTACTATGTTGCATGGCTTTCTCCATTTTCATTCCAGTGTTGATGATGTTAGATGGCTGCAACAAAAATCACTCTGACCCAATGAGTGAGTCAGGGGCTGAATACACAAAGACTTTCTTACGGTATATTTCATTCAATGACAATATAAACAAACCTGATACTCTTATAAGGAAATAAATACTCATTAAGAGCTGTATTTCAAATTGAAAATCATTCCATTTATATTTAAAATCGCCATCATTTAGTGCTTTGAATTTTGTAAACATAAAATTTAGTAGTCAGTATAAATGCATGCCAGGTGCAATAAAAAAGTTACAATTCTGTTTGTGGTGAAAATAAGAAATGCAATTTGGCAATAAAGCATTGCTTCTTTGCTTGATCACAGATACCTCAACGCGATGTGCGCATCTTTAACTATTTCAGGAATTTGCGCTTGCTTGATTTTCAGCTCAATAATGAGTTCATTTCCTTTAGTCCACCTGTAAGATAAAAAGGTTCCAAGAGAACAGATTAAACAACATGTTTGTGGCGGCCAACTAGTAAGTCTTTCCTACCTCAATGCAATGGGAGAATCTTCCACTACCTGTGTGATATCATCCTTCTTCAAACCAAGCTCAGTAATGAGTTCATGAGCTTTAGTCCACCTAGTTATTCATGTATAAATCAAAACTAAAATTATCACAATTGTCCATCATAGTGCACAGAGAAGCCAACCTCTGGAGATCTACAATCTGGAGACTCTCTATTTTGCACTACACCCCAGCCCCTCCCCCAAAAGTTAAAAGCCCTACCACCTCCACTCCCCCAACCAAAAAATGACCCAGCCACCATATGAAGTCTTGCATGAAGTACATGCCATCAAAATCTGCTTTCATCATTCTAATGATGAAATAATCTTTGTCAGTGACTAAAATACATGCAACTACGTCGCAGAAACCGTACAATATTATTAATTAAAAAGTCCAAATTTTCAGGGAAAAAATGGGCTAAATTTCAAGCACAGAAAAGCTCAAAACTTTATTTTATCTGGGAGATTGATGACCTGTACGAGAGTTCATGAGATTCAGGTGCCATGTTTGGGAGACTCCCTGCAGTTAAATGTCATATATGCTACAGAATCCCAGGTTTCAAACCAGTGATTTTTTTTTAACTTTAGGGATAATTAAAACCAAGGCAAACTTCCCTTCCACTGCACGACAATGTAATCTTTTAATGTAATAATGGTTATTATTATTTTGAACCATTTTCTTTTCACCAGGAGAATCTACAAAACCAGGATAATACCATTGATTATGCAAGCTTACCATTCTATCATAAGAGGTTCTTTCTCTGCAGATGAGATGTCTCTAGAAAATAAAAAATTGAAAAAGTCAATACAAAGTTTTTATTTTATATTCATTAACATCTGCATTTAAACACACTGGAAAATTACAGAAATAATTTTCATTTATGGTTAATAGTATCGTAAATAACTCAATTTTGCTTAAGTTGTTTGCTTAAGTCCAAACTTAAATAGTAGTAAAATTACTGACCCAGAAAATTCAATCGGCATATACTTTTCTTTCAGCTCTTTTGCCTAAAAAAAATGAAACAAAATAATACTATAGTCAGTCAACAATCAACTCACACATTCCAAAACAAACCAACAATTAATATCTATTTTAAACTATAATGATCACTTTGCTCCAGATTTAGATTTATAAATGAAGCTATCAATTTCCTTTGTCTCCTAACCAAGTTATGGGATTCAATTAACCATGGATTTCATAAGTTTAGGGCATTTGGAATCTCTTTCGATTTCCTTAGAGCACTGAGCTTTCCTAAAATGTTCTGTAATTGGCATAGGATTTAATGAAGCCGAAACCAATTGTGGAATTGCATGCATTTTAGGCATCCTATACTGATGAAAAGTTGGGACACGTAGATACATTTTTTAGCTACTACTATAATTTGCAGTCTGTGTACTTTGAATTGATTTGTTTGTAGTGGAAAGTACAGTTTTTTTTAAATCGCTAAGCTTATTTTAATTATTGATGCTCTCCCTGCAAAAAAAATTCAGTAGTCATTCTACAATGCTCTTGTCAAAGCTGTGGAGGAGGGTCAGTCAAAGAAATGTTTTTCTTGTTGGTTTGGTTCAAAAAACAGTGGGATACACCCAAAAGTCTTTTGCTTTAGGTAAGCCACTGCAATGTAGGGACGATCTGCTGCTGTTCTCCAGTACTAGTTGTAGCAACGTTGCCTAATTCTTGGTTAAATGTATATATATTACAAACTGGAATTTAATGGACTCTTACAAATCACCTTTTCTCTGTATGATTCTGGAAAATTCTTGTAGCTCTCAATGACTCCTGTGCAAATAAAAGTATAAAATTTATAATTGTTTGGCAGTATGGCCACGGTAGGGAGGGACCCCCAGGTGGAGGGCGTGTGGGGTACCCCCTTAAACGGCATGTGCCACTGAACAGGGTATGATTTTTTACCTCTCTGTCCTAAATAGGGTAGATAATTTTGTGTGATTCTGTCCTAAACAGGGTATATCCTGCACAACTGATTTGATTTCCTAGATGAATTTTGTACTCAAAAGGAATGACTATATCGTGAATTTGCTCTATTGTACTTGCCGATAAATGGCTTTAAAACAAGATGCCATGCATTTTGTCCTTTGGCCTAAAGAGGGTATGTATTTTGGGAATTTTTTGTACTAAACAGGGTCAGGCTTTCAAACCCTCAGCAGCTCACCTATACCCAAATATTGGTCAAGTGCCAAATATGGTCGAGCAAAGTAGGGATAATCTTTTTACTGACAGCGACAAGGCTTCCTCAACCAAGGTAAGGATAGGGTACAGGACACGATTATTACCATGAGATCCCAGGGCTTGCTTCCTCCTCAATACACAAAACAACAAGTTTTAAAATTCAGACTACGGAAACACATACCCACCCTAAGAGAGCCTCAGTAATGTGTGTCTCCCCGATAGAAATTTTTCCCTATTAAAAAGAGGGCAGACTGGGTAATATTGTTTTACTGACTAATATCACCATGGAAAGCTTCTCACCATACGCAGTACAGCCCTTTTCACCATTGACAACAAATTTTGTGAGAGTCTTGTCGAAGTCTGAGATGACCTATGAGATATTCAATCACTGTGTAAGTAATATTCTCCACTCAGTTAATTTTGTTAAAGATATGGTTACGATCAAATTCCAGAATAAAAAATTCAAGTTAATCAATGGCAACAAACAACTGATTGGGAGACCATGCTACATGCTACATGTTCATTAAATACCTGCAGTTTTTCTGGTCCACTTTCATAGAGTTTCCTGAGTTTATCTCTCACTCCGACTGAATCTCTGATGTAAACACTTGGTTTATCAATACTTTTCATCTGCAAGTACAATTTCAAATTGTTATGAATCAGGGTGATACTCCCATGTCAATTTTCCCCCCTGTCTGCCACCATGCACCTCCTACATACAAATCAATCATAGCCCAGCTGTTGATGCTCATTTCAGCTCTGAGGTAAATCAATATTAAAATAATTATTGCGTTGGTAAACCTTTGGCCTCAAAAACAAAAATTGAACTTCAATTAACAAGGCTTTCTTTACGACAACACGTGCGTTTAAATTAAATCGGTATAATAGCTTTTTTAAGGATAATCTTTTGACGCGAGAGTCGTGAAAAAAACTCAAGCACTTTTTTTGGCTCCAAACGACAAACAAGGGCTATTTAATATGCTAATTATACACACAACGTCGTATTAAAACCTAAGACTAGCTCGAAGTATATTTATTGCGGATAGATTTCTTTTAGTCAGAAACATGTTCGTAAAGTTCATGCTTTGATGATACGAAGTAAGCACGTATCAGTTCAAAGAAATTTGGGTCACTATGGCTGACCCGAAAATTCAAAAATGAGCTTTAAAACGTTTTTAAAATCATTTCTAAGTATACATAAGCCGCACGATCAAACGAAAATAATTCAAAAAGGAGCAAAAATCAATGAGGATTTTCTCGAACATACCATATCATCAATCGCATCTTTTATTTGTTGTGCCTTCTGTCTTGCGCGAACATATTTGTAAAGACCGTAACCAGTAACCGCGGATAGTCCAAGAGCAGCAACGCCAAACATGGTTTTCCTTTCGAACATAACAAATTGCGACTTTAATTTATGGAAGTTGCAGAGCTCACAACAGGTCAGATTCAGGAATATGATAATTGCCAGGCACTCCTTGCCTAGTCTCGTTTGTGCTTTTGACCAAGACCCACCACGTACCCGTCCCATGGCCCAAACAGCGGTTATTTATTTATTCATCATTCATTTATTTATTTATCTAAAACAAAGCATAACAATTCCTCTCGGATTAGAAAATAAATTTATAATAATAATAATAATAATAATGATGATGGTTTATTAAATACACATGGTGGCATAAAAACTATGAATTACAATGTGCTTACATAAGTTACAACTAAAAATAAAATTACATTTGTTTCAGAGGGACTGGTATTACAGGCTATTTATAAGTTATTTACAATTCAGATATAGCTAAAGAACAATACTACAGATAACTAGACTCGTATTTAAAGATTAGTTAATTTTCACCATTGTTGGGAAAAAACTAGAACCGAAGCGATTTGTTCTCCAATATATAAAAATATAAAAAATAAAAATGTCCCAAAAGAGAGTAATTCCTCGCGAAAAGGAATTTTCCTCGCTTCGCGAAGAAAAATAGACCCCGCCCCTTCCCTCCCACGCGGAGGACATCTAGTCACTATTAGGCTAAGATCTACTTTCTCGGGGGGAAGGGGAGTGGAGGGGGAGAGGAAGGAGGCCTGCCCCGATTGTGGTCGGCAACTTTTGAGCAACTTTTTGCAGTTCTATCAACCTCAAGCAATTTTTTTGTCTTTCTGAGCACTTTTTGAGTAAAATACTTGCAAAATACAGGTTTAGAGCACATCTCAAGCTCGAAAAAGTCAACTATTACATAAACTCCTGATAAACTTCAATCTATGGAAATTTCTTAAATGTCAAGAGAGGATCACCCTGGGTGCCAGAGACTTTTCTAGCGCGGTTTCCGGTTTCTGTCAAGTCTTTATAGTGACCCGCGCCGCTCGTGGCTTCGGCCTACGGCCGAAGACGTGTCGGCCTTCGGCCAACACCGAAAATTCCCGCCGCAAGCGAGAAAAACCTCTGGTACCTAGGGTAAGAGAGGATAGTTCTCTCTACTGAATGTTTAGTAATCTTTTAAACACACAACCTCTCGCGTGTCCTCGTCTCGTAGGCCTAAAAAGGCAATTATTACCATATGCATAATTAATTAGTATCCTTAAATTTTCTCTCATAAAAGCGAGCGATACTTTATTCCAAGTTTCAAACTATTTTTCTCGACCAATGTTAACAATTATTGTGAAGAACGAAAAAAGAAATTATAGTGCCGTTTATATGAAAAGATCCAGGAATTTCGGAAGCAACTTTTCGGATTTTTTTTTTCAGCAAGTTTTTGGCATTCTGGTAAGCAACTGTCCAGCATTTTACGAGCACAATCGGGAGATGCCCGGGGGAGCTTTCCAGACTTGGCGCGGACTAAAGGGAGGGCAAGAGAACAAATGGAAGCTTAGAGACTAAAGACTGCCCTGTGAGGCTGTTTAAGTAGTTTGTTTTTCTGGGTGATTCGAGCAGGATCCTGCCTCGTTCTTTCAAGTTCTTTCGAAAGCCTTGTAAAAACGTAGTATTTAAATTTCAGAGCCACGGGTTTACGCTGTGATGATTAAGCTGAATAAGGTGTCATGTGAAAAAATTAATCTCTTTTTGAAGCCCACAAGAGGAAATCCTAGTTATCGGTGTTCAAGAAAAATTAACATTACGTGTTCCCGGCTAAATTTTCGCACCTTCTTTCAAGAAAAAGCGAGAAAAGCCTAAAGAAAATACAGGATTAAGTAGACGAAAACAAATCCGAAAATCTGGTTTATGATTTGAGTGGCCTAAAAACACATTTGCCCACCGTAAGAGCTAGCAGATTCAAATACGACGCTTTAGTGATAACTGACCTATTCATTCGGCGCGAGCCGTTTTCTTTAATAAACGAACGACTGACTTTCAGTTTTAAAATGTCAGGTTTTCTATATCTCACGGTAGCTAATTACCTAGCTTCCAACCCCAGCTGAAAAAACCAAAATTCTCGATTAGTCTTGTAACTGATCTCTCGGGCTTCGCAAATCATCTTGTGCTCTTATTATTTTTCCTATCGTTCCTTTGTTAGGTTTTTACTGAATTGATTAAGGATTCTTTGTCTTAACTTTTCCTTAGCAAACACAAAATTTCAAATAAGGTCGTATGATAAAACCTAATTTTACATGACTCACGAAAAAGGAAGCGAGACAACTTATCTAATGAAAAGAATTTTGGGCAGTCAGATATTGAGAGCAAACTTAATTCTCCCTGAGTTCCTTTTTTTTTTTTTCATTTTTTCTTTTCCTTTTTTTCTTTGCTATAGCTTTGCTAATTTCAGAACTTGGAGAGTTATGTCATTTGGTGGACTTTTGCAATTTTATATCAGATTAAATTCGCCCTCATCCAGAATTAGAAAAATTAAAGGTGTTTTACCAGTTTACATGTTTTCAAAAATAATTTATGTTGAGATGTTTCAATTGGGAAAGTACTGGATGATTATATCGAGTCGAGTATAAGATGGTTCTTCCGAAGAGTGTTTTAATCGGCAAGAAGACATTGATCCTCATTTTTTTTGTTTCTGTCATGACAGCGTTCCTCGTGTTAGGCATTTGTTTCAAACTTGTCATGAAAAATTCAATATTTGACAGCATGAAGATCAATTAGATATGATAAATGATTCCTAATTCATTTCCATCCCCCAACAAACAACTTCTCTTTGTGTGAGTGTCAAATGGAACAAAAAATCATGTCGATTATCCCGCGAAATCATAAAATGTACAGTTCTTGTATTGAACAACATTAAATTAAAACACATTGCATTTTCAAGAAGCCGGGTTATTTCAAGTTAAAATCAATTCCTTATATTGGACTCTTTTGATACACGTCACAAGCTCCATGAGAAGTGTTATCAAATTGCGCCAAAGTTTTCAAACAAGATAAATAAATATTACCTATGAGTTTAATTAATTTTTTTTGTGAACAAAGCTATCGTAAAAAGTATAAAGTTGCTTCGACTGGCAATTAGCAGCAACGCTTTTGGAACTTCTCTTAAATCAAGGGCGGACTCAGCCTAAATCTCATCCTGGATTTCTGTCAGAATCAGTCCCTTTCTTCAAGGTAAAACTAAAATGTTTTTAATGCTGTTTTAATATTGTTATGGAAGAGGAGGCGCTCTATAGCTGCCTTGAACGTTGATCGAGACTGGTTGGTCACAAAAATGGTTACAATGCAGGATTTCATCCGCAGACTTGGCAAAAGTAGGAGCCTGTCTAAATTTTGTACCGCATCACCTTAAGAGGGACTGAATACTTCACACTAGCTTTCATTGAATCACCGCTGAATGATCACACTTTTAGGAATTTCATACATATACAGGCTCAATAGTCAGAGCTTTTGGTCAGTGGAAAAGCCAGACTACAAACGTGACCAAAAGAAATGACGGGCTCTAAAAAGAATGCCCCGGAGGTACTCAGGGTGCCAGAAGATTTGATTCTTCTTTTCGGGGGCAACGGGACTGAGCGGCGAAGCCGAAAAAACGATTCGCAAAGTGGCCAGAAATTGAGCACTTCGCTCTTTACGCGTCTCGCCAGTGATCAGCGAGAAGACCTCTGGTAACTAGGGTACCCCGAAGTTTAACATCAGACTTTTATTTTTCTCTTTAGATGAAGATTTTTTTCTGCGTAGTCCTTCTCCTTTTGGTTATTACTCAGTCATTACTTGTCCGTTCGGATGTCCCACAAGCCGAGAAAAGGCCCATAAGAGGGAGCCCTTTCGTGGTTAAGCGATTCGTCCCTCAAGCGGAGAAACCAAGCAAAAGGGACCACATATGGGATTACCTGTTTGATGCGCATGCCCAGGCTGAAGCAGATCAAGATCCGTGCCAGTGGCGTTGTCGAGACTGGTGCCAAAAACGATGCAGAGACGAAGACGAAGAGTGCCTAGACGGATGCTTGAACATTTATGGAAGTCGTTGGAGAAAGTGCATACGGAAATGTGAGAATGGTGACCTCGATCGACCAGGAGGAAAAGAGCGGGAATCAGAAGAAGAAGAAGAAGAAGAGTAGAAAAAATAACGCCAGATTTCAGTTTTTACGCCAAGATATAAAACATTACAGTTGCTAGACATTGTCTTGTTATTCAATAATTTGTGGAACATTTTGAACAAGTAAGAAAATACCATTTTATCTTTATGTTGGCGAAACAGCCTTCATCTCGTCTCTTCATTTCTTTGTTTCATCCTTTTTAGTCAAACTATCTGCAACATAAACCAACAATTACAAAACCCCAAGAGTAGGAAAAAATGTCTCAATACGCAGTTAATATTTTTTTGAGTTCATTACAATAAAGCGCAGCAAAATGGTATGAAAGACTCATTTTACATAAATTTAGCCATAAGGCCCTTAAGAATTCAATTCCAAGAAAAACCAACACTTCAAAAATTAAGCGCGTTGGAATAATAGCAGTGATATTCGAAATAGCGCGAATTCACTTCTGAGTGACATTTCCTAATTGGGAAAGCGGGGACAAAGGGAGAACAGGGATTTCCCCTACCCATCACTCCCTGCTCACGCACTGCGCTCGTTCCCATCATCCCCCACTCGCGCCTCTCGCTCGTACCCAGCCCCCCGCGTTTGAAATCCGTGCTTCCCGCTCAGCTTTGGGCGAGCCTGTGGAGAAGACATCCTGCCACTTTTTCGACTCATACATAAAAATCTATCGAAGCGATTTCAACCCCGCAAACAAACAGACAGCTCTTTGACATTTCACTTGTCCATATCAGCTCCTAGTCAACGATGGGTAAAACCAATTAGATATTTATCCATCCACTGAGCTTGATTTGCCATAACCCGCCAGTAGCACGTTCCTGTTTAAGCAGTGATCGAATTTAATTTTATTTTCGGTCAAATTACGAGACTGCTAGATTTTTTTTTCGCCCCTTTCGTGGCAAAAGGTTGTGAAGCAATACTGATGGTTTAAAGCTAAGTGACATCACAATGTTTTGTTTTAATTTCATTTTAATTAATTTTAATCGTTTGTTGCACGCTCGTATGTTTCATTACTGTAGATATTTGTAATGAAACCATACCACACATACAAAGAAAGCAAACAGGAAATTTTCACCTCCTAAATTTTACGTCTGTCGTCACGAAAATAAGCTGTCCTTTGTCATTTGCGGTTTCGTAGTAATTCTGCAGTTAAATTCACAAGAAAAAGGGTGGGAAAAGCGAAAGATGGGCGGACGGTTTCTGCTGTTACGTGCATACTGGGGACGTCAAAGCTTAAGGAATTGAACTTACGCGCGGGTCATTTTTTTTTTTTTTTTTTTTTTCGATGTTGTTCATCGTATTACCATGCAGTCTCAACTCCTCTGGCTTCTAACGGTCTCCGTTTTTCTGTTGATCTTAATGAGCTTGACGGCCCCAGCCGCGCGAAAAAAGACAGGGTCTTCCGAGTGTGTTAGATCCATGTACAAAAACATGCCAGGCAAATGTTAAGACTCCCTGTCTCGATAAAATCAAGCCAAACAATGCAGCAGGTTTTCAGAAATGCCAGAGGAATTTCAGTAAATGTGTTGATGATTGTAAAAGACCAAAAAAGTACCGTAGAATCCCGGTTATAAGCCCTGGGCTTATACGTAAGGGTTTTTGGGTGGGCCTATAATCGGGGGGGCTTATAACCCGGGGGGCTTATAATAGGGAGGAAAAAAATGTCTTAAATCCGTTCTATTAAAATGAAAATTTTAATCATGTATACGGTACCCGGTATAACAGGGGTATAACCGGGAGGAAATTTCTATTAGCAGAGAGGTGGGCTTATAACCGGGGGGGCAGAGAGGTTTATAACCGGGGCTTAGGGGGCTTAAATTTCTATTATTCAGAGAGGATGGTCTGATTACTTATAATCATGGCCCAGTGGGGGGGGGGTTTATAACCGGGGGGTTATTTTCAACCGGATAGATTCTACGTTTGTATGTTTTTTTCAAAATCATTCAAGCTTTTAAGCGGATAATACCAATTATGTCTGATTACTCTGTAATCATGGCCCTGTGTCGGTAGTGCTCTGTAGATTTTGGACTGTTGCAAGAGAACAAAATGAGAGTAAAAGAGATTATTTTAAGTACGCAAAAGAACATAATACCATAATAATAATATTCGTGGCAGTAAAATGTAGGACATTACACAACCGGCCACATGTGAAGCCTCTGAATACATATCGACTCTTATTGTATGTTGAAGAATTTCATCCTGTCACAAATTTTATGTTCAAAATTGCTGTCCAACGAGGAATTGGGGACATTACAAGACGCTTCAAAGACAAGTTAAAAAAGAACTCTGTGGACTTATCTGTTTAATAAATTTTGTTGTAAAATACAAAAAAGTTAAGTTGATGTTAAAATGAAATGAAAAAAAACAATGATGACCTCTTAATTAAATTCAAAGCAATTAAAATGTAAATATTGCATCCATTATTTGTCCAAGAGTCCGACTTAAGTAAAGGTCTCTGACTATCAAGCTCAGTCGCTCTTGGATTTAGCTTTTGCATTAGTTTGGGCCAAGTAATCTGAAACAGAACAAATGAATGAATGAGTAAATGAGATAACGCAAAATGGTTCACCGTCTAGCACCCAGGCTTTCTCTTCTAGCTGTTTTGCACGCACACGTGATTGGCTTTAGGAACTTACGGGGGCAACACACTCGCCCGCAAGACTAAACGATAGGCTGTAAATGTTAGTGTAATTACGAAAATAGCAAAAAAAAACTTACCGAAAGCTGGGGCTTCGGTAGAACCAACGCAAGTTTTGCGTCTTGGAGCCTACGAAATAGAGCACTTGATCAGCCTCGTTCTTGTCAAGAGCTTCAGTTTTGGAAGCAAGGACCAACGTTACAAAATAGAAGGACCGGATCATAATAAAGGATGTCACCAGCTATAAACTAAACTATCGAGCAAAAGAAGCAAGGCGTATTTTACCAGAATCAGGAATATATATTTTTTGTTACCAATATTTCGGAAGGCACGGCCTTCCTTCTTCAGGGTCTTAAATACAAATGACTAGGTCATAGCCTGCGTAGCAGGCGTCGAAAGGGGTAGGGGGTAGGGGATAGGGAGGAAGGCCACGCAGGCTACTAGATCAAGGTAAGAGCAACTGTCGACCTACATTGAGTGTATACCAAAGAGGTGCCACAAACTGGGCTACACCATTTTCGCGCAGGCCTCTCAAATACGAGCACGGCGCCGACTACCTCAGGCGCGCGCACAGCCATAACCTCCGGCCGTGGTAGCCACATTCTCCCCTGAAATTTCGTGAGTTGGAAGAGCTCTGGGAATGAGATTGTGGCGACCACGGACAATTTTTTTTCCTTATAAGGACTTCTGCGCAAGCGTAAGGTAATGAGGTATCATTCTGGTCTCAGAGCCAGGTCATTTCTTTTGGTCACAAGTATTTTCCTGTTTTACTTAGCCTGTATAAAGAAGGCGCTATGAAGTAGTATGAGCCTAAGAACGAACGGTCGCGCAAGGAGGACACGCGAGGGGATAGGAAGCTCCCTTTTCCCTCGCGTGTCTCCGTCGCCTGCCTCGTTCTTTCTCGCAACCATATGACTTCTAAGCGCCTGCTACGAAAGCTCTGTTTACTTACCTCTGGTTTCTTATTTGCCGCTTCTTTACATTTCCGCCTTTCTTTTCTGCTTTTGGACTTCAGCTTCTCCACATTTTTTTCTTCCCTTTTACATTCCACTTCCTCTGGGATTAAGCTCTCAGCATCGCCGCATTTAAAAGCACCTGTTTAAGTTTGAAATTCATCAGCTTAGTTTTCACTTTTCAACTTCACTGAGCGTAAATCTGATAGGCTAGAACAAGAATTCTTTATCTTACAACAGGGCAATGCACTAACAGTACTTTCTCCTTTTCGAAATCAACATTTTTCTGCTGGTAAACTTTGTTAGCCGTTAAAGTTTTTTCAGAGAATTATCTGAAAATCATCGTTTCTTGATATTCTACCCTGGTAACAGAACCTCGATACTTTTGTCTTAAGGAGCTGTCCACACTTGGTGTCGGTAACCAGTGCCTGTGTACTGGCCCAAAAACGTATTGTGTTCACACTTTGAGTATCCGTTATATGACTCTGTACATACTTACTACATTTCGCTCTGCCAGACACCCTTTTGAAACATAAGCTTAGCCGCGAGAACAAAGCAGTGGACTACCCGGAACCCTTACAAATATTGTGTTCTCACAGGGACCCAGCGCCCACTTTTGTGCCGGAGTACAAGTTCGAGACCTAGTACTCGGTCACCGGCACCGTGCCCGAATTCTCTAGCGTGGGTACTTGACAAAAGGGTGTGTTCACATTAGTGTCCAACGAGTACCGTACTCGGGCGTCGTGCCCGGGCACCAAGTGTGAACGCCGCCTTGTTCAGTGAGGATGAGAAAAGGAGGCTGTACCTGAATCGCGTCAAGCCTACGTTCATTCGGGTCAAACTGGTTTTCCGAGTGCGAGCATTCGTTTATTGGTAATCTATAAACTGATGGAAGTAATTGAGCTTGTGTAATAAAGATTAAAACCCCTGAGCATCGCAGTTACTAAATGTTTATTTGAAAATTGTAAGATCGACGCCGTTCAAAAGAGTCTTAACCGACGTTTCGGCAATGCTGCCTTCTTCAGGGTAAAAGACTAAATACCGTTGTGGCTGAGAACACCGTTAAAAGAAGGCAGCGTTAAATTAGCCACAACCGTGATTTAGTATTGCCTAATGCTGTCTGAAGAAGGCAGCATTTTCAAACGTCGGTCAAGACTCGATTTATACAGAACAGTACGTCAAAGGGGGAACTGAGCTGGCTGATTTAAGCGCACGGTTATTAGGTCTGGGTTCAATACTGTATCTTGACAATAAGCAGCACATTTTCAACAAAGGTCCTACTCGACTTTATGCAGAGTAACGGTACGGTAAAACGTAAAATTCAGCAACCAAAAACTCCCAGCGGCACATCCCCAACTTGTTTTGGAAAAATTGCGGACAAAAAAACTTCAACTTGAATAGCAATTGCTGCAAAATTCTCTGAATTTTGCCCGTTATACCACCTACGAATCAAAGGCTGTCTTGCATCAAATCAGGTTGTGGCTGGTGGCGAAAAGTTGTTGCAGAAATCGGAGAGAGGCTCTACTTTTTTCAATAAAATCTGCACATAATTGCGCGTTTTACCTGCCCAAGGCAAACTACAAACAGTGACGTAACTTCGGTGTATGGCGTGCTGGAATAGCTCCAGTAAAGCTCCCGCGTAATTTTATCCAATCAGAAGTCAGTATTCACGTAACTTGCAAGAACCTGATTTGCTACAAGACAGATTTTAACGTGGATGTTAAACGCGCAACGCCGCTTTTCAACTCGTTTGGCAGCAACAGAAAGGGAAAGAAAGTCTCTGCTAACAGGGTGTTAATAACCTGACTAATTTGTTTAATACTTACTTTTTATCCTTGTGTTCGAGTCGTATACATATGCTGGTGTGTCCCTACGTGATGCGCCGAGACTTCTTACATAACCAGGGCGATTTTGCTGCAAATAGCAAAAGGATGCCACTTTTTAGTTTAAGGCGGAGTGAGATCTGGGCACGAGATCAGATTCTTATCGAAAAAGAAGCATTGTGTTGTTTACTTTTGATCAAAACCGTTGCCAGACTGTCACCGCAACCCCACCCGAGGCCACCGAACGCTTATCTTCTTCCGAAAAATAATGTTTAATTGCTCTCGAGCGCCAAGGTAGTTTGAATTATATATCAGGTCTTAGTTAATGAACTAAGACGGGATTAGCTCAGTGTGTTTGTGTTTGAGATACATATAGTAAAAACAGCGCTTAAATGAGCCTTATGGTCCTTCAGAGTGGTAACTTTGCCATGTTACCATGGTTACAATAGATATACGTATAAATGAACCAATCCTCCCAAAGGTAGTCTATTAAATGAACCAATCAAAACCAAGAAAACAATACCCGTAGCTGAACGCGGGAAAACGCATGTCAACAAGGCACGCTTGGTTTCATTCTGAGCTGTTCTGATTGGTCGTAAAACTGACAGGTGATTTTTTTTAAAACCAATCATATTAAGAAGCCAATGTAAGTACTGTAAACGTCCTCACGGGACACAGATGAAAGCCCTTAGCTTGGAAATATTTTACACTATCATTCTAAGCAAATCAGTTTTCTTCCTTCTCATTGGCCGAAAGCCCATCACCTGACCTGCAAATAACTTCCTATGGTCTGCTCATGCGTAATGTCGACGAACTGTGTTTGGCTTAGGCTGCAAAAAATAATATTCTGCTCATGCGTAAATAAAACCATGCGTACTCCATCTTGCGATCGCGCTTGCGTGAAAATGGCAGATCGTTTCACAGACCTTTCAGAGAGTGACCGAATGATAAAACAATTATTGAACTAGGTTATCGCAAAATATCGTGATTTGTCAGTGTCTCGCAGGTCAATTATTTGCCTGTTCATTATTTCACCTCGTATCTGCCCGAGGAACAAGAAGCATCTCTTTCACGGTCTGATTGGTCGAGCTGCTCTGCCGTCAGTTGTTCTGATGTCGCCTCTTCCTCTACGTCATCAGGCTCTTTAATTGCAAGTTCCGCTAGCGTGCTTCTGAGATATCCTGAGGCAACGAAAAGAAAAATTGGTTATGTAAATTCCACCTACAGTTATGGTAATTTGTTTCAAAAATGTCACTTTGTCCGTTGTCGTTTGTCTGTTAGTTACCATGAAAACGTGTAGATGCTGTCTAGTCTGAACAAGGACTTCTAGCAGGCTTATCAATAAAGATGGGGATTTCAACATCTTCAGCAACTTCTTACAAGTAGAAACACAATACTACGTCACTTCCGCCCATTGTAGTACTGCATATTAAACTGTAATTTAGTGATCTTCCTAATAAACCTGATGAAGACTGGTATTGGCAGGTCGAAATTTCGTAACTATCGTATTCTCACGTTGCTTGAAAAGTGCTTGCAGTTTTCTTTTTGACAATAATTTATACTTTTTATTAATTTGACTGTTTACGATCGTTTTTGATATATTACTTGACAGCAAGATTGATTGTACACGTTTCTTTGAAGTGGTCTTGCACCTTAACTTTTCATATGCTGTCAAAGTTCATTATTTCAGCTGATAAAACCAGTTGATGATAACGAGACCCGTATATTTTTACCTGACCATTGTGCTGAGGAAGTCGTGGGAACATAACCTGGCGTGTCTCTTCGGTGATGAAACATTGCCTTTGGCAAACAGTTTTATAACAACGGGTCCACGCAAACTATAACTTAATGCGAAAAATGAATCAGAGTGTGATTATAAGCCTTATACAGTCTTTTTTATAGTCTGTGATATATAAAGTTGATTCCTGTCTGTTCTAGTCACAGCCTTTAGTTCATTGAGTCACTGGGATTACGTTTTACATGAGCTGATTACACGAGTGCGAAGGAATTCAGCGAACATTTCAGTCAAGTGAAACAAGACTGAAACTCAGAAAACCGTAAATTTATTACTTTCGAATTACCATCTTTCTTTTTACCAATCTTTCTAAACGTTACCCTGCATGGCTCCAGAGGTCTATCTTCAAAATTGTGAGTTACAGACTACGAGGAACGGCAACAAAAACTTGACTTATAAAGTGATTTCGCATCCTTTTAAACATTATCACCATCATTCCAATTCTATAAATTTATCAAATACAGCCCGCTAATTCCCCTGGACTTGGATTAGAAAGTCCTCCATAGAACGCCGCATCAGGAGAACCGCAAAGAAATGTGCAAAGAAATGAACCAAAAAGCGTGACTCACGTGCGGTTATGCTTATAAAAACCTATTTCTTTTTTTCACGTTTGCGATTCTGTTCCCCTTGTTTATCTTAATTGCCAAATATCTAAGATTAAATAAACGCCGTACAAAGTTTCAGACTCTTGGGACGTTTCCCCTCGTTGTCGAAGTTTTCCCCTTTCTTGTCAGTTTGTTAAAAAACCCCAGACAACCAGAATAACGAAGCGTGTTCCGAAAAAATAACAGATAAGTTTGCCGCTAAAGAATACGCGTGTTAAACGTTACGAAAAGTATAAGTTTTGATAGAATAAATGATGTAACAAGGTTTAATAATATTGATGTTTCCTCTTTGTATGTGGACAAAAAAATCATTCCTCTGCCAAAAAGAAAACATGTAAATCAGTCAAATGGATTGAAAATGCATTTATAACTTTTCACTACAAAGATTTATTATCGAAAAGCAAATTATTATACATACCTTGCTTTAGCACATTCAGATCGACCGAAACAGTTTATTACTTGTCGACTGGCGAACAAAAAGTAATATGTAACCTTTGTTAACGTTTTACGCGTTTCTCAGCTCGCCTACGTTGAAGGCACCGGATAGTTTTTTTTCTTGTTGTTATTTCAGGTTATTTCTTAGCCTTTTCTGTGGCGTTTCTGTCGTGGTGAACAAGTTAAAAGGAAAAATGTCGATACAAGACTAACAGGCGAGCAGTATCGTCGTTCAAGTTCGCACGGCAGAAAACATTGTCGGCTGCTTCTGATGATTGTAAGGGTGTGTCCGATTCAGCCTAGTCCCTAGGCGTTCTCTCTTGCCCGTTGTCTCTCGGTGACGTCACAGCTCACGGTAGAGTCCAGGATTGACCGAGCCGAGACCGCTTGGGACTAAGGTGAGTCCGATTTAAATTAGGCTCCACGGTGAGGGAAAACACTAAAACAGGGTCAAAAAAGAGAAATAACGGCGCAAGGGGGCTAGCAGGTTTTTTTCCGCCCAATCAGGGGCACCCAAAGACTATTTTCTGTTAAATGTCTTTTCGGAGGAGCAAAAATGCCTAGAACTTTCTACAGCTTTAGGAAGGCTAAAAATTCCTAGATGATCGTTCCATTCACGTGCAATCTTCAAAGCTTATCTAACAAATTCCCTACGAGTTTCTGAAGTTTAATTTTTTTCATTTCACTCCCCAGGTTAAGCTATTTTTCGTAGAGAAAGGAAACCTAAAATTTACGGAACTGAAAATTGGTATAGGTAATAACATGATTTGTAGTGACACTTGGCATAAATACCACGAGTGATGTTTCGAAATTGTTATACGTAATTTCACGAGCCGTTAGGCGAGTGAACTTTGAGACAATTTTGAAATATCACAAGTGGTATTTATGCCAAATATCACGTACAAATCATGCTATTATTTGTTTATACTACTACCCACAAAAGGTTTGTAATTTTCATATGTAGGTATTTCAAATTAAGCTGAAATACCACTGATCTAAGCCAATCAAATTGCAGAAATTTCTCATGTAGTAGTCAGAGTATAACATATTTAACTGCTGGCCAGTATGATCTCCACCAGCATATTTAAAAAATAGTCACCTTACAGATGGTATGTTTAATCAACAGATTAATCCCTTAGATTGATCACGGTTTTATTGTTGTCTTTGATCAGTTAAATTACACCGTCATATTGAAAACAAATCACCAACTAGTACAAAATCAACCAATAACAATTTCCCAACGAAGCTAGAACAGGAGTTTGAGCTAAAATTGCCTGAAAAGCACATATAGAAACATTAAGAGGAGAGGTTCCTATTACAATCCCATCATGCTTCATGTTCACTCCCAACACCCAACAGACAAATTTGGATGTACATTGGAATTCATTCTTGGTTCCGAGGCTTGAAAGAATAAAACGTTAAAGTAATGAAATATTCATCCCTAAACCTCAAGACGACTTCTTTTGTTTCATTACACCAAGTATTGGTACCATCCACTCCTTTGTTCACTGGCAAGTTTTCTCTTAACCCCTTCAGAATGTACAAGGTCTGAGACCTTAAGCTTTAAGTTCTTTCTTTTGAACCATGCCACAATTAATAAGCAAAAAGATATAAATATTTTTAATTGGACACAACGATGTGAATTAAACCTACTAAGAAGCAAAAAATCAAAATTCTAACCCATTATTATTGTCAAAAGAACACATGGAACTGACTAACCTACAATTAAGATACATTTTACAAGGTAAGTAAGTTTTGACGTATAGCTGGGTTACCTGGTTAGACACCTTCAAAGGGAGGTAATATGATGTAGCATCATTTTCTCCCTACTCAGTATCAAAGAATGCAGTGAAAGTGGAAACGAGAATTTATATGTTTAATGCTATCTAACATGATCAGGATGTTTGCAGTTTTTTTCCTCTATCATCAAACGAAGCAGAATATGTAAGAAGGGGGGAAAATGCAAGAAGGGGGCGTTTGATAAGAAACATCACCTACTTCCAAAAAAATTTCAGACGCCACAACCAAATGTCAAGAAAGCAATCTTTTTTTCTAGAAAATGACTGCAAGCATGTTACATGTACAACTTTATCACCATTAATAGGGATGGTTAACAATAAAATCACAGACTCCTTCTAATTGAGACCAAGGTTGAAAATCTCTAAACATAAGGAAACAGCAAGATTTAGGTCCAAAAATTCCTCAAGAACCAAGCCTTTGAACATACAAGTCACCACCCCTATTACTTTAAAACTAAGCAAAAAACTAGAGCTGAATGGTATTTTAAATTATCTCCACTTTCTGTAGCTGCTGATTAACCAGCATGCATGTCGGCATTACATGACTTCATATTCCTTCTTGATGGATCTCATAAGGCAGCAGGCAAATATGATGCCAATCAGCTGAAAAATAAGACCGACAAACAGTTTATATACATACCTGCCAACTCTCCCTGTTTTCCCGGGAAGCCAGGAGTCTCAAGTTTTTTATCAAATTTCCCGGTCTCCTAGTTAGAGCACCAAATCTCCCGGGAAATATCTACCGGGACAAATTGTCTCCGAGATGTAAGCCGGTTATACTCGGAAAACTCCATACAAACCCTTCTAATTCTTTTTGGGTCGACCCAAAAAAATTTAGAAGAGTTTGTATGGAGTTTTCTAAGCATAACTAGGCTACGATCTCAGAGACAATTTGCCCCGAAATGCTCATTTTTGATAAGTATAGGCCTCTTGGACATTGTTCTTTCAGAATATCCTGACAAATCCCATAATTTCAGAAATTTCATTTTTGTGCTAATCTGTCACTTAGATATGATGCTCTGTATTAAGTGCAACAGATACAATGTACATGTTGGTTAGTAGTCTTTTACTTCCTTTCTTGTGGCATAAGAAGAGGTAGAGACACTTTGAGGTCATTCTTTTCCATTTTCTTCAACAACTCTCAGGTTTGTTAAACCTGTATTAAACGGTGTCAGTAAGCCACTCCCAAAGGGTGACTGCTTAACCCTTTAAGCCCCAAACATCCACATACAAATTCTCCAAACTGATCTCTATACACCTCCTTTAAGAATTAGTTGAGAGAATTAAACAAAAGATCAAGGCATTTTCTCTTTGGTGATCATTTTATTACTTCTGATAACGATATCTCTTGACTATGTATGGATATTGTTAGGAGAAAATGATGTTGGTCAATGTTGGTCACTATTGGGACTTAATGGGTTAATACAGGTTTGACTGTATTCAAGAGATGGATAGTGAGGGAAAACAATATGACAGCTCACTCAGTACAGACAGGGAACCAAGCGCTACATCTGACTTAAGTTATTACTTTGAAGTTGACACCCTCCAATAGATACAGTACAAGAACATGTTAAGTTACAAACCTGAATGAAAGCAATACCAATTCCAACTCCACCAACAACAATAATGTGATCTTTAAGGTACTTTTCAAGTTCTGTCAGACAACCCTGAAAGTAGGACAACAAGATTAATCTTGAAAACATCAAACTGAGCAGGAATTAAAAATTGATGAAATTCCAAGAGATGAGGAGGAAATTCAAAGGAATTAGCTCTGAAGTTGACCACAAAATTTTCAACTTTTTTTTGCTTTTAGACCATGATACTAAACAGAGTTTTTGTACATTCTACAACAACACTTTGTCTCTGGCCATGCCTCAATATTTGACTTGTCCACCGCAACCCAAGTTAATCCAACCCAGTATATCTTTGAGGAAACACCTAACAAAATGTGCTTACCTTTGAGTACACCTTGTTTGTTTCAGTCTTTGCTGCACGCCCATCCTTTGGGCAATCATCTTCATTTTTGCAGCAACTTTTTGGAAAATCTGTAGCATTGTAGTAGTCGCTGGGTCCATTAGCCCCACAGCAATCAAACTACAAGAAAAAGAGAGACAGTGGAATCCCGTGAATACAATTATTATCAGGCCATGTAAATCTAGCTTGTGTCACAAATGTAATCTAACACTGATAAGCAATGACCATGAAACAGCACCAATATCCTTGTTCTGGGCCCCAAATGGAATCAACAAATTACTGGATGTGCATTTTAAACTTCCCTTCAACCTGTGGATTGGCAATCAGACAATGGCTCTTTTTACAGGCTAACCACATGAATTGCGAGTACTCTAATCCTGGTACAAAGCTGGGGATCCAGAGCAAGGAATTCAGCGCTGGCTCATAGACGGATTTAACCAGAGGTTTAGTTTTGTCTGTGGCACAGACTATGCAAATCTGGTCAAATTGTTATTAATATGGCTGCATCAAATTTTGATAAATAAGGATTCAGGCAGTGATACTAGTGGCACATACACAAAAATCTTAGACTATATGTTTTTTACACACCCAAACCCTATATTAATACTGAACCAAATATTTCTTATTTACCAGTTAATAATTAAAAATTAAATACAACAAGTATGGTAGTAAGGCTAACAGAGATGGCAAAAAGTATCGGTCACTTGTGATCAAAGTACATTAAGTATTTTGGTAGTAAGGCTAACAGAGATGGCAAAAAGTATCGGTCACTTGTGATCAAAATACATTAAGTATTTTGGTAGTAGGGCTAAAAGAGATGGCAAAAGTATTGGCCACTTGTGATCAAAAAACATGCAACTTACCTCTCTCTGTGCTTTATCCATAGCCTTCTGGATAACCTTATCGGTAGCATACTTTTTCACACCTTTTTCAAGCCCCTCTTTCACATAATCCTCAAGCTAAATTAACAGCAAGGAAGATATTAAAATCAGCAAGTCAGTGTATGCCAGCGCGGGTCCAAAATCCGAAATGCCCATTTTACTTGAACAGATTATCATAGCTTTAATAACAAATGCATACACGTAATACATCTCCAATCGCTAAAGAAGTGACTCTATCAAATTTAAGATATACAGATGTACAATTGGTATACAGAAAAACTGGAAAACAGTAAGCAGAAAGGTAAAAACTTACGCCTTTCTGGGCTCTACATTGGACCGCGTGGTCGATAACATAACAAAACTAGCGCGCATTAGCAGAAACCAGTCACATACATGATGTAAAAAAGGGCGGAACACGGGTGCCGCTACACAGTGTGTGTAAGTTATAAATTCAGTAGGCCTAAAGCAGAGGAAATGGCCACAATACTTTCATGTTCTTTTGTTCATATTCAAAAAAGCCTCACTAGCCTCGTTCTTAAGTACAAAATACAAAAGAATGCCTTATCTCAAGCAAAAAGGCTAGTCAGGCCAAGTTTAATTCAAACACAAGAATATTAATCTAGCAGCCATTTTTGCATTGGGTCCATGCTACACATGTATGGTGTATAAGTATAAAAATGGCACATAAATAGATTACTAACAGGGGCCCAATATGCACCCAAGCCACATCATGATGGATATTTAGCAATAGGAATGTCCTAAATTGTGCTCATACAACAAATAAAAATTTATGGTGTCAGCATAAGGTTAATATTAAAGTGGGTAAAAAATACAGTGTTTTGTAGGCATCAAAAACAGCTGTATCGCACCGGATCAGATCAACCTGTGTATTTCATCAAATGCCAGAAGGTTAGGAATGGGGTTACGGGGATTGATCCAATCAAGTCCCAACCAGGTTCTGTCAACAGCCGTGTTTTGTATATGAATGTTGCTCCAACAGAACTGAAGAACTTACTTTATCTTTGTAGGCATAGGCCACGGCACCTGCTGCAATCTCCAGGATGAAAATGATTGCCAGTAATATAGCAAACTGAAAAGAAAGCGGGAGAATTTGGCATCACATCAATTATAAGGTAGGCCTTTGTTCTGTGCACCCCTCCTTTACTAAAGGAGTCCCAGGTGACTTCTGATGAACTGCCAGATTCTCCTTGCATTTGTCTTGTCTTCCATGTGCTGAAGAATCAAAGGGTGACTTTGAATTTAGACCAGACCCCAACGCCCCTCCCCCCCCCCCACCGCTACCACATATTACTTACCGTGGTAACCATACAGTAATTTTCTTTGTACGCTCCACAGCATCCTAAAAATCCAACAATGGCAACAATCACGCCAATTATGATGAGAAAAACTGGTCCAGTTGTCAGACTGCTACTGGATATTTCAACAAAGTCGCCATATTTTGCCTTGATGACTGCACCAACCACAATCAGAGCGAGGCCCGAGAGCTGAAAAAAAAAAATTCATTGACATACTGTAAAATTCTAAAATCTGACCCACAAAAATGCTGCCAGTAACAGTGTAATTTCCATGACATACCCTTTATTTAAATGATTAATTACTATTGATACCTCTTGATAAATTATTTTATTATTCATTCAAAATATTTCCCCAATTCTGGTTGGCTAACATGCACAATTCACCATAACCAGTTACTGATGCCCAAATTTGGAAGAATTTTGCCATTAATCAACCGGTGACGTCAAAAGTGCAGCTTCCTTGCAGGTTAATGCACCAAGAACTCCATAATTCTTCATATGATACGAAAGCCTACAGTCTCAACAGATAACACCCTCCTCAAAATCCATAATTCTTCATAAGGATACTCAGCCTCATTCATTAATTGTTTTTTTTTTATTTATTTATTTATTTATTTATTTTTTATTTTTTTTATTTTATAATCACACTTGGCATTCACTTACAATACAGCTACACGGTACTTACTTACAACAAGACTACAAAATTTACTTACGTTACAGCTTTACTACTTACGTAAGTAACCTTGAGGACAATCAACCACTATTCCCTTAGTGTCCCCAAATTAGCTTCAATTAGCTTATCACATTGACACCTAAATAAAGTTGTTATGTTATGTTAACTCACAACACAACAGGAATATTAAAGTTTGTCCAGGTTTCATGTAGAATAAACCCAAGACTACACAGCCAAAATTTGCCGTACTCTGGCGACAACACGGCATGAACGGTTTACTAATCAATTTCGGACTGGTGTTGGTTAGTTACAACAAACTTGTCTAAAACTTAACCGAATGTATCATTTCTTTGTTTTTTACTCACTTACATTCAGAAAACTCATATGACAACAAAGGCTATGGTGCTTAGTGCAGAAGTGAAAAAGAAAGAGAAAATAGGTGAAATGTATTTTCACCAGAACAAACACATTTTCTGTTGTGGAAGTACAATAATGATGGTATATAATAAGTATCCATGCCCACTCTATACAATGGGAGCCATAGTAACAGAAAAGATGCTTGGAAAACATTCTTAAGTTTATTCATTTATTTGAGTTTTTTTTTTTCTACAGGAAGTTTTAAAAGCATTTTATAAAAGAAAAACAAGAACATCTTTCATTCATATACGGCTGCTTCCTCAGAAATATCATATCCGTGGCAATATTGAATTTTTTTTAAGAAAGCAATGCAATGGATTTAGTTTGAATTTCAACAGATGTTTTTATGTAAATCAACATACAAATAAGGGTCAAGGAATTCCAAAATTAATAAACAGAACCAGTTGGAAACATACAAATATTGAGTGATTTTTAAAAAAAATCTCTCTCATGCTTTCTTGACTGAGCTAGAAATATGGCGGAATAAATTATCTTGTAATACCTTTAAATCAAACAAAGGGAAAGGAACAGTTATTTATTATGCTCACTGAACCTGGAAAAACATAAAAGAAGCAAAATATACACAAAAGCAAGCAGTATACGCTTCAACGAACACGAATATATGTGACTTCGATTGAGTAAGCTATTGGCGGTCTTGTGTAGACGATAAATATCCCCTAGTACGTGCAACAAGAACAGTACATCAATAATTTATTGATCCCTGTTTGAGGATTCTGTAAAGTTTGATTTGGCAAATTAGTTGGGTTGTGAAAGTTAAACGAATTCACTTAAGCGACTGAACCTTGAAAAGTAGGCGCGTCAAAAACGCTAAGGTAAATCCTATTTCATTCGAAATTTGTTCGTCACCTAGGTTTACTTAAACGGTGACACATTTTCGATCACGACCAGTATACTCGTAACTCTTCCGAAATAGACTGGTGCGGTTTTCAAATGTTCCGTACATGTTTCGAAGATATCGAGATTGGTTTGGTTCGGAGAGGAGCAAAATTTGTTTGTGAGAAAACATTGAACTTGTCAGCCAGATACATATATACACTTTCACTTCCACTTTCAATTCTGAGATAAGCACGCAACCTCGACTTACAGAGGCGCCATGCATAAGGCGTATTATGCATGAGCTTCACAGCTTCCAGAAATGTACAACACTCGTTAGTTTCAAGAAGAGGTCACGTAAAGAGAAATATACTTACCCAGAAAATGAAATTAAAGAAGAATAAGAGATATTTGATAAGAACCATTCCACCAGATGCCATCTTGACTTTTTCCTTTGCTTCAGACGACCAAAGTTTAGAGACGTAGAACTTTACAACTTGCGAAATGCAAATGCACAACCCTAGCTCAAAAAGTACGAATATATTACAGCTTGAGCCCATCTTGGCATATTACGTCATTCCCTCCTGATGTGATTGGCTCTTTGAAGATCCCGTGACGGTACGTGAGACACTCAGCGACGAAAAAACATTTTGAGTAATTTTTCAACAAATGTTAACTTGAGGTTACTTAGCGGCGGAGTAAATAGACACAAGTTCTAAAAATTCCTGTTGTGCAGGAAAAATTGCGTTGCTGTATTCGTTCAAATAATTTCGTATGCAATTGTCTATACAGAGGTGATAGCTTGGAGATAATAATTATATCGCTTTAAGAGCTTGAACTTTATAAAAACGTGCACTTTGACACGGTGCTTTTGAACGAGTTTCAACTTTCGAAAATATTGGTATTTTCTACTATTACTTTCATTTTTTGGAGGTGACGCTCATATGGTATGCATGACTGACGAGCAGAATAACTAGAACAATTAAAAATTTCTGCTTTCCCTTTTAAAGGATTAATAAGCTGTAAAATCAGAGCAAATTATTTCATATTTTTTTCAGATAGGTGGCTTATAATTTTCAAAGTGATATTTAACAAATCTGCAGTGGTTAGTTACAGAAAAGCACAAGAACGCAACGCGTCAAAAAGTTTGGAATGTTTTGAGCATTAGCTAATTAGTTTTCTTGAAGAAGTACTTGGACAATGGGCCTGAATATTTTTATAAAGCTACTAATTCATATATTGTACTATTAAAACCATTATTTTCATTATTGCGTTCAAGAGTAATTAACAAATAGAGTATTGAAAGAAATAAGAAGGTAGTGAACTAGTTCATTTTTCTACGCAACGTCTTCCTGACCGAAGGGAGCGCTGCCCACACAAGACCCCCTACCCCTCCCCGACACATCTGAAATTTCTGCACACATTTCCTTTTTACAATACACGTCGTTCGTGACCTGATTTTTTTTTTTTTTTTACTTTCTAAGTGAAAACGAGGCATTACAACTTTACTACATTTGGCAAGCAGAGTTTTTTCCTAGCTTACAAGGCACCGATGCGTAAAAATGAATAGTTTCATTGGATGTACGCAAGGTCAAACGCGTGCGACCTGGCGACTCGAGTTTTATGAGAAACTCATACGAGTTTCTGGTTTACATGTAAGATGAGTGCTAATGAATTTGAAAAAGTATTGGATTTTCAAAATACCATCAGTCAATACACACGCCTGTAGTTCACAGAAGGATTTTATTTATTTATATTCTAATATTTCATCCAAAGTTATAAAAGAACCTTGTCACTTTGCGACAAGCCTTTCATGCACAGTTGGCTATGTACAAGTAGAAAATGTTCCCAATCGAAACGAACTTACTCAAGTTTGGCAACAAAGGAGATAAAGTTATACTTAGATAACGACCTTGCTTGAAGGGCAACAAATCGAAAATATAATTAGACATGATTAATTTATCATGTGAAGTTTTGCGTAGGAGGCTACGTGACATGGGGTCCCTCTTGGGTTGGGGTTCCTGTAAAAAGGACGTCACAAACTAATATAGTTCTTTCGAAAGCTTATCTATACAGTATAGTCAACTTAAAAATGTAGTTACTGGGAAAGGGAAGAAAAACATACGCAACAAATAAAACGCGAAAGAAATGAATAAACAGGTCAAAACATTTTGACACATTAGATGTTGGTCACTGGTTAAAAAAAAACACAGTTCAGTAAAACAGACTTTTATCACCTTCAAGAACCGTGAAAATACTTTTAAATGTTTCCTCCAGTGGTATCATGATATAATGAGAGATTTTCCAGATTAACAATGCTTGATTTCTTCTTACTTAGCAGAAGAAATCCAAGTCTAAACGCTGAAATTCTATTTTGCAGAAAGTTTTTGACTCAACATTCAAGAAACTACTTTAACACAGTAAACCACGATGCACAAATCGGCACGAGAATTATGATTGACTGAAATATTCATGAGAAACGCACAAAGAAAGCGTGTTTAGACGACATTGATACTTTTTAATATTTTTAAATAACTTAAGAATAACTTTAGATAACTTGCAAAATAAACTCCAAGTTATTCTTCCATATGCTGATATGAAATTTTCCATTGGCAATGTGTTAGAAGACAACACAATCCAAACTATATGACAAGGTGAAATTTGTTGAACACGAAGTTAGTCATTGTACAAACAAAATGAAAATAGTCCTAGCTTGTTTGTCCTTGCTTGTATTGGTCCTCCCTGTTCCTTTTTAATAACTGGTTTATGCAGTACTCATTTTCTTGACCAACTTCTGTTAATCTCAAATCCATGGCTCGTATTGTTGAGTTTTCCCCCATTCCTTCTTGTAGCGATTTTCCACCGTCCTAAGAACCACAGTCAAATGTCGAAAACACATTTAGGTTACAATGGGGAGCTAAAGCAAAGTCTTTTTGGATAATTATACGTTTCTGGGTAACTGACCACCTACCCATCCCCTAAATCAACATTTTGCCCTAAGTGAGAAGTAAGTGTTAATGTTGGTTTAGGGGAGGGGTAGGTGGTCAGTTACCCAGATACGTAAAAGGATCCGTCTTTTTGGAGCAACGCACCTCAACCGGTAGTGAAGTCTCTTTCCTATTACAGCCAACTCTCGCCTCGCGGACACCCCGCTATAATGGACACCCCGATAATACGGACACAAGCAGCTAAATCCCAGGCAAAAACAAATTACAGACGTTTGACTGAAATAAACCCTCGCTATTACGGACTCTCGCTAATGAGGACACCAACTCGAGGTCCCTACAGTGTCCGCAATAAATGGAGTTGACTGTAATATGCCTTGACTCTATCAAATTTGCATTATTGAGTTCCTTTCCTCCGGTTGACGTGCATCGATCAAAAACGTCTGTGGTAAGCTACCTCTAAAGTCGTGTGAACGACTCATGTCTGGTTTGGTTTTATCCCGGATTGCTGGGTGTTACAGCGCAAGAGCTTTTTTCCAGCGAATCAAATTGCGCGGAAGAATAAAACTCGACGAAAACTGCTCTGTCATAAGAGATGAGCGCCATACCACTTGTTGTTGGAAGCGCAGACGGGGCGATTTCAGCTTACACTAAATACAATTGTCACAAACTTTTCCTTTTTTCCTAACCACCTAACCCTACATGTAAGCTATTAAGCTATTGGCAGGCAGTGGCCCCTCTCCCCACCCTCCTCCCTAGGGAAAGCCCTAGGGACGAGATTACCCGTCTCCTCTGGGGGAAACAACTTCCCGAAGTGCTTCTGTGAGAGTAGAACTGTCATACAAATAGAATGCGAGCAGTAGAGTAGAAACAAGCAAACACTCACCGCTCCGATATTGTTGCAAGATAAGTTAAGATCCACTAACGTTTTGTTCGAGGCTAAAACCTTTCAGAAAACAAAAAAAATGAATCAGTCAGTCTGGGAAACTGCACTCGAAACCCAAGCACACGAGCCGGGATAAACGAGGGCGTAAGCGAGGGCGTAGCATCGTGGTTTACAATCGCGCTGGCTGAGATAAGAACCAAACGGATTTTAAAAGAAAAGGCAGACAGCACGCAGTCTATCATAGAAAAGGAGCACTTAAAATCCATTTCGAATAATTTTGTTTTTGCTATCCACGCAAAACCGACATTGTGATAAGGTTCTTGGAAATGTCACAGTCGAGGAAGAGTAAGTAAAATTAAATCTGAAAGTACAAGGCTTCACTTTCCTTGTTTTCAATGAAGTCTGCCGGAGAAACCGAGATCTTTCTGTTTCTCCAGAAAGGAAAATCACGTTTTACACTTTCTTGTACGCGGTTACGCACATTACTTCCAGCCGGGTAACAGGGACAAAAGATTTGGGCGCGCGAGGAACCATACCGTTCTCGCACGGTCGATTACTTCCCTCGCGAGGCCCCTCGCGATTGAACGTCTACTCATACCACGCAGGCCTAGTGTCCCTCGCAACCATTTTTAGTGCCGTGACGCAACGTTCATCCCCAGCATTGCGTGACGACACTAGAAATGGCTGTGAGTGATGAGAGGGAGACTAAAGCAGACCAGCGTGGTGTGAAAAACCATGGTTAGAAGCCTTAAAGGAACCTAGAAACTTTATAAATACCTGTGAAAGAATGGCCGCTGTTGGTTCACCGAGGTCATTACTCCCGAGATGAACGTGTGTTAGGGTGTTGTTCTTGAGAAGAGCACGGCAAATCACTTGACCCCCATCATCTCCGAGTCTGGCAACAGAAACCAGCAAAGGATAATTAGTATAACTCAGGAGCCCATAAACCGGAGCGAGTAACTCCCATACCAGGCCTATGTCACGGCGTTTTTACGGAGCAGTTTATTTTTAGATACATTTTAGGGCACTTTTTCCCGCGAAAATGGAATCTCCACCATGTCCTCTATGCACGCATTCGAAGTATAAGATATCAAAGAGGGAAACTCCCGGGGGGGGACTCTGCATATGAAAGGGGTGGGGATGCTCGTCGTCTCGCTTAGGGGTGTAAATTTCGGATTTTGGTCTCGCTTAGGGTGCTCTTGGCAAAACACGATTATATTTAGCCGTAAAGGTATCTTTTAGGGTTGCACTCGAAGAAATATTAAAAAGTTATATATTTTCAGTTCTTTTTATGTACTCGATTCATGAAATCAAAGTTTAACATAATCGCTTTTAGAGGTCATAAAAGGTTAGGCCATGCCCAGATTGGTCTCCTTTAGGGATTTAATTCAAAATTTCCGACGAGCATCCCCACCCCTTTCATATGCGGAGTCCCTCCCCGGGGGGGGAACTAAACGTTATTAAAAGGCAAAAAATATCACTTTAGGTCTGCACGTTTTGCTGACTGAATTGTGGAATTCAAAAGATATTCAAACTTGGCGCCAAAACCGTTCTTAAAATAAACTGGTCCGTGAAAACGCCGTGACACGAGTGCATTGAAGTTGCTCGCGCCGGGTTATGGGCTCCTGCATAAATTTTATTATACAAAATACGTCGAAGGACCGTTCAAACGAATCGAACTGACCTTCCAACATGTTGAGTCGAACAAATTAACGTCAGGATTCGAATCCAGGCAAGCCTGAATTTTTTCAGGCTTTCTTTCCCAATCTAACGGCAACTGCATAAGTTGCATATTTAACTGCCATGATCGTCTCTTCATTCAAATTTAGATGATGCTGGGCAGTGTTGGATGGGGTGTTTAAAGGAGCTGCCTTAGGAAATTAAACCAAATTCAGCCACAGGGAACTACAATCTTAGACAAAAATGTTAAGAAAAATGGACGTTGCATGTCGGCAGGATTATTTCTGACCCCTACTGAGCAACATTTACCAGGGTGGGTCGGGGGGGACAGACATAGTGGAACCAAATCCGCGGGATAGGCGTTCTGTGGCTAAGAAAAAGCAAAACTCTTGACACTTTTTGTCCAAGATTGTAGGCGCTAAATTAAGAAAAACACAATAATAACTGCTTAAACATTGAAGGAAGGAACACCTTGTTGGTAACCGTACTGGACAAAAACTAGCAGTAACACAAGAGAGACTTTTAGAGTCGAGGACGAGAACGACTTGACGACAAGATTTGACTGAAAGTCTTTTTCCTTGTAATCTCAAAAAGGAGACACCCCGGAAAACTTCAATGTTCTTTTGATTCACCAGAAAAGTTAGTACTGTTATCTTTATTGAAGGAGGTTAAGCCCTTTCACGAACGCAAACTGATGAAACTCCTATCATTTGATAACTCGTTTCCGCCAGTAAGACATTCTCAATAAAACTCGTAGTAGAATGACGACGGCTATCTCGTTTTCCCGCCAAAATTACGCTGGTTCACGCACGCACACTACTTTGTAGTGAGAAAATTTCGTTCTCGTAGTCGTCCTCTTCTTAGAATCTAAAGCTCTCTATTTAGGACCAACCGCGACGACAACCTTCAAATTTTGCACCTCTCACCTGTTTAGCCTGAGGTTAATACTTGTAAGTGTTGTGTTTTTGCCCAGGGCGTGTCCTATGGCGGCAGCACCGGCTGATCGGATCTTATTATCGCAGAGGTTTAGAGTAGTTAAGTTACATCGACCATTCAATAGTTTGCCTACAGCTCTCGCTCCACTGTCGCTGATCTTATTGTGTGAAAGATCTGAAAAGCGAAGTAATGAACTTCGGTTAAAACTAAACGAAGGGTCTTTAATAGGTTTTTCAGAATCCAGAGTTTGTGTTATTTGAAGGCCGGGATTCGGGATTTAAAGCAAAACTAGCCCCACATCGCTTGACCTCGAGCATCTCCGAGTCTGGCAAAAAACTCCTTCATCCCGTCCCGAATCTCACCCTCGCTTTTGCTTTAGCCTGCATAGCAAGTGTTCGAAGGGGAAGGGGAAGGGTATTTTAGGCATGAGAGAAGCGCGAGGGGCGCTCCCTCACGCGTGCGCGGTCGCTCCCTTTCGAACGCCTCCCGTGCCAATGCTCTTATTTAATGTTGTCGATATGAAAAAATAAAAAAACATTGTAGTGTATAGTGTATACATCCTTGCCCGGTTTTACACCTAAATTTCATACTACTGAGTAAAAAGGAAAACGACTCAGACGTTTGTTAGCGGTGGATATAAACGATTACCCACCTAACGTAAGAAGAGAAGGGTGGTCCAACAGGTTACTAATAAGAACCCGAACTTTTTCGTCATCTACTCCACTACGATGAAGGTGGAAAACTTTTAAAGTATGACAAGCTTTCACAGCCTAAAAAAACGAGACAATAGGATAGAGGAGGATAAGATACACTGAAATGCTCGAACCTACTTATTAGGTATAGTTTTATTAAAAAGGTGTATTTTACCAAGACTTACAGAGAAGGTTACCGCTCTCGCTCCAGCTTCGCGACAATCTTGCGTGGAAACAGATGCAGGAAGACAGGCTAGCCTTTCTCATTTTCCCGCGCTTGGCAGGCGCGCCCGCTTCACGTTTTCTCCGAGTTCTGATTGGTGCATATTATCTGCGCGTGTTGTGATTGGCCATGCAGAAAAGCACGCCCTTTTTTCAACCAATCGGAGGTAAAGAAGGTGTGTTTTATCAAGACTTACACAGAAGATTACCCTGGGTGCTAGGGACGTTTCATGTGCAGTTTCCTGTTTTGGTCAGTTTACAGTGACCTCCTTGACCCAAGGTAAAGGGGATCTACAATAGCCATCAAGTTTTGTCAGACGAAAACTGAGGGTATTTCATGCCACAGCTTATCAAACAACTTATCTAACTTTTCCCCGTGTATACTTCTTTTCTACTTCTCTAATGTTGGGATTCACGTTTTTTGCAAATGGGTAATACGTGAATCAACATTCGGGTGGGTGCTTCGTGACAAAAGTAACTATTTTTCGACAAATGTGATGACCTTCTTCTGACTAATTGGAAAAGTGGTGCGATTTTCTCCCTGGCCAATCACAATATGCACAGACAGTCAAACGAGTCAATCAGGACTCAATGAAAATTCAGGTACCTGGCACCAAGCGCCTGAAAACACGTGTCAACAAATTACCATTGGCTTTGGTTTTACCTCTGATTGGTTGAAAAAGAGGCGCGATCTTTTGGACCTTTTGCCTAGCCAATGACAACACGCGCAGACAGTCATATACACCAATAACAACTCGGAGAAAACATATGAAGTGGGCGTGTCTGCCAAATGTGGGATAATGCACATGGCTAAACTGCCTTTTGCAAGGGTATCCATGCGAGTTTGTAGCAAAAGTTGGGGCGAGAGCATCACAGCCTAGCGTGTGGGCAAGTCACCTTTTGCTTGACTGTAATTTCTGATTGGTTGACAAAGTAGCTCAAGATTTGTTTAAGACTTAGACATCCCAAACCGCAGCGAAAAAAATTTCTTTGAACATTCAGCTCATAAATGCTCCAGACAGTCCAACCTTATTTTCCCTTGCAGAAACTCAATAAAAAAGGCATCGGTTTTTTTAAGGGGAGGAGATTTGAAAAGCAGGTTTAAGCACCAAACATTTCTGTGTCTACAGTAAAAGGTAAGGGCATTTTGTGGACCACATCAATTCTAGATGCAGTACCTTGGCAAGCAGAAGACAATCTCTTGCTGTAAACTGAAACAAGTTCCACTCAAAATTCATGCCACAACCACGAACCCTGTCAGAGAAATAACACAGTAAATGAGTTGCATCCAGGACTCATATTATAAGTAAGTGGAATATGATTGTCCAGGGGCATGTACTCCTGAATAGCACTGCTGTTGACATTGACTGACATTTCGAAAACCTCTGCAGTAGCCATCTTCAGAGTCAAAGTGAGTTTATCACGTCAGTTGATGATACTAAACCCTGGTTATTGGCCTGACTGGTCAATTAAGTCGCAATGTTGTTGGCTGTGTTTCTGTCAAAGCCAGTATTTCAGACAAATCCCTAAATTTGACTATGAAAAACAGATGGGGCAAAGTAAAGGAACAACTGAAGTGGTTTTGTCCGAAGAAGAATTTTTGTCCGCTGAATAGGACTGCGGTTGATGGTGACTAGTGTTGCAACAATCTTAGTGGTAGTCATCTTCAGAGTCATAATGAGTTTTTCTTGTCAAATGGTTATCGCCCTAATTGGCCAATTAAGTCACAATGTTATTGTCTGTCAGTCAAAGCCAATATTCCAAACAAATCCCATAGTTCCACTTCACAAAAGAGACGGTACCAAGTGAAGTAGTCTGTGAACAAACGTCTCTTGTTCCCTTTGTTGCACGAAGAAAATAGAAAAAGTCCGCACGTAGGCTACATGTGAAGGAACTGCTGAAGTGGTAACTTCCCATGAAGACATTCTTAGGGGTTCAGCATGCATAAGTGGTTTCATTTAAATGGTAACACCAAGAATTTTGGCTACTTTGAAGTTTTTTCAAGGTAATACAATGATGATGAACACTTACCCAAAAGTCAAGTGTAGTTCTTCTAGATGTACTAGCCCTGGGGTTATAAGACCAAAATCAAAGTGATCAATGTTTGGACCATCTTGACCTGCATCACTGCCACTAAAAATTGAAGAAAAAAGTAGAAGTGAAACTTATTGTGTGAATAATGCATTATTGCAGCTATAGTGAATGAGAGGAATATTCCATTCCTGAGAAAAAAAGAATTGTCAAACAACAGAAGTCTTAAATATTGCAGCCCCTATAGTCAGAGCCTGTGTAGCAAGCGTTTCCAATCGAGTCTTGCACGAAAGTTGGAGTGGGAGCCAAAAAAAAAATTGTAATTTACTCCAAAAAATATGAGTCTTCATGAATATAGTTCCATTCATATCGAAGAACTCAGCTGACAAAAATGCACAGGGCAAACAAGTTGCGAGATCTTCAAAATATTTCAATATTTCTTTACTTTGCTGGTAAGCACACTCAGGGCTGTGCTCTAGCAGAGCCCAGTGGCCCTTGGCGCCTAACTTTTGCCCTCGGGTGACTAGAAAATCTCAGATTTTTCACACAAATCACATGCTGGGCACCCTAGATTTTACAGTTTCAGAGCACTGGGCTCCCTTCAATTTTTCTTAGAGCACAGCCTTGTCATTGTTCTCTCCCAGTTGAGCCTTCCTCTTGATTCTTCAGCACACAGGAGAGCAAAAAATTAGCAACACCTTAAAGTACCGCATTCAAAATTCACTGTGGCTTAACTGCACCTTTCTCTATAATAAAATGATCCCTATTGTACTTACGCATCAGAGGCATCATCATCTTTGATTAAGGCTTCTTTAACAGGTGGTAGAAGCTGTCTGATGTTCAGGCCTCTCACGTATGGGGCTGACAGCTTGAGCGTCTCATTTAACTGTCCACAGAATAAAAGAGGTTCATAATAACATAACAGAATATATTTTTTTAAGATTACATCAAGTTAACTATGGTACATGTATTACTATAAGTGACCCAGTTTTAGGAAATAAGTTTCTTTAAAATGAAAAATAGAGGAAACCATCCACTACACAATAGCCACCAAATACTTTTCCAGGTCAGAGCTCCTGTTTGGCTATATTATTACAACTTACCAAAGTTGGATCTGTGGTTTCTGGAACAAAGTTCTCAATAATACCTGCAGGTCAAATAGAGAGGTTATGTGAATGTCAATAAACATATTACCATGGCCTTTCATTTTGGTTTCATCACAAATTGCCCTGCAAGGGCTAAAATGCATAGCCTGGGTAAGAATATTAGGGACAGTGATTTCAAAATTTTGTTGATGTAGCACACATTTAATTGAAACATAATATTGTGATATCTTGATTGAATATTGACGATCATATTTTGGGAAGAAATATCGTGGATCATCAACGCATCACGCTATCATTGCAGGCCTAGTAAGATATGGGGTTTAAGTGGGGCAAAAGTAGAGAAGTCTTTAATACAAACCCTCCAGATTCCTCTCAAAGTACATTCTTTTCCAGCTAATCCCATGTTGATTTATGTCGCATACTTCCCATCTTGCCTTACAGCATCTTTTCCAGTAACCCTCATCTGATACGAGATTAGCTGTAACTCTGTCAGGTTATGTAATAAAAAATTTAAATATCATGATTATAGAATTTTCAAAGCAATGTTGCTCAGAATGAGAGTTCGCTAATATAGCATCATACCAGATGAAAAATATGAAGTCTACATCATGAGTGTGTGGAACAACTTAATGAGACATTTTTTATTATACAAAAGAAAGAGAAAACTTGTTATTTATGCATTGATTAGTTCAGGGTTTGTGCACTTTTTCAGGTAAAAAAAGAGAGAGAGATTGAATTATGAAAACACAAGCAGGTGTCCATCTCCATGCAGCCAGCATGGAGATGCACAGTGCACTGGTAACAAGAGAGTACAGGAAACCAATAAACAATTATAACTATTCTGCGTGTTTTGAAAGCTTTTTATTTTCTCTGCACTTGCAGTTTCTACCTTTTTAAGTGTTGATAATTTTGAGATGTTCATCAGTAAAAAAATCAGTGACTCTCAAGAACCCATTCCCAATTTCAAGTACTTTCAAGGCTTCCTGAAATTCAAGGATTTTTAAGGGATTTTAAGATGCATACAAGCCTTAAAGTTAAAATCTTTTGGTTTCAGAAAATAATCAATGAGATCCACAATGTATCTTACGACTACTACATGTACTTACTTCATTGCAATTTCTGTAGAAAGAGCATCAAGCACTTTGGACTTGTGCTTTGGGAGGAGTTCATCAAGAATTGGATTATCTACAAAAAAATGTCATACTCTCCAGTGAGACAATGCTAAGACCCACTTGTATCACTGTAGTGAAGTCTGATGTATTTTTTATAATCCAAATCAAAGTGGCAGTGAATTCAATCTCACCTTCAAAGTTTCCAACGATGTGCTTTACACAGAGTTCTGTTAGCAGTGGAACTGTGGCAAGACTCCTGTGAAGAGGAAGTTATACAAAGGTGTCAGGCCTTTTTACAACAAAGTCTTGAAATAAATGAGGTGACTCGTGCTGTTGCTAAAAAAAATTATCTCAGTGACTATAGTCAAGATAATGATGATGAGGGTGACAGTTGTCATGACAACATCGGTGGTGTACTACTAGTAAACAACAATGCCATGATGATGATGTTGATGATGATCCAGGCTGTTATTAAAATTTCAAGTTGATGGGCTAATGATACAAGCAGGTGGGAAATCCAGTAGCTAGGGATTTTGTTTGGTTCTATTTTTCTTCTATTTTCCTACAAAAGTAGGCAGGGGTCACTTTCATAATAGCCAGTGAAAATTCCCGGCCCTGTGTTTATGATGACAATGATGATGGTGATAACAATGTCGACGATAAAAAAGTGACTGTTTACAGCTGCGACAACGATAGTAGTATTGTAAGGTCATGATAGCGTCAAGATAAAAATGATAATTGGGTGATACTACTGATGACAACAATGCTGACCATATTGTCACAAAGTTTCTCACAATAGTGATGACGACAGGTGATGCTGGTGATGACGACAATGCTGACCATGTTGTCACAAAGTTTCTCATGATAGTGATGACGACAGGTGATGCTGGTGATGACAACAATTTTGACCATGTTGTCACAAAGTTTCTCACAACAGTGGTGATGATGGGTGATGCTGGTGATGACGACAATGCTGACCATGTTGTCACAAAGTTTCTCATGATAGTGATGACGACAGGTGATGCTGGTGATGACAACAATTTTGACCATGTTGTCACAAAGTTTCTCACAACAGTGGTGATGATGGGTGATGCTGGTGATGACGACAATGCTGACCATGTTGGCACAAAGTTTCTCACGACAATGCTGACCATGTTGGCACAAAGTTTCTCATGATAGTGGTGACAATGGGTGATGCTGGTGATGATGACAATGCTGACCACAATGTCACAAAGTTTCTCACAATAGTTATGGCACTAAAGAGCCAATAAAGTACACAACCAGGCTAGCTGGATTTGTTTCACATGCATGTGATACCACCTAAAGTTTGTTTGATTAAGACATCAATATTATTATAAAGATGCAAGCAAGTAACTTACCAGTCTGGATCCTCTGCGATGATCCTTCTCATAAGTCGAGGATCGGCAGCTGGGTTATCCTTAGTTGCAAACACCTGAGAGTGAGGATCAAAAAATACCAGTAAGCATGTTGTCCTGAACAAAAGGACAGTCTACCGTGCCTTGTCTTGGAAAATTCTCATACTTTCTTTTGGGAGGTGAAAGTGACTGTAGGGGGTGGGGTGGAGAAATGCTCTTGAAATGCAAAGACTTGAATGTTAGCCACTTTGAGGTCGCACGGGAGACCGGGTCGAGATGGTTTCAAAGTGCATTGTGGGACTGTTTTGGGGGACAAATTTTCCACATGGCAGCAAATTTGTCCCTCAAAACAGTCCCACAATGCACTTTGACAACCATCTCGACCCAGTCTCCCGAGCAACCTTTAAGTGGCTAATAAGTTTAAGGGAGTTCTGTGAACCTGGAAAGCATGGAGGGGGGGAATGAAGGAGTTATGTGGACTTAGTTGTAGGAAGTGATGAAGGGGGTTAGTGCAGAATAATCTGATTACCAGCTGTTCCAAAACACAGACTAAGTCAACTCTCTGAAGGGACGTTCCATTTTTTCAAATAGGAGGGTTCGGATTTTTTCTTCAAAGAAGCAGAATAAATTTGACCCTTCGAACAAATTTTTCAAAGGTGCTGCCACAAGAATGAACCCTTAGGATTTCTTTTTTGAAAGAGCTCCAACAAAAATTTGAGGGTTCAGATTCTAGTCATTATTGGGAGGGGGGTGCAGATAACAAATGGTACGTCCCCAAGGACCTGCTTGGGTAAAACATAGCCTTGAAACAGAGACATATAGAGACAGACATAAAGGTGTCATTGACCCTAGTAAAATACTGGGGCAATGACTTCCTCCTCCATGCATATTATGTGAAATCAGGGGTTTTGAAATTCACACACTAAAGACGTATGGCTTCCTGACAAATAGAGAAATTAAATGTCTTGTTTGAATTTAAGTCACACTCAGTTATTTCAAAGAGACTTGCAAGATTTCAGCAAGTTATGAGCAAGCTTGTAAGTCGGAGTTTCAGCTGATAACGATGTTTTCTTCTCCAGCCTGGAAAACCTAGTTTAAGAAGACAGAAAGACGTTAAAACATTCTTTAAGTGATTCCACATTACCGGAGAAGCAATTTTCCTTCCAGCAACCTCCATGATTTTAATTTTTCCTCCAGAACTGCCTCCAAAAAGTTGTTGCTATGGATGTCGCAGCGGGAAGGAGAAGCGAGAAAACTGGAGTCTAGTCGTCACGAGCCAGCAGTACGTCAACGGTTTACCAAAAAGAACATGCGCAAATGTAAGGCTTGTCTGGGCCCAGTCTTTTGGCTGCATTTGACGAAGCACGGAGAAAGATGTTTTGAAAAATTTCTGTTTCAAAGTCCTTTCTATTTCCGAACACCCACGTACACGGGTATTTCATGTGCTTTCCCTTGCCAAAGGAGTCACCGGATCGAAATATAATGATCTTTATTTAGAGAGATCGGTTCAGTGTGTGACTTGTTATTTTTAAGATTGCTCAATATGGGCCGGACGTTCTCCAATGAATGATGCAAAAAAGGTGGGTAAGGCGTATAAAGCTTAATTTCACTTGATTTAATTTTGTTGACCTTCTTCTTCAGCATCTTTTCCTTAAATGTTATTTGCTTAGATAGGTCTTAAGCCAGATGTTTTGTTAAAATCTCTAAAAAAGACAGAAGACCTAGCCATGGGAGACTACAGAAGTACATGTACTTTTGCATTGTCACTGACATGACAGAGCTTAATCTTGATCTTGAGGGCAAGCCGATCAAAGAGCAATAATATATAACTTAAACTTATTTCTGCTCATACCTAACTATGTTGATATTGTGACTGTATAACAATGAAAGAGCTAATATCAATATTGTATTTACACAAATAAGCTCAAGTTTACAGAGCCTTTACAACAAAGGTAAATAATTTGACACTCAACACTGTCAATGTGTCTCTCCTGCGAAATGTCCTTAGCAGCGAGGAATGACAGCTGAAATTTTGTGTGACGCACAAAAAAAACATAAATCTCATCAGGAACATCACCAAGTTAAAAAGACCTGCTTTTACTCTTAGTCCACATTATGGAGTGATGATCTGTCACTCTAACTCTTAAATCTGTGGACGAAATCCTGTGGTGTTACCATTCAAATAAAACGTCTCTGGCAGATCTTTTTTATAGTGCTTTTTATTTCTTAGCATTTTACAAAAAGAAATTTAATTTTTTTCTGTGATATTCTATTTGGCCACCATTAGGGTAGCCTCCCCGCAGACGTCCTTTGGGGTTCGTTTGTCACGCATTCATTTCTCCCCCACGGACGTCTGCTAAACAGAGCCGACTTTTACGTTCTGGATTGTTTGAATAAGCCAATAAGCGGTTAGCTATTGTATCACGATCAGCCAATCACGCGCCGTGATATAAGTGATGTCTCTGGTATTCTCAAGTGAATTATTTATTTGCACGGCTATCTTCTACATGAGACGACTCAAACGTTTTGAAGAAATCACAGAAACGATGCAATAAAGCTGCAGTCAGCTGTATATTTTTTTCGGAAGTTGTGACTATAAAATAATCTGCTTTTCTTTGAAAGACTTCAGACAACAGTCTCCCACACGAGCGCGGAGCGGTTTTCAGCGCGGTCGAAAACAATAATTACTATTAACTCTGTATATATTCGAAGTATTAAGAAAAGAGAACTTGTAAACGTGAATAGGGAAGATATTCAAAACATTCTTCGAAAACAAAGGCCGTTTTCTTTTTTGCGAAATGTAATTCCACCAAGGTCATGGGTCATGAACCAAGGACCAGTACGCATAAAATTTGGTTATATTTTTTCAAGGGTCGGTAAAACAAAAAATTCTAAGTCTACAGCAATGTGCTTCCAACGGCAGAAAAACGTTTATCTGAAAACTTGTTCTGCAAAAAGGCACGTCCTCCCATTGCGTTTTATTTATTCACAAGCTAAGTAAACATGACCACGGTGCCGCCGAGTCCAAACTTCAAGCTAGAACGACAAATTAACCTACCTGTCAACAAACTTTAATCTCGCTCCTTCAAAGAAAGAAAGAATGCTTATAATCAATAAATCATTGAACCTTTCATTGTTCATTGTATTTTATTTCTAATTTAAATATTTAATCATGCTCGGGAAAGTCACTGACCAAGGACCACATACTAACTGTACAAGTCACTCGCTAACATTTCCTCCACCGATCGATCTTCAACCAAGCTTCTGGGCTTCCGTAAACAACAGAGAAAGTCCCTCTATCGACAACCCTCATATTCTCTTTGCTAATATCACTGAGCGTTACAGCAGGAATACCAATATTTTCCAGCTTTGTAGATTGGTCTTTCAAGATTTACCAGGGGAGAAACAACATCAACAGTAATGTCCAGTAGTTCCACGCAATATGTCGCAAACAAGCAGCAAAGCTTGAGAGATAAGGGATTTGCCAAATCCCGTCGGCAAATTTATGAACTCATCGGTCTTCGCTATAAAATTTGCAGGATAGCTTCTCTCTGATACTTGTTTAACTCTGTATTAATTACAAATTTCTCGCACACTCGATCAAAAGCCTCACTGATCATGTGAATCTTAAGAAGCGGCTCGGGTTACGTTTTACAAAAATCTGTAAACGGCCTGTGATTGGTGAACGTAAAAGTCGGCTCTGTTTAGCAGACGTCCGTGGGGGAGAAATGAATGCGTGACAAACGAACCCCAAAGGACGTCTGCGGGGAGGCTACCATTAGGGGTGAAAGAGTAATTCAACAAAATAATGGCAAACGGTGTAAAACGTGCAATTTGGTATAGGCCTTATCTCAGTTTGGAAGCCATCTTGACAGGTAGACAACTGCATGCGAAATTACAGTGTTTGTATGGGAATCTAATGTTGAATCATTTTTCGGAAGATGGCTGTTCTGAAAAAAAAACTGGGAATTGTAATCTTAAGCTTCACAGCAAAGGATTGTAGAGCTGTAGAAACAAAGTTTTGGGGCCGTACCTGTGCTTAATTTCTCTGGTCATTTGCTTTAGATTTTCGATACACTAGTCTGCAATTTTTCACGGGAAATTTTAGTCGACAGGAAGAAAACTTTAAATGCAGAAATGTACAGAAAAGGGGTTTTAGTACACGTAAGGCCCTCAAATTTTGTCAATAGAATCCCTTTATGTGTAGCTTCGGTTTACAATTCATATTTTCCTTTTCAACACAGCCATTTTACAAAAATTATTGGATGTTAGATTCTCATACAAACACCGTATTTCACACAGTTGTCTACCAAACACCGTATTTCACACAGTTGTCTGCCCTTAAAGATGGCTTCCAAAACCGTGATGAGGTATTAATTTTTCAGATTTACAGTGTTTTCATGGGTTTGCTTTATGTTTTAGGCTTTTCTATAATGGATTTGGAGATGAGCCTGGCTGTTTGGATTGACTAACAAATTCATCAACAATGGAAAATCACTTTGAATTTGAAGTGATAAACATAGCTCCCAAAAAGATACCTGTTACAGAGGAAAATGGAGTTGTGACCGTGGATCTGACAATGTATGATCCTCTAACTCCAAATGACTTTCCTGCATTTTCAAGCGTCTCTGGACTTCAGGATCTAAGAATGTTTTCAAACTACCTCAAGGAGATTCCTGATGCTGATGAATTTTGTTCCGTGGAACAGCTGAAGATGCTTTTTATGAGTTGTAGTCCCATTAAACCAGATAATGGGCTTTTGCGACTACCAAGTCAGTTCAGCAGGTTTTGGAATTTAGAAGAATTGCATCTGGATGGAAATCATTTTGAGGCATTCCCTATGCCCATATGCCAACTTAGTAATGTAAGGAAACTTTACATGGATAACTGCACCTTGGAAAAGATTCCACAAGAAATTAGGAATATGTCAAGTCTCGAAGTTGTTGATTTTAGCTTCAACAGCCTTGGTGCATCTGATAGTCTACCTAACGAGATTTTTGATTTGCCAAACTTGAAGGACTTATATATGATAGACTGCCAGTTGAATGCATTGCCGGCCGAAATAGGAAATTTGAAAAGCTTGGAAGGTTTACGAATAGGAAAGAACAATTTATCAAGCCTCCCAGATGAGTTGTATGATCTGACAAATTTACGAAAGCTTAATGCAGAAAGGAACAATATTTCCGAGTTATCACCTAGGATTGGACAGCTCTGCTCTCTAACACTGTTGTTGATGATGGAAAACAAGCTGACCACTTTGCCAGACGAGATCAAACATTTAGAAAATTGCAGACACATCAATCTGTTTGATAACAAACTCACTTGTCTTCCACGCTCAATAATTGATATGCCTGCACTGGAATCATTGATTGTTGAGGGAAACAACAACCTTCGTTCTCCACCACTTGATGTTTGCAGTCGTGGTCTGGACAGCATCAAAGGGTATTTTGAATCACTAGCAACCATAGACACTCAGGCAGTGCATTCTCAGCGTCTCAAAGTAGTCTTGTTGGGTGAGGCTGGTGCTGGCAAGTCCAGTCTTGCTTATGCTCTAGTGGAATCCAAAGAACTTGCTTACCCAGATGATCAAGCATGCAGTACAGTGGGTGTTGATTTTTATACTTGGCGACCAGTTCTTGAAGGAGTGGAGTTTCATATTGTGGATTGTGCCGGACAACGACGATATCAATTGACTCATCCATTTTTCCTCTCTTCAGGTATTTAAAAGGCCTGGTTTCCATATGATTGGGGAACCCAATGACTTTTTTCCTGTAAAAGAACTGTTCAAAGAAGCACATATTGCCTAGAAATTTCTAAAACTCGAGAAAGGCTAAAAATGTCAGGAAAACCATTCTATTCGTCTAAGTTATTTGGAGTTTTCCTACTAAAACTTAACTACGATTTTTGGAGGTTGTGTTTTTCATATTTCATGACCAATATATTGCTATTATTGCTAAAAATTGGCCTCCTGAAAATTTTGGTATAAGACAAGCATCCCCTAGAATTTTTTAATGAAAGTACTGCTTCTCCATTTCCTCAAACTTTCACTGGGACCTATCAGGGTACATTGTAGCTAACAGTTTCAGATCAGATGAAAGAACCACCTCAAACTTTTGAGATGACCAAAGTTCCTCCAAGACTTCCGAATAGATAAATAGTTTTTAGGGCAGCTCCAAATTAACCAAACAGGCTCCTAAAGCATTGAGAAAACCTTTTGAGACAATTCTAAGGTATTTGGAAACGTTCAGTTGTCAGGTGCCCCTGATTTGACCGAAAAGTGAATGTCTCCACAAGTGTCCACACAGATAAAAGTTTGCCAAAATTATCATCAAAACACACCCACCACAAAAATTATCTTCTCAAGTAGAACACAATAAAAATTAAGACAGTCAAACTTCCATGTGCAACCTGATGGAAATTCTCCAGACTGATTTGCATACATTTCCTCAAAGAACTAATTAAAAGAATTTGGTAAAAGATCAAAGAATTTTCCCTTCGGTGATCATGTCTTTAATTCTCAAAAGCTTTTCTCTTGATTATGTATTGCTATCATTAGGAGAAATTTGTTGAACTTCAGGTTTAAATACTAATGCCCTTGTATATTTTCTGTAATCTTTTAGAGGCTTTGCACATCTTAGTTGTGGACTTATTCAACTATGAACCAAGTGAAAGCTGTTTCCGCAAAACTGTTGGTGACTGGCTTGATCTGGTAACATCTCTTATATTGAAACCACGAGTCATGATCGTGCCTACTCACCTAGACAGATTTGAACCCAATGATGCCAGCAGTGTAACAAACAAGTGCACTGATATCCTGAATCGTGTTGAGCACTACTGCAAAAGTCAGAAAGCTTTGATTGATCTTGAAATTACTGAAAAGAAGAAGAAACGGTTGAAAAATCCTGTCCAGGGAGGTACTGACCCGGAATGGAAGAAAAAGAACCCGCCAATCATTTCCTCTGTTCTTCATTCTAGTGACAATGTAAGCTATCACACTGTGGTCATAATGTTAAAGAGAACCTCCACTCTTACTACAGAATAAGTTTAAATTGATTAAAATTATGTTGATAAACAAATTTGTTCGAAATTTGTCCTTAAAAAAAGTGTTTATATCAGGAAAAGTGAATTTTAAAATCGCTTATTTTCACTTTCAAATTTCGCGGGCGCTGCCATCTTGAATAATTGTGACGTGTTACGGTTGCTCTATTGTTCTGACACAAAGAGCTTTTGTTTAATAACAATAGGGCAACCGTAACACTTCACAATTATTCAAGATGGCGACGCCCGCAAAATTTGAAAACAAAAATAGGCGAATCTAAAAGTTATTTCTTTCGGATACAAATGCTTTCTTTAAAAATATTTTAGATTGACTTGACTGTAACAGTTATTACCTGTGATTTAAAGTTATCTTTTTGTTGAAGTGGAGGTTCCCTTTAACATGTTAACTCCCATTAGTCTGTGTCACGGGTGTAATTCAACCCTTGTTAGTAATAGTGAACTTACACAACAGGATGGGAGAGGAAAGAAGATGGCAAACCTTGTGTAACAAGCGTGGCAATAATTTTGTTTGAAATAACCTTTCACCAAACTTCACTCTCCTTTAAACAGATCTTTTTGTAAAGACCAGAAAACATTAATGTAAGGTGAAGATCACAACAAAACACGCACATAATAGGCCTGTCGCATTTGTCATGCACAAGCATTTTGCCATCCTCTTCTTCCTGTTGTCCTGTTGCATGAACTCACTAATGTCCACATGGCAACGCCAAGATCGATATCCCTGTTCTGGACCCTCAACAGGCTCAACAAATTAGCAGAAGTGCATTTTGAATTCCCTCTCAACCAGGCAAATCAACAATGGCTTTTCTAACAGGCCAGTCATGCTGTATACTCAAACTGTGGTACACAGCTAGGACTCCAGAACAAGGATTTTGCTGCCGTTTCGCAGACGGACTTAACGAGAGTTTAGTTTCGTCTGTGACGTAGGATTACTCCCTTAAGCTTTACTCAAGGTGGTAAATACATGTGAAAGGTACTTCAGTGGGCTATTTCCCTAGAGGGTCCCGTTTCTCAAAATTCCAGGTAACCTTACAGGCGCAAGAGCAAATGTTCAAATCAAAATCTAAAGAAAAAGAGCTCTTAACAAACCAGTCCATTTTGTTTTGTTAACTGGTTGTTTAGTCATGTTGTATGCAAAACCATTGAAACCTCTATCTTGAAGGTAAACAACAACAGCTTTTTAGCTCTGTAAGTAATTAGGACTTTCAAGAAACCGGCCCCAGGATTATAGTAGTGTGAGCTTATGGAATTTGCATGTAGCATATTTTTTCTCTTCGCTCTGCATTTCGCCTTTCCTTTTGGGTGGTGATTCTTGTGATTGTGCTCTGGAAAATAAGGAACCATGCATATTCTAATACTACATAGAGGGTTTCATGGATACAATTTTATTCACAGATTGGAAAGTCAAAATACTGTTTTTATTTGCCCATTAACATGTCTTTCACTTTCAAGGGCAGGGGGGGTACTCGTCAAAATTTTCCAAGGGTAGGCTCTGCCCCGAGGTCCAACCCCTTACCCTCTTATATACAATTTTGGCCAAAAAGGTACCCCTTTCGTATACCTTCTATTAAGTTAAGAAATGGTACCCCTTCCAATGGCTGTAAACGCATTGTCTTTTAAAATGAATAAATCAAAAAAACAAAAACAAAAAACCTTTTCCTCAACTCTAGTTCACAGCCATAAAATGTATCTGTTAGCCCTTTTGGGCCTTTTTACAGATCCAAATGACAGATTTCCCTTGCCTTTGATATGCTTCAACTAGTGAAATCACTACCCTTTCAAATACCTAAAGCCTGGAAAAGGTACCCCTTTTGGGCGGAGTCTCACTGTATAGGCCATTGTAAGGAGTACATCCCCCCCGTTCCCCCCGGGCTTTCCCTCAAGTTGTCCAAATTATGGCCGCTGTCACCTTGGCATTTACAGTAGAACAATGACTTGCTTTTTTGATATCTATTTAAATGTTCTCAAAAGATAGCCAAGAAAAGTCTTAATGATGCTGACAGTTTCGATTTTCAAGTTTTGAAAGTCATCAAAACAGTCAGCATCAGTAAGACTTTTCTTGGCTATGTTTTGAGAACATTTAAATAGATATTAAGTTTACCAGCCTGATAAATTTCGTTAACAATTTGCTTTTTTGATGCAGGAGAGAGCATGCCCAGCATCAGACAATGAAAGCTTTATTGCCATGGTTCCAGTCAGCAACAAGAGTGATCTCACAGGAGTCAAAGCCTTACAAGACGAGATCATCCGTGCAGCAAATGACCGCCAGCTCTTCCCCTCTGTTGGCAGAGATCTACCAGAAGACTGGATCAAGCTTCAGAGGGCACTGAAGACGCACAGAGAAGAGAAACATGTCCGATGCATGTCCTATGAAGAGTTTGAAGCTTTTGCCAAAGGATGTACTAATCTCTCTTCAAGAGGTGTCAGCTCTGCTGTCTCTTACCTAGACTCCATTGGGGAATTACGATATTACAGCAACATTCCATCCATCTATAAAGTGTTTACTGATCTCCGATGGCTTGCAAAGTTGGTCAAGTGCCTTTTTCGTCATGATTTGGAGGCAAAGGTAGAACACAATGACAACTTTCTGAGATATGGAGTCCATGTTGCATATTTTAATGAACTCAAGGAGAAGCTACTAAAAGAGGCTGTGTTGTCAGAGGATCTTTTAAGGTAATTCTTTTTATCACAACTTATCCTGAAGGCAAGCAGCTCAGCTGGGGTTATGAATGACACTTAATTTCTGAAACAGTGAAATTCAAAACCTTTTGTAATGATAAAATTTATGTTTAGCAAAATTTAAAGCTTATTAAAAATCAGGCTCCTCAAGATTGATAAATTTCTCAACACAAATTGTCATCTCTAGCAATATTCTTGAACAGGACTGTGCTCTTGCAGTTCCCATTGCCCCTAGTGCCAATTTGCAATCTGGCTGATTTTTAGCAAGTAAAGATTTTTCATCTTGTTCTTTGTGGATGTGCCAACCAATCCCAGAATTTCACTAATTTGGTTTTGGTGACATCATCTCTTCTTTATACGGCATCCACCTGAGACAGATTTCATCAGACAGTAGTTTTATTATTAACTTTGATTGACAGGTGTCTGTGGGATGAAATCAACCTTGACGATCTTGATGACATGTTTCTTCAGATGATCGAGCTGCTCCATCATCTTGGTCTTGCCTGTCATATGCCCCAAGTTGAAGAGAAAGTGAGTCTCTTAGTTCCTTGGTTTTTGACTGAGTATCCAGATGCTGTTGACGCTATTCCAGAAACCATGCCTGAGGACCAGGTAAACTGTCTTTGTAAAGTTTGTATGCCTCTGTTTAGCTTCAGGTCTACCATACCAGCTGACAGCAGAGTTAACCTTTTAAGTCCCAATAGTGACCAACATCAATTTTCTCATAGTGATAGACATAGATTGTCAAGAGATTAGGTTTATGAGAATTTAACAAAATGATCGCCAAAGAGAAAATGCTTTGATTTTGTATCAAATTCTCTCAACTCATCCTATAAGGAAATATATAGAGATCAGTTTGGAGAATTTGTATGTGGATATTGGGACTTAAGGGTTAATGTAAGGGAAAGGGAAAAAATCGAGAAAGATCAAGATCTGAAGTGCGAGATAAAAGTGCATTAGCTATTACATGTTCATAAAATTTTGCTGCGCTTTGAATTTTCTACATGAGTTTTAAATTTTGTGAGCTTAAATTTAACAAGGATTTAAATTCGTGGGTCTTTAATTTCATGAATATTTTACTGTCGCAAAAAACACAAAATTAAAGATCCTCAAAGTTGAATACCAATAAGGCAGATGGGCCTTTAACCGGAGGGGTGGCTAATATGAGGGGGAGCTTATAAGCGACAGGTTACAGTGTGAGAAAAGTGGAGGTGATACTGGTTGTCATGGGAGCTTTTAATTAAGAGCAATTCCCAAAGGTCTGAAAAAAGAGGCTTCAGAATATTTTTATAAGGTTAAAAGACAAGGCCACAGTTGTTTAAAGTTGGATGGTGGTATCCACTGGAAAAATCACGATGCTAAAATTTGTTAATTTTTTTTAAAATTCAAATTACCTTTACCAACAGGAGGAGATAAACTTGCTTTTCATGATGGCCTACTTACCTCCAGGGTTGTTTGATCGATTGCGTGTGCGCTGTTGCTCCCTTGATTCCGAATACTACAACTGGAAGGATCATGTCTTGCTGTTTGTGGATGAACATAGAGTTATTATTCAGAAGCATAAATTCCCTCCTGGTGCTGAGGCTAGTTCGCCAGCCATTTATATCAAAGGCAGAGGACCAAAGTCCTGCTTGGAATCACTGTGGGAAGTACTCTTAAGGCTTGTTCAGGTAAATCCAGTACATTCTCAAATTCCTTAACACATTACAGCTGGATTTCACGAGTGACTGAGTCAGAGTCAGAACCATAAACCAGAACTGTAAACCAGAACAATCAGGTTGTTTCAATTTTCTTCTGTTTCCACTCATGACTCCATCGTTTATGATCAAACCAAAACCAGATTGTTGAAGTAGGGCAGAAGTGTAAGGATAAACCAATCACTAAAAAAGAGGCTTCAGAATATTTTTATAAGGTTAAAAGACAAGGCACACAGTTGTTTAAAGTTGGATGGTGGAACCAGAAGAATCAGATCGTTTCAATTTTCTTCTGTTTCCACTTATGACTCTATCATTTATGATGAAACGAAAACCAGATTGTCGGAGTAGGAAGCGGAAGCGGAAGGATAAACTAATCACAATGCCTGTTCCTACGCTTTGTGATTAGTTTAGTTCTTCCACTTCTGCTTGTGACTTGGACAATCCATTTTTCAGTTGATCATAAACAATGAAGTTGTAAACAGAATCAGAATACTGTTTTCTCTAGATCGTTAATTCCTATGCTTCTGATTACAATTCCGACTCTGTCACTAGCGAAAACCAGCCTTTAGAGTGACTTAAATTACATTAGACCATGTTATTAAAGGGTTGGTCATGTGGCTAGGTTCCATTGGAGTTAAGAGAAAAGGTTATCAGGAATTAATGAAATGATCGCAGGAGGAAATTGCCTTGATCTTTTGTCAAATTCTGTCGACTAATTCTTTAAGGAATTGCTGGAGAATTTTTATGTGGATATTGGAGCTTACAGGCAAGCATACCCCACAAGATTCCATTACTGAATTTATTGTTTGAAAGATGTCATAGATTTCAGGTTCATCTCTGCATTCCTGCATGTGTAATGAGCAGTGAATTCGCATGCGAGGTAGTTATGAAATTTCTATCAGCTCAGTTTTCGTGATTTTGATGTAATTGTCGTAAAAGCAATTTCGTCCATAATATCAAAGATATTTGAAACTGACCGAATACAGAAAAGTTATCGCAAAAAATTCACCACTCGTTACATATGCAAGAATGCTGATTTGAATCTGATACTGGTTGAGGCAACAACTAACATAAATTTATTCATGGAATCTTGGGGGTGGAGGGGATATGCTTGACCTGGCTTTACTGTAAAGGGGAAAACAATGTTTCAATGTCATGACATCCTGTACTTATTTTTTCCCACCATACTAGGAGACAGATGCTCTGCTTATAGAATGGCAAAGACTAAGTGTGCAGCGTTGTTCATTATGTCCACCTTGTGCAAAGAAAGGAAAGTCAAAGCCATGTCTTTTCCCTTGCAACTGGATGAGTTCAGCTTCAACGAAGAAGAAGTTTGGATCTCACGTAAAGATATGCAAAGGGAACAAATTTCTCAAGGGAGACAAGTTTGATGCCAGTCTTATTTACCCTCCTGCTGGTGAGTGACAGTTTGAAAGTTTGCATTTGATGAACTCCCTAATTCACCGATCAGTCAAGACATGGTTCGTTACTTTAAATTAAAATGACGCCGTATAAGTCAAATTCAAGTGAAACCTCTTTGCCAGCACTTTCCCCCATTACTACTAAGTTTTTCAGCACTTTAAGTAATAAAATTTGTAATTTATTTTGAAATTTTGACTTTGTCCAGTGGCAGTGAAAAGGATAATAGCAGTTCTTACTTTGATAAAAGTGAGGCCAGCTCAGTTGTTTCCTTACAAGTTAAATTGTTCCTGAAACATATCTGTCAATGCCTTCATGATGTTGACTAATATATTGCTTTTTCAGATGTTGTTAAAAAATTGCTGGATTCACCGTCACCCACAGAACCAGGTATTTTAAGTTACAAGTTTTTTAACGTACCTTGCTGTGAACCGTTGCTGTGGCAATATACACATTTTTCAGTCACTCTAACAGATTGTTTACATAGAAAATTGATCTTAATGTATACTTTGTAATCAGAGGAAGACCACCCTTTAGTTAAAGTATGTGTGGCCTTTGCTGCTATTGAAATGTGAGGATAGGTTATATACACAGTAATAAATTATTTTTAGGAGAAATACAGAGAAACATTATGGCAGTTCCTAGGCTGTTAATTGCATGAAGGCAGGCCTGAAATTGCCTTCAGCACTTGATTGCCAAGCCGCGTACTTTTAAATCCTAGCTGTGTACTTAAAACTTAAAGAGAACGTCGTGTGCTTGTACCTTCAGTTGCAGAAGATGTCCCAGATTCTCTTATCGCTGACCTGTCTGAGGACATGCCCAGAGAGTGGAACAAGGTGGGAGCCTACTTGGGCCTTAAAAATGACTATATTGAAACACTGAATGATGAAAACAGGACCATTTCTAACAAGGTAATTGCTATGTTAAACAAATGGAAGCAGAAGAAAGGAAAGAGTGCAACTAGGAGTTGCCTCATGAGTGCACTTCAAAAAGCAGATCGAAAGGACCTGGCAGAGAAGGTCAGGATGTACAAGGAATGATAGTCATTCCTAACAGTAATTTAGAATGAATAAACGTGTGGGAAAGTGCAACTTGATAGCTTTAAGCTAAATGGACACATTACATGTACCAACCAAAATCTACAGAGATGTCAATCTCTTACCAGGAAAGTACTGTGTAGTAGCTTTCATTTAGTGTTTACCCTTGAAGGATTTTATCCACAGGCTTAAAAGTTAGAACCACCTTGTACAGCATAATAAACAGTGCCACAGGAAAGTACTGCTCAGTAGCTTTCATTTGAATGGCCACACTTCAGGATTTTATCCACAGGCTTAAAAGTTAGAACCACCTTGTACAGAATAGTAAACAGTGCCACAGGAAAGTACTGCTCAGTAGCTTTCATTTGAATGGTCACACTTTAGGATTTCATTCACAGACTCAAAAGTTAGAACCACCTTGTACAGCACATTATAACATAGCTAGAAAATTCGCCTAATCAAATTCAATAGCGCGAGCGTGCTTCATATTCCTATTGAGCACGCTGATGACGTCAATAAACTATTCGTAATTCCTCGAGTTGTTGTGAGCTTAGCAATCCTGAGTCTCTTGAGTGCATCCATAACTCAGCAATAGACAATGAAGCGTTTACCATGTGTTTTGTAAAGAAATTTAAGAGGAAACGTTTGAATTTGTTAACCGATAGTAAGGAAAAGAGGTGAGTGTTGTTGTTGTTGTTGTCATCTCCGCGAGCTGTGCGGGCTATGGCGTGAGCTCATTCTTTGCAAAGTTGTTTTCTCTCAATAACAATTTTTCGGTAAATTAATAGTTTTCCGGCACCTAAATATGGATTTTACAATCATTTTAGAGTACACTTTCTCTCAGTTTCAGGATAAAAACATAAGATTAACTGTGAGGAAAAAAGATATATTCACGTACACAGGAAAAAATAACGGATTCCCATTTTTGGATTTTTTAGGGTATTTAAAGAATACCCATAAAAATCCCAAATTTGGCAAACTGAGACAAGTCCCAACCAGGGAATTCCCAACAAAGTTCTCTGATTGGGACTTGTCTCACTCTTCCAAATTTGGGATTTTTGTGGGTATTCTTTAAATACCCTAAAATATCCAAAAATGGGAATCTGTTATTTTTTCCTGTGGTAAACATTGACGCGTACTGCTTTGAGCGCGCCCTTCAATAATAAAATTTTCAGTTAACTGCTGCATTGATCGCTTTGATAATGTTATAAAACAATTAGTTCATGCTGCAGCTGTGCGTATGTCGAGATATTGAGCACTTGGGAAGTTTGGAGAGCACTCAAGAGGCTAGAGTTGCACTCGGCTGCGCCTCGTGCAACTCTTATGCCTCTTTCGTGCTCTCCAAACTTCCCGCGTGCTCAATATCTCGACATACCCACGCTGACGCATGAACTAATTGTTAAATAAACGATAGGAAAGTACTGCTCAGTAGCTTTCATTTGAATGGTCACACTTTAGGATTTCATTCACAGACTCAAAAGTTAGAACCACCTTGTACAGAATAATAAACAGTAAACAGTACGACAGGAAAGTACTGCTCAGTAGCTTTCATTTGAATAGTCACACTATAGGATTTACCCACCTTCTTAGAAGTTAGAATCACCTTGTACAGCATCCTAAACCGGACATAATTTTCATTATTACTATATATTTTTAATTCAAACTTTGGAGCACAGTCTCTTCTGTAACGTAGAAATGAAAGTATTTTGAACTCACAAAACTTTCATTTGAACAAGCTGATTGTAGGTAATGTAGATAACTGTGTTCATCATTTTATCCTTTCAACCATCCAAGTTAAAGTTTTTGCCTGGTCAGCATTTGGCGACCATTTCTTTTGGTTAAGGAGGACTTTTTTACAAATCGAGTCACCTGCTTCAAAATTCTAGGCACCATGGCAACTAAAATGGTCGCAACTCGAAGGGTTGCCTTTGAAGAGCCTTATCAGTAGAAAACATAAGAACTTAATAACTGCGTGTTATCAATATAATTTTATTTATCAGTGTGAAAGAAAATTACTGTGTTTAGAAAATTGGGTTTTTATGGTGAAATAGTGGTTTTATATTATAAAATTGTTGATCAGTGGTTAAACTTTAGTTTTTTCATTGCTGGTGAACAAGAATTTATTGCTTTGTCAAGAAGGAAAATGATGTAGAATGAATATATTATACAGGGCTCGAAATTAACTTTTTTGTTCGGGAGCCAGCTGGCGACTAACGGAAAAATTTTGGTCGCCAGATCGTAAATTTTGGTCGCCAACTTATTTTATATATAACTTACACAAGAACACGATTTTATACGTTACTTTGCATGCAAGAAAAGTCACAACTGAAGAGCGAAAACAATTAGAAACAACACGAGTAACACTTAGTTATAAAGCTACCGTTGTTCTCAGGTGATATGTCTCTGGTCCGAAGGTGATGGTTGTCTCCATAGTCATTTTAAATGAAGCGAAGCATAAAACGTTTTAAGTCCGTGGTTTTCATTCTGAGACAAACACGGGTCCTTGTGTATTTGCCCTTTGCTACTTCTACGAAATGCCGTTCTTTATTTTCGACTTGCTTTCCTCAACGCCTTTCGCTGCCGACAAACAACGCCATGCTTGGCCCAGGCCTCTACGCAACCACATTGCTCGTACCAGTCTCCGACCGGGAGGAAACAAAAATGGGCTTAGTGCAGTTTTTGGGTCTTCGTTTCCTTTTAGACAGAACGTTTTAGGAAAATAAAACCTAAAATGTTGCGGGAGTTACGGAGACACCGTATCTGCCACCATTTTTGTTGTTGAAGTGCGCCTGCGATCCCAGTTTCGGAAGAAGCCGCTGAAACAATATGGCGCGCCCTGAACGCAGTATCGACGTGTCGATTATCTTGTAATATTCAGACATTATTTTACTGGGGACGGAAAGGTGAGTTGTATACTAGCTACCATATCCGATTGATTTCCAAATATAAAGATTTAAAAACAAAAGTTGTGTCGTGGTTTTCTTTAGTCATCGGACAAAACGCGAGTCGCCAGCTGGCGACCAGTTCTGAAAATTTAGTCGCCAGTGCTCAATTTTTGGTCGCATTGGCGACCAGTGAGTCGCAATTTCGAGCCCTGTTATATCACCGGTAATATTCAATTTTAAGTTTTCCTCTACGATGTATCTCTAGGCAGGTCTAGAACACTAGGAAGAATGCATTAACATGGTCTGCCATGCGATGATTAAAAAGTTTCATCTGGAGATGAAAATTAATGACACTGCAAAGCAAATACAGTATAGGTTATAACATTTTTTTTGCCGGAAAATTGGCCACTTACCGGTAATCTAAAAAAAAATCTGACCTCTGAAAAACATGGAAGAAAAACATTTAAAGTAGGTGCCCTTATAGTTAGAATTTTTCTGTGCAATTACCGCTATTATTTAAATTATTTTATTATTATGAGTTTATATTATATTATTAATTGTTATTTTTTCTCCTTTCATCACTTAAATGTAACTGATAAGTGATAGAGAGGAGAAGAAATGGCGACGGCAACGGCAACAGGAACGGCAAATGCAATAGGTTTATATTAGCAAAACAACAACTTTGCATGTGCATCACGCTTTTTTATACGTTCCTTATCTGTCGTTGCATGACTGCGACATAAAACTTCCTAATTTCATGCGTCCACTTTATGGCGTTGGTGAACAAAACACAAAAATTTTCTTTTTCTTAACTTAGATATGGTCTTTTCAGATTCAACCCCAGAAAATTTCGCCAACATTTTACAAATTAAATGAAATTGAATAAGATCGATGTAGTTTGAAACAGTGTGAATTCGGCTTTTTTTGACTGATGTTTTCAGTTTGTTCTCATCCAGAAATTTTGCTACCATGGCAACATGACATAACAACTTCTCTTCTCTGTTGGCGATGGCAATTAGTTGAATTGAATTGAAATGAGTTAATACAAAGGCATCAGACAAGATGTAACAATCTTAAGAGTAAAGCATGATACTATTATTATTGAGGAGCCTATGCCAAGTTGCATATGTAACACATGAAAGTGTTCTTTTATTTTTGTTTTTATACTACTAAGAGAAGCTACAGATTATAGTTTTAGTCAAAATAAAATAGAATTTTATCCATGACTGACAGCTTGCAGAATGTCGTCATTATGTCTAGCATTTCTGAGATGTGTGACAACAATAGTACATTTACACACATTCAAATTTAGCATTGGAAGTATCGTCAAACCCCGCCTAATACAGACACCTCAGTATTACAAACAGTTTTCTTTGTCCCTAGAAGAGAATGCTGCCCCTTTGTTTTTCTCTGAATTCAACCCGCTTAATATGGACACCCCATTAATACAGACAGTTTCTATGGCCCTATCCATGTCCATATTATCTAAGAATGGGTGTGAAAAATTTACACTGGACAGTGTTTGCAATATAACTGTCTATTTCTACAGAGCTTTATCTCATTTCTTGTTGAATAAAAGAAGTACAAAAAGGTTGGGTGTGCTCAAAGTTCTTTCTTTCCTTGCAGGAATTTCATCTGTTATACAGTTTATTTTTTTCTCCTCTAATTTCCTTACAAATGCAACATGAACCTTTCTTATAAACCTGAGGAAGATAACTTAACCATGGCCAAATGCCATGTGTGGCAAACAATGCCCCTTGAACGACCAAGAGCACAAGCTAAAAATGTCTTTAAAACTATTATTCTAGAGCAACTGATGTTACATCATCATTCATCAATAATAGGTAAACAATCACGCCTTAAAAAAAGTTTCTGCCAAAACATTCTATTCAAGGAGATGCCAATGAGTGACTTCCTTGCAAAAATAACTGTGCTGCTCAATGGTAATTTTCAAAACGACCAAAAAAAATTTTAAACACAACCAGAGAGACAATTCGGTTGTGTACAGCAGATTTCAAAGACCTTCCCATCTCACTCTTGACAACAAATCTGAACTTCTTGACTATAGTATTTCATACAAGATATGTTTTACAAATGAATGTTTAGAACTGTGAAAAGCTTGACAAAGACCAAGTTTATTTTGCCTTTCTTTTCCTATTTGCAGAACTTACAACCACTGCATTCTTAGATTTGCTTGCTCCATATCCCCTCACAAATTCCTCAACATCGAATTTTTTCTTGCACCCATTATAGTTCATGAAGCGGATTTTTCCAAACACAGGCCTCTCTTTCCAACCTTGATCATGTACTCCACAAACAGACCACATGCAGCCTGCAATAATGTGAAGAAAGCAATCAACTTTGCACTGCAGTGTTATGGAAGGATGGGAGGGGTTGGTGCAGTAGGCTGTAAGACCCTGATCCTCTGTGTATAACAAATACAAGCACCTGTAGGTACCACCCTACTCAAGACTTGAATCTAAATGACACCACTCGAAAAGAGGGATATAAAATAATGCAATTCCATGTACCATAAAATTTTACAAACTTTTGCAGAGCTTTTTTTCCTGAAGAGTCTTGAGATGCACTACACTTAAGAAAGGAGAGGTTTATCTGCCTAGAACTTGCTCCGCACTGCAGCAAGATAAGCTCAGTTGGTAGAGTGCTTGAGTGCAGAGCAAGAGGTCATGGGTACAATTCATGGGGCTGGACCAATAAATAATCAGGGTCTTAAAAGCTGAGAAATGAAGGTACCGCCTTTGCCCTTCAAACACCTAGACCTTCGCATGGCTTGCATGGCCACAGTGGTCCCATCTCCAGTAACAGACATAAAAATAGTGTCCTCATTAACATACTCTAAGGCTAAAACCATTGACACTCAAATAAAGTGCATTTTTTTTTGTCAATTCATGCTGTGAATTTGACAAGTGTTCTAAGGGGGGAACACACTAGCTCCATGGACCACTTTCTATTTCCTTTACTCAAGTTATATTCTTCTTGTTTCTTTGGTCAGTTGGTTTAAATATGCATTAAATGATGCCCTCTCTACACATATTGCTTCATCATAATAGTAGGGTCCAATGAAGATTTACGTATGTCAACCAGTATGCCCCTCTAGCTAAAGGTAGGATTAAGGATGTATAAATAAAATTAATAATACTTTTATAAGCTTACCCACATAGCCATTAGGGTCAGTGCCATCCAGTGAATATTTGTCATTCAGGTATAGTGAGATTTCCAGAGCTTCTTCAGGTGAATTTGTCCATTCAAGAATTTTCTTTGCCCAGTACATCCTCAGGAAACCATGCATCTTGCCTTCATTGACCAGCTGAAGCTGAAAAATGGAGGAACTTTACCAAAAACCTTTATGTGTAAAAGGTAAAAAAATAAAACTCATGACAGCAAGGCTGGTGGTACAGGTAGTTTTGCGAATACCCCTTCCCTACACTTCTTACCTAGGGCAAAATGTTTTCAATAAGGGAGGGGTAAGTGGGTACCAAAGTTTCCCAAATCTTATATTGGTCCCCAAGGCACCTATTTTCCAGACTGATCATCATACATTTCCTTTCAGATTCGTTGAAAGAATTTGATAAAAGATCAAAGCATTTTCCCTTCAGTGATCATTTTATTAACTCTCGTAACCTTTTCTCTTGATAATGCACTGATGCTGTTGGGACACTGACAGGGGTACATACTCTCAGGTGTTGCCTACCCTCAGACATTCCTCATTACTGTTTTAATAAAGAGTGTAAGAGAGGTTTTTTGGGAAGCCAAACATAAAGTTGGATCAGCCTCAACTCTCGGAAAAATGTCGGCGTTAATAATAGGAATCAACATTTTAGCTAGGTGTTTGGTCAATTTGGTTTGTCATTGTTTTACCACTGGACATGGGTTGACTTGTTTGACCAACACGTGAATGCAGTTGTACCTGGGCAGCGTTCCACAGGTCATCATGGCTACTGCCTTGTTCCAGCTGTTCTCTTGTGCAAAGATATTCCCTCTTGTCCTGTGCATGATCTTGTAAAGTTTTCTGCGCCCATTCATAGGCACCCTTAATGGAGTCGTAGTTTTCCTGATTGTAGAAGCAAAAGTTGTCTGCCAGTTCTCTTCTGATCACAGCCTCTTCAATGAAAGCTTCAACAGAGTCTTTAGCCCTGCTGCGGAACTCTCGCGCTCGGAGAATAGCTCTTTGAACACTGACTTGACCTATGAAAAGACAAGTGGGAGCCTGAAAAAAGGTACCCCTTTCAGGAAAAGCCTCCTCGTAATAGGCTATCATGGGGAGTTCCCGCCCCACCCATCTGTGGAGTGGGTCTTGCACTGTGAAGTAATACCTGCAGAGCTGTCATTAAGGGCCGTAACCTGTAACACCTGTTACAGCTGAGCTCACTTGGTGTCACGGGTGATCAAAGTGGAAGGCTAATGGTGGCACTATAAATTTTTGAGAGATGTTACGGGTGAATCTTCATTTGCTACGACTCTTTCAAAACTTAATGACGGCCCTGTCCTCAAAAAGCAACATGGCATCTTTAAGAAGTTAAAAGAAATGCTTGTTTTTTTGTATGTTTTTTTTTACAATTGATTCAAATTAACAAACTACACATTCCATTAATAGAAAAATCATAAATGTATCAAATTATGGTACACAGTCTGACATTGTCCTTGTCCAAAACAGGAGTAAGTCTTGGTCCTATAACTTTAACAGTGATGCCTTGTGTTACTTTTAATGTTATGTTAAATTCTCCTTACATTTCACAAGCAAATGCAAGACAATAGACCACTTCTGAGTTCCAAAAACCCTCACTTTCAAATTGAGGCCACGTGCATAACCTTTCTTGTGACAATGAGTTTTATTTGCATGAGAATGAAAAAGCATTTCTATATCAAAGGCTGAGCACTTAACCTCATTTTGATACAGAGGCCCGGGGGAACTCAAAAATGGCCTAGTTGGAAGGAGAATTTAGTAGTCCTTCAAAAGTCACTTAGGGCTTTTCCCCCCACACCGACTTTACTGGCAATTTTGTCAGAAGGGACTGACTGGTACCTGGCCGCTAAAAAGGGTGTGGCCAGGAGAGAGGGGATAAAAAGAACTTTACCATCCTGAGAAGAGGTGGGGGGAGAAAAATTTTTTTTTCCTGGAATATCCTATTGCCACAATGCAGGATATATATCCTAATATTAATATAAAAAAATAGCAATACCTGCATGAAAACAAGGTGACACATCGCGTAAACCTTTTTTAGTTGGATTCTTGCCATCCTGGGGTGGCAGGGGGTGATTTTAACTGGATTTACAGGACAAATCCTCTAATACCACTATGAAACAGTATATAGCAATACCTGCATGAAACCAAGGAGATAAGTCGCTCAAAGCTTTCTTTGTTGGATTGTTTCTGTCATCAGCAAAATACTTGAGTCTTTCATTGCAGAATGATTCCAACATTTCCAGCCCTGCCTTGGTCCCAGGTTGAGCCCAGTCCACTTCCTTAACATCACGATCAACTTCAATGAATTTATCAACTGCTTTCCAGTCAGTCTGATTTATTAAACAATAAATATTAATAATAGTGTCATAAAATGAACATCATCATAGTTTACACTGTAAAAAATTACCGTATTTATTCGACTATAAGCCGATCTTGGCTACAAGCCGAGACCCCAAACTTTGAACGTGTAGACTTGGCATAACGAGAACCAAAAATAAATCGAAAACACCCGGCTATAAGCCGAGACCCATTCATTATTACAAGACTGAATTGTTAACTACGGGAAAACCTAACATTTTCGGAACCAACGATTGCATATTGTGTTTCTTTACTTTAGCTTGGCTTATACGTAAATACATCTCGATTTAGTAGAGTTTCCATGCGCCGGGAAAAAATTTTTTTTCAAAAAACTTTCGGCTATAAGCCGAGACCCCTCTAGAGCCCAAATTTTAATTCAATTCAGTTTTGATTTGTGTAAAAATCGCTCGGCTTATAGTCGAATAAATATGGTATATTTTGATGTCTAAAATTCCTGGCAAGAGAGCTGGGAGTCCTTCGGTACATATGGTGCTATACTGTGAAAGTGAACATGACCTTTACAGTAGGATGAGCAACCTAAAGCAGTAGAAAAAGAACCTTAAAAAATTCAGGCTTGATCAGGAGGGCCTCAACCCCGGAGACTGATCAGGCCTCTTGACCCTCGTGGCTAACCCTGGTACCACAATTTTGATCTTTTTCTCACCGGGATGGCCCCCGCTCCTGGCTCCCTTTAGTTCCTAGTGACAAGGGAATATGGGCCTCACCCCCAGAGACTGATCAGGACTTTTGACCAGGAAGGCTACTCCCATTACCACTCGATCTTGTCTCCCCAAAGGAGGGCTTCTCTCCTGGTCCCCTTACCCTTAGTTTCAAGTGCTTCCTGTGTCAAAATTCTGCCCATCGCTTTCCGGAAGTGTTTTCTGTATGGAAAAACTGCCTAGAACTGAGATGCAAAACCATCCACCAGTCAAAAGAGTTCATTAAAGGATATTTAATTAAAATATTCACCTTTTTAGTTTTGTCTGAAGCAGTATGAGGATGCTTAATTACTGGTGGAAATTCTGTAAGAAAGCCTTTCAACTGGTTGTGGATTTTAGGTCTAATAGTTCGCGCACCATACTCTAACTTTGGAGAAGCTTGCCAACATGGAACAATGTTGTGACCATCAACCTACAAAGATGGAATCACAAATGATTTAGTTAATTTAGTTGGTTACATCTCTTTGACTCATGCCGCCTCTTTAAATCCTTTAAGTACAATATTGTTTGCAGTGCATCCTGGCAGCAGATACCACACTGAAACCACAAATATTATATAATTTATTACCATACGTGTACACTGTCACATGTATTAGAATTGCCTGCCATTAAAAGCATGCAATTGTTATTTAAAGGGAGTACTTCAACCCAAAGTGAAGTCAGTTATCTGAATAATGAACAGAATAGAGATTGTCTGTGTCAGGCTAGAAACGTCTCTAGCTTTCCTCCACATTGTTATTCACTACATGTAAATCACAAGAAAATGAATACTTGAAATCAGACAAAGTAAAATAGCAAAAATGAAATCAAGTTGCTGACCTGACAAACAGGGAAATTTTTTGGAAGTTTTGCTGTAACATCTTTCAGCCACTTTAACGGTTTTCTCAGTGGTGTAAAATCAGTTATTAATCCACCAAGATCATGTGACTTCACAAACTCAGGAAGCACTTTGTCTGGTTCACCAAGAAGCAAATGGAAATTAATGCTCAGTGTAGTCAGTTCCTGAAATAAATAACCACAGTAGGGTTAGTTCTATAGAGCACTGGTCAGCAAAGCAGGAGATCACGCGTGTGATTCTATAACTCAAAGGAAAACTCAAATCAAACTACAGAGCACAAAAAACATATTTTTTTCCTCCCAGACTACAGGATGATAATTATTATCATCCTGTAGATTGGGAGGAGTAGATTTCTTGCTGGGCAAGTAACTTTTAAAGCTTACTTGCCCAATGGGGTAACCCTTTAAAACCTAAGATCGAAAGTTGAATTCTTGTTAGTTGCCCCCATTTATTTCCTACAGAAGTAGTGGGGAGAAGTTGATAAAATATCATTCAAATTCATCTTGTGTGATTATGTCCGTAATTCTCATGATCACTCTGTTTTACAAAGCACTGATATTACAAGGAGAAATTTGATGCTGATCACTCTTAAGGCTTAAAGGGTTAAGCAGCCAGGCAAGTTTTCCTCCTACAAAATCATTTACTAAGATGAGCAAAGAGTGGCCCAGGACAAGCAGAATGTGAGAGCTGCCTTCCCAAAGGACATGATGGAATTCAATTTTTCTTTGAGCCCTGAAGCTGGTTTCAAAATTTTCAAATCAAAAAAATTTAAACCACAACTCATAACAATTTTATAATATTGTACCTTTTCAACTTCTTGAAGACCTTTGATCATAAAACTGTACTGCCTGTAGGTGGTATTGAGGAATTTGCTTGGTAAACAGAAGCATACAAAGAGAGGAACTTCTTGTTTAAGAGCCATTTGCTGGGCATATAACAGTGCCCAGTTATCTAAACCAAAAAAATTGTAAATAATAATGAGTGTTGTTGAGAGCTTACATGGTTAGGGAATAGGTAAATCTTTACTAATGTCACTTTGCTGTAACGACAAATTTAGTTCAAGAGTTGGAAGAGCTAGTTAATATGCATGCTGGGTCATATTTTCCTGGGTATGGCCACTGGTCTCTAAGAAACCCTACCCCATTATAGTCTATTCAGTGGCCAATTATAGACCCCATCTTAGTCACTTTTAGGCAAATTATGTAATTTTTTGCAATCCCAACTTAGTCACTTTCAGTAAATTATGCATCTACCTTATAAAGCCAACTTTTTACTGCAAATTTACCAATTTTTAAATCC